TACATCACTCTACGTCCTTTCTACAATTTTATACTTTTATTTAATCCAGAGTCGAATCCAGCGACTAGCAGATTTAGAGACAAACAACATACGCACAGAGCAGAAAAAAGAAAACTGTTCATTAGTCAATACCTAGGAAAAAACATGGTAACATGGAAAACTGGCGGAGGGATGGATTGAGTGGCATGAAGAATGAATGTGCATGGATTAACATGCGAGCAAGGTCAAATTCTCCAAACAAACAAATGCAATAAAAGAGAAGATTCATGGGAGGTGGAGCGACGGGGTAAACGAGGGGTTTGAATGCACGATTGCGATTACGGACCTCAAACTTTTAGAAACAGACGAAAGTCGATGCGAGCATTACGACTTAAACCTTCCGAAACTTTGATCTCAACTCTTCTCAGGGGCATTGGAAAGGGAGGAAGACAAAGACGGTGCCGATTCTTCCCTTCCTCTCTACCATTTTGCACCACCATCCTCTTTCAGTCCATCCGCATTAGAGATAGTGAAGAGAGTGGCTTGCATACGGGCGTGCCAAGGCATACATTTACCATTGGCATGATCTGCTTTTTTAACCCAATACAATTTTGTATAGGTTGAGGGGATCGCCTATGGTTAGAAGCGTTTATGTCGCCAATTCCACGGGGAAAAAGCTAGTCCGTTCTTTTTCTCCTTCCAAGGCAAGGGCATGCTTGGATGAATATTATTGTGTCAGAATAGGACGAGTGCCTTTCTTTCGATCTTGCATTGATTCATTATACAACAGCCTTTGAAGGCTATGGCTCAATGTGTAAGCGGTTTTATTTGCTACAAGTTTGGTATTAGTCACAATTTTCTTGATGCTTTTCAAATCCAAGCACGGTATGGTTTACCTACGAAAATCAAAACACGATTGCCTACAATGCGCATTCTTCCTCAATCCTAGCAATCAACACAATGTGTTATGCGGGAGTTGAGAGTTCCTCCTCGTCAATAAAATATCAATGAATATTATCGAATAGACTATGAAATATTGCTTGCTATGTTTTGATGCCCTGGTAGTCTGCTACTCCTACTCTACTAAATCAATGTTGCATGGCTGGCCGTTGTATTCTTGTCCACCGTGCGACCCTAATAATGACAGGCTCGGGTCTTTCAGGGGTTGAGAAAGGGGACTAGATCTTCTCCTGGGTCTCGTCCGTCATTGCTAACCCGGTAGACCTCGAGTCGCCGAATGAAGGATATCACGTGTATTTTGTGCGATTGCCACCCCCACGTCGTATGGCTTGTATTGAACGAATGGGTGCTCAGCGGTTTCGGCTGAGTAGCAACATGCCGAGTCTGAGATTTGGCTTCTGCAAGATACCAATAATCGATTCGAATCAATTCTTTGACCCAATCACTGGTCATGAAAGACGAAACCGATAATCCTCGCCCTCACACTTTGGAACCCGAGCCGAACTTTATGTCCGTATACGAATACCAAAACACCAATAGCCGAAGATTACTCCGTCACACCTCAGCACTTTCGGCATCTACAATATAGATTCAATATTCACACTTTTAGTCGCAATAACTTTGAGTTATCCGCCCGCTGCTCTGATCTTGTTCTTGATGTTTTTATTAGGTCTGCAGCTCTATCAAAATCGATCAGTACCCATTCAAATACTCAAACTAGTCAAGCGTAACCCTCATTTCGATATGAACGTTCCAGCGCCTGTAATATAGCTAGGTAGTTGTCAGAAACATGGCTTGAAACTACTTCGCTACTGTAAGAAATATCGAATCCCAGTTCCCTGAGCAGGCAGAGTTTGGGCTATGATTCTAATCAAGGAGCACTAAGAATACCATTGGTTCTGTTCCGCGATCTCTTTCCAGGTTCAAAGTATATTCGTTTTAGTCACTACCTGCCATCTTTGAATTAGTTGCATCAAAGTCTGGACTTGTTGTTTGGTGTATAAATTATTGTACAGCAAAGGCATTATTTGACTAAAAAGAGCTACCAAGAAAACATGCTGAAAACGACGGGCGTTCTCTGGCGGAATGGTATTCCGGTACTGATGGCTTGTCTTAGATGGAGAGTCTAGAGGTTACCCGCATGCACATCATCTTCATTACACCCTCCCGTTACATCCTGCTCCCCATCTTGAACCCCCACGTTGTTCGTTTCCCCACTCTTCAGCCGTCCATTCTTTCAAGATCTAGCCTGGTCGATGACATTCTGTCCCCGCACGTTGATGTGATTCTTCTACTGAAAGGTTGCTATTGCTACGACACCTACCGAATAGATTCTTGTCCGCGGCCAATTAAAGTAGTACACAAGCCTCAGTACTCAAATCTACCTCGATCTGCTGATCACTCGTTGCCACAGTACAATGGCATAAACCTACTAAATATTGGAACAAGTATACAGCATTTCCATCCATGCTTCAGCATATCTTCAATCGTAGCATAGCCACAATCTCGATCAAACAACCATACAACTTCGTCAGAACACCTCGCAAGCGCAAGCCCAGTCAAATCCATATAGTTTGATCGGCTCAACATGTAAAAAAAAACAGGCAAACAACCCCACGAAATGGGGCATTCATTCATGATCTTTTAGATTAAAGTAAAGGCAACAATTCAAAGCCACCCTACCTGTCTTGTCTACAACCCACTTGGACCAAGTTTTCAATCTGCCAAATCCTAACTACACAAACCAGAAGTCCTGTCTATCATCAGCTAAAGGAAAAGCCAGGATAGTCGTCAATGTGACGCTGCAAGTTTACAGGGTAGCTAGCATAGCATCCATCTTATTCTATCCCCCATTTGAACCAAACGAACTACAGCAACTTCCAATCTCGCGTTTCTATACATGTATACTGCAGTTCTGCATACACGTCTTAAATATCCATCTACAGTGCAACATGCAACTTTAGATGCAGCTACAAATAGTAAGGTGCGTTATCGCCTCACGAAATTGAAGGAACGAAAGAATCTTCAAGTTGGCATGATGTATGCAACACTGCAAGGTACAACAAGTACTATATGACAAAACGGTTATAATGCAGTGCGATACCAAGTTCTCCCCTCCTGAAAGATCCTCAAACGCTGATGTACATCAATTGGTTCTGTGAATACTAGGATGCCTATTTATCCAATCAAGAACCCCTTCATCAATGCGACCAACTTCCAATCACAATTTGATCCCCGCCCAGACCAATCATACTTACTCCTCGTCTCATTCGTTACAAATTGGGCTCTATCAAAATTCAATACATCGTACTTGCGACTCCCCTCTCCCAAAAACCATACCTTGCCTACCACCGTCATTCTCCGCACACCACACCATCCCATGCACAAACGTACAAAAAGCATCGCTTGCGTACCCTCTTCTATTACTCACACAAACATTTATTTGGAATATATGCATATTTTGTATACTTTTATACCATACATATTTCGTGCATTGCCCCCTATACATCCACGTCCATGCTGCATCCACCAATCTACCATCTTCAAGCCCTTCATCGAACGATCCCAAGAGCATTTTATATACCGATTCTTATACATACAAACACCGGCAAGGCTCACGTTTGGATCATTCCAAGAGCTCGAGGCGTCACACCTTCACATGTTTTGGACCAGCCCAATATAAATCCTGGATAGGGAGTAACCTCGCGTATTTTTCTGGGACATATATACATGTCCACATATGTATATATGTATACATGCCGACAGGAGACCGGAATGCAATGTTAGATATTTAGTAACTGAGTCGGGAATTATGTAACCTTCACTTTCGTTGAAGAAGTGTTATAATTAGAATATAGGGGGGAAGGGGGTGTGGTACATGATTATATGTGCAAGCAACCTATATTGCATAATTGTATCGTATCCATTATCCCCGCGTTATTACGCTATGTTACACACCCCTCAAATATCTCACGTAACCGGGTTCTCGTTACACCCTCTCCATCATCTATCATAATCACAATTTTTCACATGCGATTTTATCTTTCGCATTCTCTTATATTTGCCCTTTTTGTATCATATCATATATCGAATACATCACCATCACCAAAACAATAATAACAACACATCATACACCCGTCCACGCAATTCCAGACCTCTCATCTTCGATCTTCATTCTCTTTCTCCGCGTCCTCGCCAATCTTCAACCACTAGTAGCAGATATCTATCATAATTATAACTCCGATCCCAGTCACAATAGACACTGGGAAACCATCATCGATGTTCATCTGTACTCTCGAGCCTTCTTCAATCCCCCCTTCATACATCTCCAACTCCAACTCCCTTCTAAATCTCCACGTTCTCTCATTCTATTTCTTCCTGCTCAGCATCCACCTAAATCGAAACTCCTCAAAACTACCAAAACCCTATCTACGTTTCTCAAGCGGTCCTTAGGTCTCATAGAGCTTTATTACAATTCGACATGTCCATACACAATCAATACACCGTATGCCAACACTATTCAGCTGGAGATACCACGTGTAGACCCATACAGATGCAAATTTGTGACTGCATCTCTCATGGTTCTTGATTTAATACTACTACTTATTGATAAGTAAGTTCACTACATTGCATATCATGAATTTCATCATCTTCCACCCCCCCCCCCACCCACCCCCTTTTTCCTTTCCCTTCTTCTCAAGTAGCTGTTCAATCAATCACCTCCTCTAAAGACCTATTCGTAGAATACAAAGATACAATACAACAAACGCATTTCAGCTCTGCACCATAAGATAAGACAAGAGATGAAACATTCAAAATTTTGTTACACATATTTATCCGTAACGTAAAGTAGAAATTCATATCGGAATGAGTCAGGCCATCCGCCTACCCTCCTATCCGAATACTTTTTCCTTCCCAGAATTCCCTTTCCCGAACCATTCCTTCCCACAGGACTATATCGCCATTCATCCACCCATCCATTCATCTACCCCGACATATAATTGCTGACTCCCCATACATGAAGACTGTTCTCTTCGCATCTCACTTTCGATACGTGCATTCTAATCTGTAATCCTCCAGCTATCAAACCACTTCAACCTAGAGTATTCCCTATTAGGTCCAACCATACCCCATGAAATAGGCATGAAGAAAATGTAAAGTGCGATCGTCAAGGCGTACAAAACACCATAGATAGCATATTGCAAGGTCTTAACTTGATTTCTTAACATCCAATCCGCACAGAAACCGAATACCAAAATAGCGAAATAGAGTGCTGGATAGTAGTGATGAACGTAAGTGACGCGAGCCATGGCGACAAATGGCATATAATGGAGGAACCATCCAAGAACTGGGTACAGTCCAGCATAGTGAATTTGATCGATCTCGGATTGCTTAAGCTCATCATACCCACGTTGCCATCTTATGAGATACCAAAGAACGAGGAGGCCGAGGAGGCCTAGAGAAGCGGTAGAACCCCAGTATACAAGAGGGTTACCGAGGAGGAAGTATTTGACTATATTGTCATCCCATCCACACATTCTCAATCCTACGTTGAGAATTGGCCATTGCCAAAAGTAAGAAGCGAGATCATCCTGTTTGTCAGGATCTGGCACAAGTGCGTTATTCGAAGTCATCATGGCGACATTCAAATGAATGAAGTCGTGAATGAAAGGAGACTTGTACGCTCCAGCATCAGCAGCAGGCACTATAAAGATGGTCAGTATATTATATTCTTTATTGTCAAGCAAGATCAACATACACTTCTCGTTCCAGTGGGCTTCTACGTTCCAGTGAGTGTAAACATCCTTGGGATTGTTGTCCTTGGTGCAAGTGACTTCGATTTGCTTGAAACCCCATTGTGGCAGGTTAACATTACCAGCTCGTAAGTAGCATCCTAAACTTGTGTGCTTGAGTCGGAAAGCGGTAGTCAAGGTTCTAATTTTACTTCGATCATTTGAGGAAACATCCTTGACAACTTCCATGGTCCAGTGATCTTTGTCATCGCCAACGGTGGTATTTCCATAACATGAGACTTCCTTGTCAGCCTTGGTAATAGGCGCTGATACGTCGTGTGAATGAAGGTTGCGACCAGTTTGCGAATGAACGAAACGTAGAACGTCGCCATCAGCAACGTATCTGAGAGGTGCCTCTGGGTCGAATTCTGGCTGAGAACGATTAGGATAGAACCACCACTCGTTGTTAGCATCTTTATGATGGTAACAAGTAATTTGTTGTTGGTTGGATCCTTCAGGGTAAGTCTGAATGTGGGAGTGAAGAAGACCACCGCCGTATCCCATGTTTTTAATCGTTGCTCGAGAACCATATGCGATTTCAAGTGGACTATCCTTTCCAACTTCAGTTCCTCTCAGATTGGCTTGGAACAGGGAACTCATTTGAGCATCACCGGGTCCACTGTTTTGAAGAATTGCAAAGTGGGCAGCGAAGGAGGCAATGTAAACTCCTATAGGGATAACGATCAAGCAAATTACTCTGATAGCGACATGCGATGCGAGCTCGACCTAGAATATATGTTAGTCTAATTAACTTGAGAAAGTATTCGGATTTGTGTTACCTTTTGCATTCTAATATTGCCAAATTTGTTCCACAAATCTTCGATCGTGTAAATACCAACCATGGTTGTGCAGAAAAGGCCAACCATCTTCACACTGCAAACACAGCCAATGCTCACACCAGTCAACAAGAGCCAAACGAACCATTCAGGGGTCCAACTTTGCTTTTGTAGATTGTGGAATTTAGCCCAGCAGAGAACTGTGGTGAATGTGAAGCATAGGAGCATAGAATCCAAGAGAATAAAGCGACTGATTGTGGTGTAGGAGTTTTCGCACAAAACCATCAATGTAACGAACCATACAGCCGGTCTCTTGAAGTTCAATTCGCGAGCAGTATAGTAAGCCAATGGAATAGTAACGGCACCGAAGAAGGCGTTGAAGGCACGCATGAAAGTGTAGTTCACATCTTCAGGATATTGTTCCCCAGATTTGAATTCGAAAGTGCCATTGTAACCTGCAAGATAACCGGAAAGACCAACCAGCATTTTTCCAAGAGGGGGATGGACATCGAAGTAGAATTCTCTTTTGATGTAATGGGACCCGAATTTTCCAAAACTATATCCAGACATGATCAGTCCACAATCTTAGAGAGTTTCAAATATGAGAAATTTGCTTACTGAGCTTCATCCCAAGTGACGATAGGTGAAAGGCCGATCTTGTATAATCTCGTGAAGAATGCGAATATTGTAAAAACCAATGGTGCGATTAAGAACTCCCATTCGTCAAGAAATCCTACTATGGATTGCTTTCCCTATAATGAATTGAATTCATTAGTCTACTGAGCCCAATGCTATTAAGGCAGAACCTTTCAAGGTTTGCTCACCTTCTTGACTTGTGTCTTCTTGTCATCTATCTCCACCGTGTTGACAAGACCTCCATTGGATGATGGTACATTGCGTCGACGGGTTGTTTGAGTATGATCCGCACCTGAAGCAACAGCTGTCTTATCGGAAGCCATCTCAAATATCTGCGAGGGTTTTCGAGAAAGAAGCTTCCTCCCTCCCTATAATGTCTTTCCCAAGGTAACTCTCAATTGTGATACGATTTGCAGTGGCAGTATAAAGTTCGTGGCCCAAGTTTAAGGTTGCGGCTATCAAATGTCGAGAGTCGCAACTTCAAAAACTTCTAGAGAATGTCGGAGGATTGAACAAGAGTAAACTAATTAACAAAGGTTTGCATCTCTCCACAATTCTAGGAGTAGATTTGCAGAAGAAGAGGAAGAAGAAGAGGAAGTATGTAAAGACGTAATCCCTTGTGAAAGTTTGTAAAAAGGAGTCGAGCTCTAAAAGATTATACTAAATCTACCTTGCTTGAATTCAATTGGGGTATCTAAATTTAGTGCACCACTACCACATATACCCGAAATCTGTCCTTCTCTGCTGACGAGGCTGAAGGAAGTAGATGAAAGTACATTCTACCTGGGTATTTATTGCAAGTTTCTTTTCACGAGAGTCTACTTTATGACATATCAAATTACCACCTATTACTTATTCGAGGTACATATATTAATATATCAAGCTATGTTTGGAGCTTCACAAAGGCACAATTTAAACCAAAGTACGCACGTTTTTTGAGTCACAGCCTGTGGGTGTCAACGTCAGATGAAATTATAACATGGGGCTAATTACAGTAGCTAGGCTAGCTTCCATTATTAGAGAGTTCTCAGACTTTGTTAAATTCGATGCACATGTCATTAGTATTGGAATGATTTGAGCGTTAGGTTTCGAGACCCTTATAAATTGTAAAATGCCTGGCCACTAGAAATAATCTACAAATTCCCATAAATTCACACTCTATATGTGCTCTAGATTGCACTGGTATTACACTCTTTCCTTCGAGCTTCCATGTACGCCCGCTTGTTGCTAGTTCCAATCTAATATCGTGTATCCTGCGAGTACAGCCGCTTACTCCTCGTCTTGATCTAATGGCTTATATTTCCCACTTTTGATGCTGTCTCCTTCGCCTTTGTTTCTGTTCACCATACGCGATATCCACCCCCCAACACCTTCTCCAGACTCTTCATCTGCTCCATATTGAGGCTTTCCATTGACGATAGAAACGTTGGGTGGGTCGATATCGAGACCTGGAATGGCACTTGAAGGCCCAATACCATTTGGACCTCCATAACCACGTCTCAGGTCAACAGAAGGAACGGGTGAACTGATGCCCATCAACGAGCCGCTCTCGGCTCTGGTAGCGGGTGTGGGCATTGCTGTGGTCGCGTCGCCAAATATCATGTCCATATCTTCCAATCGTACACCAGCCGTCTCGGGATAGATGAAATACACTGAAAGTTGTTAGATTTCTGATTGGATAGGGAATGGCACTAGTCTTACCAACGACAAAACTGGTTGCGCAGAAAAACGCATGAACCAAGTACAAACGCCATGTGATCAATTCTTGTAGAATAGGCGTCAATTCTCCTACGAGCCAATTAAAGGCCCAATTAGTGGCGGTAGACAAACTGGCACCTTTGGACCGAATGCTGAGGGGAAGAATCTCGGGTGGATAAAGCCATGGAATTGGTCCCCAACTGAATCCAAAAGCGCCATTATATATCATGACAAATAGAACAACCAGAGTCGGCGTAGCCTTTATGTCCAAGAATAAAAAGTAAGAGATGCAGGATAGCGATATAACCATAGCTATTGCACCACTAAGAAGAATGAAGCGTCGGCCCCAGCGGTCTACAAGATACCAGGGTGGTATGGTACACAGGAAGTACGTGATAGCGTTGATTCCCGTCATTAAAATTGCTTGGCGACCACGCCAACCTGCAGATTCGAAGACAAGCGGCGCATAATATGAAATAACGTTGATGCCATTAAGTTGAGCGAAAGCCTGTGCTGACATGGCAATGAAGACACGAGTACGATATCGTCGAAACATGTCTTTGTAAGATTTCTCGCCCTCCTGTCGAGCCAGTAGAACGTTCATCTTAATTTCTCGATATTCTTCTCGTGCCTTTTGATCATGAATGTCACCACCACCATATAAATTGGCAATAACGACCATACCTTCCTCATCATGGTCGTTATCCAAAAGCCATCTAACATGATCATTAGTCAAAAGTCAGTTTCATGTAGCGAACAATACATACCTAGGTGACTCCACAATGATCAAACTTCCAACACCCAAAAGCGCACCCATAACACATTGCATCAGTAGAGGTATTCTCCATGACATGTTTCCCTTAATGAAACTGCAGAAATAATCCACCCATACAGAGGTTGCATATCCTGTGATGTTGCCCGAGAATTCAATACAAGCAAGTTTCCCGCGGTTGTGTGGGGGTGATATCTCGGATTGATATATGGGAACAATCGTGGACAGCATACCGACACCCACACCTGCAATTATACGACCAAGCATCATCATAGGCATGCCAGTGGCTAATGTTTGAAGTGCGCCTCCAACGAAGAAGATGCAGGAGCCATATAAGATTGTCTTTCTTCGACCAATTATATCACCGACCTTCCCGACGACAAGCGATGAAACAAATGCGCCGATTTCCAAAATAGCAACCATAGTACCGACTTCGGCTCGAGAGGGCTGATTGAAATAGTCCTTGAAGTAAGGACCGCTACAAGGTGATTAGCCAGGCACTGTAAATCCACATACCTACAGTAATACATACGTGATAATTCCAGACATAACTCCTTGATCATATCCAAAAAGGAACACACCTAATGATACAAAAATGCTAGTAAAATACCTGCCTCATCGTCAGTTCAGTGTATAGAGCATGTCAATCAAAGTCCTTACACTAATGGCCGGCCTGTCAGGCCGTGCATCTGCCTCTCACCTCCCGACATGATTGCGGCTAGAATATGCTCAGCTCGACTTATTCTTCGAGGACCAGGATCTGGTATTTCAATATCCTCTTTAACAAGTCCAGGATGATAATGTTTTTCTTGTTTATCGGTAGCCTCGTCGTTATATCGAACTCTTTTTCTCGTCTTTCTCTTGGAAGAGCCACCAAAAACCTCTTCGTCAAGGGATGCTCGTAATCGAATTTGCAACGGGTCTTCCTCGTCTGCGAGTTGCTCTGCAAGATCGCCTGTGTCACTCCACGAGAATTCGGAACCAGGTGACGTTGAGCGCGAAAGGGAAGACCGCCGACCCTGTTTCTCGTCCGAGCCCAGCAGTCCTTGGTTAGGATTCAATCGACTTGCTGAGGACAATGTTCGTAATGGTATGTTAGCGGGACGACGAGATGATTTTGGAGAAGGAATGTTGAAGGTAATTGAGCTGTAGCAGCAGCCCAAATCGCGCGGAGTTGGATTGGTGGGGAAAAGTCGGGGTAGGGAGTTATTCACGAAGTGGATGAGATGGCACGTCACTAACACCGAGACCCTGAATGGCCGTGGTTGTTTAATTGTGGATCCCACACGGTGAGATGGATATTCATATGATAAGAAAAATGAAACAGAAGAGACTTGGGCGTCTGTAGCTCCCTTTCAATTCGTAGTACAAGTTTGTGATTTAATACGATGTTGGTTGATGATGCTGAAAGAAGGCTGTGTGTTGTCGACCTACTGATATGGGCGGATGACGAGGAGTTTAAGGTACGCGGACCATAGAACGATCCTGCAATTGAGAACTGGTGCTTAACCACTAGGTATGATACTAGATGCGGAGCCCTTTACATTGGATGTGTCACGTGTTGCTTACTACATGCTATATTTGGACAACCAAAACTTCCCCCTTTTCTTCTTATCATTTGTATCATCTTGACAATGACATGTAAACGGGCTTGATTCAGTCGCATTGTAAGATACTTCGAAAGTCTCAAAAGGTAACAAAATGTAAGCGTGCTTTTAAGCTAGTTTGCCTCGAGCGTGCATGAACTCAGTCATTTAACAAAAGAATACCTTGTTAGGAGGTAATAGGTATGTATGTATGCTCGGTGTGGATGGGATTGCATGCACAGTAAATCACAAAAATCAAGGAATTTTCAAAAAAAAAACACTTCTGTATAGATATGCAATCTTGATAACGAATGTCTTCCAAACCTAATAAAACTTAAACTTTATATCAATGATAAGATATTGAACAACTTCTTCTACTTCCGAAGAGAACCTTGGAAGTACTGATCGCTTACTCAATAACTGATTTGGAAAGGGTATTCGACTTGAGGGTGTGTGTCTATCACCATCACGGGACCAGTTATGGATAACTGTGCTTGTGATCTCCCATTGAAGATTGTATAGCAGTCTCTTTTGGATCTTTCATACTTGAAAAGATTCAGATTCAGATTCTTTTTATTTTATCAAAAAAACGCTTTACAATACTAAATACCTAGTTACTTCATCTATATATTTATTTGTTTCTTATTCCAAATAGAGTAAATCGTACTATTGAGTGTCCTGATTATTCTTACTGTTATAGAATAATCCTACAAATATTGCCTTGTAAATACATTCTTATTTTTTTAATTGGAAAGGGAATAAATCAAAGCTTACAAATCAACGGCTTGAGATTCTCAAACTTTGGTACAAACTTTGCAAAAATATTCTTGAATCGATTTTGGCTCATATAACCCTACCTCATATTTGCCATTTCTGTATATACTTCGGTACACCAACCCCATAGTAGATCGCTCTTCAGTGCAACGATTTCTATCCCATTTGCGAATCTAGATGCTTGAACTTTGTCTTCACGAAGTCGTCCTGCTAAACAGATGCTCCTCCGGCACAATATCAGACGACGTTGTCTCAAGTCGATATTCGATATGGTGGATTTCTGAACATATGTAAAGAGGGGGAAGACAATACTATAGATAAAATGGAAGACGTCATTCGGGAAAAGAAAAAAAGGATTGTTTAAAATCAGGGATTGGAGGCAGGGAGCGCCGCCTAGGAACTCTAGCTGGCATTGCTATAGCTCGGCAGCATATTCTCAAGTCTGGATTAGAGTTGCGTCGTCGCGAACGCGATTTGAAAGAAGGGCAGGGGGAGGAAGATATTTTACGCTACACCCCGCGACTTGGGCACCGTTTCGCATTACCTCGCCGGATCTCTCCATCACAACAAGACCGATCGCATCTTGCAAGCTTGCTGTGTCTTAACTCCTAGCTAGGCAGCACAGAACACAGCATTTCAGCTCACTAACCAAAGTGCGCATGTACAACCCTTCCTCCCAATGCATAGTTCGTAGCCGCGTAAAGAATCGACTCGAGATATTATCGGATGCACCGGATCAGAGTCGAGAGGTGCCGTAGCTCCTTGTAAGAGCAGTGTAATCCCGCATTATTGTTCTTGGGCCCGTCTCTCCCGTCTCTATAGCAGCGCTTCTTTAGAATCCGCAAAAACATCCACGCCATGTCTCTCTGCAATACTCGCGACACCCAGGGGTGTCCTGTCGGCCTACATCTACGAGAGCTTCCTTCGCAGGCGCTGCATCACACTGCAGACTCAAAAGGGCTGATACCGCATTGAATGGAAATTCGTAGCTTCGACCGTCGAATGGTTTTCATCTCCGTTTCGCTGCTTCTCCTCTGTTCCGCGCTCGTCGCGAACGCCTCAGCGACGCTCAGCTGCGCGTACCCTGGCTCCAGGTACTCCGACTAGTGAACGACCATCTACTTAGCTCTCTGATAACAAGATCTAAGGTTTGTAGGTTGCACCACGTATAAGTGAGAGTCATCGCATCCCTGTAACTCTTGAGAGAAGCACAGTGTCCTAGAATTCAATATCACGTGACGGAATTTATGGGGCCGAATTCTTGAGCATTGGATCCAAAGGCTCTAGCGGGGTCTAAGGACTTCAAAAGGATCCAATGGCGTTGATCTTCCGCTGTTAGGTTCAATATACTTCGTTCGTCCAAGCAGCTGGAGCGATACATGACTTACGATTCTCGGATAATATGCAAAATTACGTGTCGCCCCCATGAAGTCTTGGCGCACTGGCCAGCAATCTACTTTAGATAGCCGACCTCCCGTTTACTTTGTTCAACCTCAATTTTGTTATAATCATGCCTCAGTCCCCACCCCCACTCAACCACGATACAACCAGAAATACGGCGCGTACGCATCCTTATTTTGACAAGACGCCTTGTGACAAATGGGATGTTGTAGACTTCTGTGACAAAATATACAAGGAATTGGGCTATGTGAAGTACAATATATCCAATGTCCACAACTGCTGGCGGACATCCATACAGCACCTACAGAATAGCGAGGATCCCAAAATTGCTGGGACGGCTAGTAAATTGCGGGCGGCATGGGTTCTTTCAGTAAGTTGATTCTCCGAGCTACAAAACTAATATCTACGCATCATTTGTATCACAGGATGCCTTCGTGGCGTCCTGGTCAACGGTACACCGAGGCGCATATCGCAGCCTGCCTTCGCGGCCGACTGAGAAACGATTGTGTACTCTTTGGGTGTTGCTTCTTCGCGAAGACCCCTCGCTCCTGGGTTACTGTTGACCTTCGTGGCCATCAGATTCACTAGCCCAGTCGAGCTTGATGTTTGTTAATAGGCATTCTTTGGCAGAGTCCGAAAAACGACCAGCAAAGGGCCAAGAATTTCATCAGGTCAATAACGAGAAAGCGTGGACGACACAAAGCCGCAAATCATGGGCCTACTACTATCGCTATCAGCCAAAGTAGTATTATGTTGAATTCGTCGCAAACAGGAACCACTATTGTGTTGGTGTTCCTTCCAAGGATAGTGAAACAACAATCATTGTTAACAATTCTATACGCATAGTGGAGCTTCTGTCATTCAAGATGACCCAGACACAAATTGTGCCGATTCAGAAGCTGATAATGATCCCAACACTCTGAACGCGACTGTTGACTCCAGCATCGAAAAGCAAGACTCACTAGCAATGGAAGCCTCCGACACGAAGAGGCACCAAGAAATCCTAGGTTGCTTGGAGGATTCTCGCATGACCCTTACTAATGATAAGAAGATGTTACTTGCCCATGGCAATGTTTACCTTCAAGATGTCATGCTAGATCATGCCCGACGCACTGGCAAAGTTAAGCCAATCCATTTCAGTATCCTGGATGCCGAATCCATCACGACACTGGGTCTCATGCGAGAAGATTGTGAGCAGATCACAGACTGTGTTGAAGAATCACCGCTCCCTAGGTTTCCACTGGAGTTGCTTCAGACCCTCGAGAAGTATGAGAAGGTCAGTCAATACCTTGCATTTAGATTTTCGGAGGACTGATAAGTGATGTTTGATGACTTTGATAGGCGAATTCCTATGAACACTCATGCCGAATTGAACGCACAATGTCTCATAAGGGTGATATCAAATGGATCGGTGATGTTTCATGCCACATGTGAATTGCACGCCGTTTTCACGCTATATCATAGGCTGATTCTAGACCAGTGTCCGTCTTTTAGAGAACTCCGGAATGATCTTAGATGAAGAGCTGAGTGAAGGGGTGTGGGATTGTTTGGTTTATCCTCGTTTCCTGGACGAAGTTTTCTGCGAGATTCCAGAGCTTATCCTTCAACGGTAAACCCTTATCCCAATTCTCCGCTCTCTTATTTTTCTGCTTTGGCTAATAATCAACATCGTTGCAGCAAAGAAATTTCTCTCTCAGCAACTCGCTACCAACCGTACTCCTACTTCATCAACGAACCTCGTTACGATGCGATCGCACGCCGTCGTAAGCTATCTGCTGACGGCAGCTCTCAATCTTGTTATGAACTGCTTGTCTTGGAGACAATTCGCAAATGGGAAGGGCAACTTGCAGCGAAATGGCTAAACGATTTTGATAAGCTTGTGGGTGGCTTGAGGGCGATGCTGTGCCACATTGGCGAGTTGGTAGAAAATGACCCTACAGTCATGAAGAAGATAAAGGTGGTTGGCATACTACAAGCTGGTTAGGATATTGTCTGTTGTTTAGTACTTTTTTGCTAATCATGCTAGGTCGTCGACACCAGCTTCTTATTATGTCTTGCATTGGCAAGGACGTATTTTACTTGAAGTGTGGTCAAATACATGAGCTTCCAGGTGAGCTTAAAGATATGAAGAAGTTACAATACATCTTCGCGTCATATTGGAAAGCACGGGTATGTGCCTTGGTTCCCTCGTTCTTCAAAATCTCACACTTTTTGTAGGAAATTGTTCGATGTGGTGTTCGACTTCTGGAAGAATTCTTGCAACAAAATTTAGAGCAGGATCAAAAGGCTGTCAATATTTTGTCTCCAAACTTCCTTTAAGTTTTCTGTAATTAACGATCATACTATAAATGAAACACATAATGCAAATTATATTTACAACTGTGATATGAACCATAGATCTTAGGCTTAATGGTCAACAGATATTAATAGGACCTCGAAGACGGAACGATGGCACGTGACGGATTATTGATAGCTCATCGAGCAGTTTATCCAACAGAGAAAGAAGGTCTATAAGCAGAATGTATTTCATTAATATATAGAGCTTCGTGCTCAACTCAAATAGTGATCTCAACCATTGCTTAACTACTTCTCGATTGGAAACAGTTCTTCAATACCCTGCTTGACACTGCAATACACAAAACCTTTAGCACATCCATATGAATAGAAAATTGACGACATAACACTCATTCTGAATTGTATCCCCTAAAATGTCATTTGCGGGCGTCGTTGCTTGACGGAAATCTTATTCATTAATCAAAACCTTAGAATTTTGAGATTTATTATCTTAATATGCTTTTTATGACAATTATTGATCGCTTTGTGACACTTTTGCCTTAATAGAACTGCGAGAGCAGGGTACCATTTATCCTTAACATTTTTCCGTCTTCCTGAAAACTACAACGGTTCGTTGTCTGCTGAACAATACCTTTCATGTTAATATGTCCAATGAGATCATATCGATCGAACCTTTATGGAATTTCGAACGTCGATGAATAAAGTACCACTTCGCGATTTATATTCTCTGCATGTGCACAACAAGAATTTTTGTGTTATAAGCTCACGACCCAACGAGGTATGAAGTATTCAGTCTTCTTTTAAATCTTGTAGAAAGAAGCGCCGAATATAAGATGAAAAGGATTTGCCTTGATACCTACTCGGTATTGCTGCACTCTGCTCGAATGTAACGATATCCTTTTCGCGAGTATTGGTAAAGCCGTGGTCGGCATAAAGGGTGTCATTCTCCGCCGGCTGAAGATGGGATCGGGAATCAATTGTTACAATAGTTGGTATTGGACTTTGCTGCCGGGATGGGAAGATCCAGACCAACCTGGAGCTTTCGACAGTCCAGAGGAGGTATTCCATCTCTGACACAGCTCTAGGTATTACAATTGAATGTTATTAAATGTTTTTGATCATTCAACAAGTTCAAAAAACCAGGTCAAGCTCAAACGTTCAAATCTCTTGTATGGTGGAAGTAGTCAGGAACTATTGATTGATAGACCGTAGATCTTTGTCCCACTAGTTGGGTGAGGTCTGGAGAATAGTATTGCGGATATATGACGAGATGGTGGAGTGAGTTGAAATGAAGGGCTAATCGCAATATAAGTGAGATATAATCTCATCTATGGAGCTTGAGATTTGATATCGGCGCGAGTAGAGTCACCTTTAGTTCTTATCGTTTGTCTGACCATGTATCTCACGCTCGGCAATGCTACCGATCATCTCTGAAGTTGTTTCGAAAGGAAGTTGTAGATATCGCCGTCGCCGAGAGAGTGTCCGCCCTGAGAGACACAAGGCTATCGTTGGAGTTGTCATCATCGAAGCTGAAGGGAAGAAGTCAACAATTCTCCCAGTCCTCGACGCGAACCTCCCGAAATCTGAAATGAGAACTCAAAGAATCACTGTAAATATGAGTGAGGTCTCCTGAACCCTTCATTTACCCACTGTCGCAAAAAAAAAAAGATCCAAGTGCTTGATGATCTTAGAGCTAAACACAGAATGGTAAGAGAGCCTTGTAGGCGCTTAAGGTAAAGATCGAAGATCCCACAAAGTACCACACCAGTAGCACCATTCCAACGGCTGTCTACCATTTCCGACAGGTGGAATATGCAAACACCATTCTAGAAGATTATTCGTAGAAGTCATGTCTCCAAGCCTCTTTTGCTTCCCTTGGTAATTTTTTCGAACTATGTACTAACGAACTTAAAATCAGCGAAAGTAAGGATTAGCGTATCAAGCAAGGACAAGTTTCCCTCTTCCATTGATTGATTAATTCTGGTACTTCGCGACAACGATAGTCATTGTATTTGTCCTTCCTTACGTAGATCACAACACTTTTCGTACGAGTGCAAAGTACCAAAACCGGTATCTTCAACTTTCCATTCTCAGCGAAGTCTTGAACTCTCAACGGGCTCCGGAGTTTCCGATTCCCAGGTGGCTTATACCTACCTAGTATAAAATGCACTTTATGCATGAAATCGGTGACGAGGGAGGAATCTACTTTGTGGCGGCTGCTCTATTCAAAACCTGGCAAAGAGGAAAAGGCTGAGTGAGTTTCAACTTTGAAGCCTTCACACAATGGCAAGAATAGGCATATTTTGATGCCCCATTCACCACCGTTCGCAAATCATGATCCCTCCAAGGATCTAGGGAGAAATGAACAATGAAATAAAACATTGAAAACTTTATATTGCAAATATGTACATGGTACGAAATTACCCCTCTCAATGATTCCTTCTTAAGTGCCTACCTACCTACCTCTTCTTTCCTTTTTGCAATGCTGGCTCAATCACATTTCATCTTACCTGCTGTAAGCATTCAATATCCGATTCGACCTTGCTCCGACCAAAATCATTTCGCTACCACGGAATAATCATCTCGTCCAGGTAACGAGCCTTTTCAAGAACCAGGGATTGATGCAATTTTTCTGAAGAAAAGGAAAGCTTCCCGGGATTCGAATGGTTCGGGGCCCCTGCACATATCAAAGTTGTCGAATTATACTGCCAAAAAGAGGCAAAAGAGAGTAAAACAGGCTACGGTGACCAGCCTTCGCCCTTTTGACCAGCGCATTTTGCATCAAGGGCAATTCACTTCCCCGTTCTTGAATTATTCCACCCTCTTGCACACACAATTGTCTCTCCCAATCTCTAATCTTATCCAAGTTATACTTTTTGTATACTTTCTCAACTCTCTTCATTGTATCGAATGTGTCAAGATTGAAATAAGGCAAAAGATATACTCGCAATTACGAAACTCGATTCTGCATCCAGGGTTTACTTCAAACGATCCGCGCGAACACCGATATAAAGCAACCAATCTAACGGCTCGTTCCTGAAATCGAGCGCTTCAAATATTAATTGGAGAAGCTGAGGAAGGGTCGAAGTTGAGGGGTTCAAGATCAAATCATCAGGAAAGAACAATACGACAAACAGAAACCACTGGAATGGGAACTGAGAGTCAATACCTTCGATCAATTACCCATTCACAAATACAAATCAATCACAGTTTAAACACACGCGCGCATTGAGGTTTCGCAATCGCGAGAAGAATCAATTTTACCCTTTTGTTTTACAAAGCAACGAAATACAACAGTTTAAACATAATTGAAAGTATCTTGCGCGCAATTGCGAATTGTTGGTTCTATTAAGAGAAAATGGGTTCAACACAATTTGGAAATTTCCATGTGAGTAGATCTTTGCACAGCTCAATGACCATGGAGATTGATTACTGACAAACATTCCGTTTAGAACTTCTGCCGTGACTCGACGTTACCAGTCTGCAACGTTCGTACCACTCCCTAGTTTCAATAATACGATTCGCAATTCAACGTTGCTAACCAGACTTTAGCTATTCAATCCTCCCACCAACAGCAATTTCGGATACGGAGGCTGCGAGCTGACGGGTATATCGTTAGGCGGCGGGAAATATCTGGGCAATTTGGGTTCGTTCTGTTCCCGAGAATCAATGATCGGAAAGTCATAAACTAACGCCTTTGAAGGTTCGATAATAATTGCAGGAATTGCGATTGTAATCAGTGCATTCTTAATATGGCGATCCGACCGAAAGCAAGCAGCAGTGGGAAGAAGGTTTGTCAATATTCCCAGAATTATATTTGTTTTGCATCATTCACTTACGTTTGTCACACAGGGAAATGCAGCTCTTTCTCCTAGGCTATATAATCATCGAAATATGTGAAATATTTACTGTGGGCGAATTCCCATTGAGCGCAACTGTTCGGATAGTAAGTAGGACCAAGCTCTCAAGACCCATATGTGGAAGCTGATGTTACCCCAGGCCTTCACCGGTATCCACCTCGGAATGATTAGCGCAACATTATGGATCTTGATGCTCAATGCTGTTGTGGGCTATCAGATAATCGATGATGGGACAGCAATGTCATTGGGCCTGATAGTTGCTTCAGCAGCAGCCATATTCATCGGAACTGGATACATTGCCCTCGATACTGGATACAGCTGGACCGGACATTTCGACTCAAGTTTAACTGGTCAAGGCAATGGCCAAAACCGAAACATCGCTCTCTACGTCCTATACCAACTCGCACCACTGGTCTTTTTGTTTGTATTTTTTGCCCTAGAAACAGTCTTGGTCATCAAAGTTTTGGGCGAGCGTAAGCCCATGATCTTCTTAACGGGTGCTGCGGTTTTATTCGCTCTTGGCCAAATTTTCAATTATGTTATCAGCCCTCACATTTGCAGCGGCACGAACGGAAAAATTGATGGAGCTCTTTTCGAGACACTCTTCACTTTACTCTCTGTGGTAATGGTATGGACCTTTTGGTCGAGCATCACAGAAGACGATTGGCCAATGCCAGTCACCAACACATATTCATGAGCAATTTAAGGAAATCAGGGAGCAATGGAGTTAGGAATTTTGTTATGCGCATACGAAAGTCTTACGACAATATTAGTTTAATACCCGATGTGGTACATCTTGCTACACAGAAAGCATGAATATTGGCTCAAGGATACCGCGTATTACGGCTACAGCTCTTGTCTATGGGGTAATGAGGACGGAGAATTTCACGCCATACGAAAATGAGGGCGGAAGTAATAACGACAAGGGCGCAGCTAGGAATGATTATATGAATTGGCGGAATGGCTTGTATAACGATTTTGCGAGTATTATACCCAACATTGAACTTATAGTAGGAGGAGATAGAACTTAATTCAGAGAATCAAAGTAGACCACTTTTTTACCACATAATATATGCCATTTAAGGCTCTTGTGCCCCACTCATCTCAGATTTGAATGCATGCATGGCAGCTCATTAGTAGAGTAGATCTACAATCGCGCAGACTCGCATACTCAATCTAGGTAGGTATCTATGCCTTATTAGCTAGATATTCTGAGAGCTTGAATGTGACGCACTCTGTCAACCAGGTATTGATGACCTTGATCCTGGACTCTAATATCCACAATGCACTGCGAACTATTTATTAATCTGACGATCAGAATGACACATGCAATATTGTTTTAAGACTGGATAATGCATTATTGAATGTCAGTACGGCGGTGAACTTAGTCGGCCAATCACTACTATTAGGTAGGTAGTTGCTTATTTTAAAGTTTTCCCCAGATAACTCTCCCTACACACAAGGCTGCATAGAAGCATTTTTACTCTTGGTCTCCTCGGCAATTAACTGCTCCACTAAATTGTTTAGGAAGCTCTAGCCTTGACATTTCTGAAAGACATCATCAGCCTTGTCCTCTTCCAAATAGTCAACTAAAGATTTTATTTGCCATCCAATTCAGTTCTTCCATTTTTTACAACCACAAGAATGGCAGACTCTGACGGTGAATATGTCGAGGATCTCTCAGATGATGATATTGGAGCACCCGCCAATGTAAATGCTGGGCATGGCACTCGATCTACTGGAGCTGCCACAGGCGCTGGAGGGTCAACGGCCAAAGAAAAAGCCACAAATGGCGGTGGTAATAGGCGGAAAGCTGCATGGGAAGATATTCAAAGGAGTTGGGATACTGTAGTCGAAGGAGCAGATGGTAGCATTAATTCTACTGTTGAGGGGTTGAGGGAAGCTAACAAAAGGAAGAGGTAAGAGGAGCCCTCATTTTGAAATGCTTCGCAAGTTGGCAATGTGCTGATAAGGGGCCATTCCAGATTATTGAGAGATACGACGCCCTTACAACGAGGTATTATCCGCCACTTTATACTCATCCTTGACCTCTCCTTCGCCATGACAGAGAAAGACATGCGCCCCACGCGATACCTTCTCACCATCCGTTACGCAAGCGAATTCGTTACGGAATACTTTGAACAGAACCCCATCTCGCAACTCGGGATTATTGGCATGCGCGATGGCATTGCAGTGCGCATTTCGGATATGAGTGGAAATCCCACCGAACATATTGAACGATTGAAAGCTCTCCGCGTAGACCAAGGTCAAGGAAATCCCAGTTTACAAAATGCTTTGGAGATGAGTAGAGCTGCACTATTTCACGCTCCAAGTCATGGTACGAGGGAGATACTTATTATATATGGTGCGCTACTTTCAAGTGATCCAGGCGATATCCATGAAACGATTTCCTCGCTCATAACGGATCGCATACGAGTTAGTATTGTAGGACTTGCAGCCCAAGTTGCCATTTGCGCCAAACTATGCTCGCGCACTAATGCTGGGGACGATACAGCATATTCTGTTGCATTAAATGAAGAACATTTCAGGCAATTAATGATGGCAACTACAACGCCCCCAGTCACGCGTACAAAAAAACAGTCACAGAGCAGTTTACTTATGATGGGGTTCCCATCTCGAACGCTCGACCCAGGAAAAAGCATGAGCTTTTGCGCATGCCATGGAAAGTTAAGTAGAGGAGGTTATCTATGCTCTCGCTGTGAAAGTAAAGTGTGCTCACTGCCAGCGGAATGCCCAGCATGCGGCCTTACGCTTATTCTCTCCACCCATTTGGCCCGCTCATATCATCATTTGTTCCCCTTGCGCAATTGGGTTGAAGTTCTTTGGAAAGATGCCGGAAAATCTAAAGGGTGTTATGGGTGTCAAGCAACTTTTCCCCAAAGGGACGCACATGAGAAAGGTGCCCCCGAGCAAGCAATGAAGGGCATGAGTGAGAGTGGGAGGTATGCGTGTGAGGTTTGTGGCAATCACTTTTGTATCGATTGTGATGTCTTTGCACATGAGGTAGTGCATAATTGCCCAGGCTGTCAAAGTGACACAAGAGGCTTGATTAGTAGTGTTGATGGGAGAGGTGGGGGAGCTCCAGCGAGGAGTGTGGAGAAGGATGTAGATGCTATGGTTGAATGATCAGCATCTAGTCTGACAGTTCTGATGCACGCGCAAATGGGAAAAATAAAACTTGGCGTCAGGGCAAAAGCACAGGTGATTGGGATAAAATTCACGGCTTAATGATTCGCCCAACAAATATGAAAGGGAATTGGTGATCAAATGAAATATTACTAGCGAAAACCAGAGGCGAGGCGAGGCGAGGCGAACCGAGGCGTTTAGGAGATTGAATTATAACTACTTAATACGGTAGACTGCTAGTTAGCTTGGTAGATATTTACCTAAGGATATGTATGTATACAAGTGGAAGATAAACAGAACATGCTGTAAATAGCAATGCAAATAAAGCTGGGATGGCGAGGCTAGCATTACTGCGAAGGACAAACAAATCCCCTGCTAGTAACCGCTCTTTTTTCACATCAAGGCATCGAGACTATAAAAAAGGATGATTATCAAATTCGAATAGTATCGAAACTTTTTTCTACATGCAAATTCACGATGTCTCCCATTCACTTCTCATATTAAGTAGACGATCGTAGTCTTTTGTAGCAGTATGTGATATAGAGTCATCAAATCGTTCTTCCAAACGCGCTCAAGCAAATTGCAAATATTGTGCTAATATCATTAAAGCCATGAAATCACGCCAGTCGTCACATCCTTGTCTCTCATCTCCCAGACTAAAAATCGTCACCACCACCAAAATCATCTCCTCCACCACCGTTATCTGCACCGTCCTCGTATCCTTGATTGTATTCGTTTTGATCATGGTCTTGAATTCTGTATGGAGTCGGTTAGTATTCCGTTAATTTCATTACAAACGGGAATGATGTGATCAAAACTTACGCATCTTCGAGCAACATTCCACCAATCAATCCTCCACCCAATCCTAATGCCGCACCTCCGGCCATTCCCATCCCCCCGCCACTCTTTTGTGGCCTCTGCTGCTGATAGCCCCCTCCATAACCACCTGCATATCCTTGCTGTGGGGGGTAGCCCTGAGGTGGATAACCTTGTGGTGGATAGCCTTGTTGTGGATATTGTTGCTGTTGGTATCCACCATACTGTGGTTGTTGCGCATACTGCTGTTGATACTGTTGCTGCGGCGCACCGGAACTCGAGCTCGAACCACTGGTCTTTCCTAAAAGCTTTCCAAAGAAACCCTTTTTCTGCTCGCGTGCAGGTAGTTCTTGTTGCGAATAGGAAGGCATAGGGGTGTTTTGATAGTCTTGCTGGGCGCTGCCGCGCATACCACTGCTTGAACCTCCACGAGCATCCTCTTCGGCTTGCAAACGACGGGCAAGTTCAGCGTCGCTTTCGGTGTTGGGAGAGGGGTCATATGGATTGCTTTTGTTGTCGGAAGGGTAGTTAGAAGAACCACCGGAGTATCCTGGGGGTGGGCCGGGAGGAGCGCTATCGCCGGAAGGATAGACAGGTTCGGTGGGCTTGTCCCAGGTAGACTTCTTGGTGTAAATGTTTACATAGAACCTAGTTTCTTATTAACTTCCATAGTGTAGTTGAAAAGAATGAGATGAATACACACCATTCTTTGTATTCGGCGTTCCATACTGCTTTGTATCCCTCAGGAACTTTCGGAGGTGGAGGACCGGTAGGAGGGGCAAAATCATTCATCTTAAAGTTGGTGCTTTCTTGTGAGTCTTTAATTGTAAGATCGACAGGTGTTTTGGAAAAACAAGATGGTTAAATTCCGCGAAGAGTATCTGCATAAATTATAGGTGTCAAGATCTAAGATGACTGTCTTATATGAAAAGAAGGTCAGTGAATGGCGAAACGATGAAATCAAGGTACCCGCTCAGCCACAGCAAGATAGCTGATGAGGGGTTTATTTAGTGTACCTACCTACCTAGGTTAGGTATGCACAGTCCTATGGAGTGCCTAAGTCGGGGCGAGAACTTGGCTACGAACTCCAGTCTCAGCTAATTGTTGTACACCAGTAGTAAATTTGTAGAGCACTTGAGATATCTAGGTAGGTACTTCAAAAAGCTTTCCTGTGTTGAGTAGACACAATTATTATATTTTAAAAGTTACAGTAACAATTTTAATCTACATGAAAGGAAGACATTCCAATTCAATGAAATAAAATACCATTGACTTCGCAGCGCAGCCACACTTGTTATCTTGGTATCCGCTCCTGCTGTCTTCTGACCCAATCCCAGACGTCATCCCCAAGCGAGGTACCATCTCCAGCCTGGGAGTAGTCGTACCCGCCACTCCCAATACTTAATCACCGCCAACCTTGTACTCAGCTTCACCACAACAACATCAAATATTATAGAACAAAATCAATCATGAAGTTTTCCGTCAGTCTTGTTACTCTGCTCTTCAGCAGCACTTTTGTCGCTGCAAGCCCTTTTTTCAGTAACGGTCAAACCGTCCTTGACAATAAGGTAGTTGTTCCTGGAAACAACCCTCTCACCTACTGCAATCCCGATCATTCGTCTGATATCCTATCGCTCGACCATGTCAATTTGAATCCCAATCCTCCAACTGCGTACGCAAAAGCTGTAGAATCTTGAGATGTGATAACAGAAGCTAATTAGACAACAGTGGGAATAAACTTACCATCGAAGCGGTCGGCACCTTGTCGCAGACGTTGGAGAAGGGTGCATACGTTCGCTTGCAGGTCAAATATGGCTTGATTCGACTTATCAGTATGACAGAGGATCTGTGCGATCAAGTATCTAACGTCGATTTGAGTTGCCCGATTGATGCTGGAAAGATTACAATCACAAAGGATGTTGATTTGCCAAACCAAATCCCTCCCGTAAGTCTTCAAGTTGCACTCTATTTCATTCTTCTAACTCATCACATCAGGGAACTTATACCGTCTTCGCCGATGCATATACTGCGGATGATGAACCCATTATTTGTTTACAAGCAACAGTTACCTTTTCACGTTAGACTACCCCGATACTAGATAATCGCTGCATAATACCCTCAAATTGTATTTAGGACTTCGTGAAGAGCAGAGATTTGCATATGGACTGTATTAGGTCGATAAATAATGGTGGATGAAGGAGTTTACTTTCTGGGAATCCCTCGCCCTGTGCCTTGACAGATACTTCTGGTCACAAGGTCTTTCCTTTGCTTCTGGGCGCGCTGTTCTCATGAGAACTGAATATACGAGAATTAATGAAATGGATTAATACGGAAGCCTCTATTCTGATATTTCGCTTCACCAATTTATAACATGCCAGACATATGACATGGCAAATGCTTAAATTTTGATGGCTTGTTGAACCTTCGATGCTGTGGTTAGTTGATTATGAGCCTAAGTTATATAAATTTCCAAAAAGCACAAGGAAATGTATGTGCAAGACTTCACAGGCTGGCATACTCTTGTATTCATTTGTTTGATATCAATAACCCCATGAAGGTGTTAATCTCGAAAACGCCCAACTCTCTAGCCATTTAAACACACAACCATACCCATAGCACACAGTCTCCCCCTAAAACCATAACGACTAACCCTTACTCTCCAAAGAGTCTTCGAACTCTTCTTAAAACGCTATCCTTCTCCGGATCGTATGGGTGATCTTTACTAGGTATCTCCAACAGTGCAGGGAATGCGGCTGTGTATGTATCTACTCGATGGCGTATACGTTCCGCAATCTGTAAAACCTTTGTTAGTCTTGCACACTCCAAAGCTAATTATGACAACTATCTTACATGTTGGTTGATCAACAGAATACCAATATCCTTCCTCTCAGTTGTAAATCTCTCAAAGGCTTCCTCAATTGCTGCATTATCTGTCTTGTTATCGACAACGAGGAAGTTCTTCTGCGAGTCTGGCGGTGAAGTGACATGCTATGCTTTCATCAGTAATCTCTTTCTCGGGCGATAACTCCGTAGAGTAGAACAAGATGTCTCATACACCAATGCCTGCCAACAACAGTCCAGTTACAGAATCCTACGAGGCTGGTTAGCAACATTCACAACAGCTTGGTTCGATTTGAAGCTCACCTCATCACCAATGACGGCAAGAAATTGCCTATCCTTATAGGCAGATACTGGAGCTGCCATCTTGTCTATGTTTGTTTGATATACTTCTCCAAACAGTCAATCCAGTGGCAGCGTTAAGCAAGGTGAGCTCTCAGGCCCCACTAAAGTTATGCGCTAGCGTACGGCACCCCTGGCTGCAGCTACTATGACCCACGTCCAAAATATAAATCATGCCCCCAGAACGCCTCTGTGGTAAACAATAGGAACGGAAATCGCAAGGAAGCAAATTCGATTGCAATAACTCATCGGATTTACGATTTTCGCTTCTTGTACTGACGTTCAATGATGTGAAGATATTATCGACATCTTTTTCATCATGCCGCGACTTGTGCGCCGAAGACCGCTTCGTGAACGCATTACGGATTGGTTTAATATTCAGGATTGGTTATTATGGATATCGGAGGAAATCGAAACAAGAGATTGGGATTCGAAAGCATATGCTAATCCACTGGGTTTTGGATTACATTTTATACTATTAATTGCGAGGGCGAATAGTGGAGACGAAGGTCGCGGAAACGGAGATGATGTATTTGGGGATGTGCCTTCAGGATCGGGATGGTTGAGCTGTTTGGTAAGAGTTGCCACTGTGAATAGTGACTTGTGTAGCCTAATACTAACTGATTAAGTAGTCTACTCTAGTTGTCTATTTACTGACAGCATTGTCGATCTTGAATGCATTCTCAACCTTCTCACGAAAGCGCAATTACCGCCTCTTCGAGAGCTCTATCGAAACCGCTCCCACTACCCCTTCTGCTCACAGAGTACGCGTAGACTCCTCGCCAGTATCTTCTTCTCCTCTTCGGTTCTTCTCGAATATGCTAGGGGACACGAGTGCGCAGTCAAGAGCGCATCCAGACCCGACTCGGGACGTTTGGGAGATCGCTGTTTGGGACCCTATACCAGTTTGCCTACGATTATTCTGCCTGTTTAGTCCTGGACATGTACTGGTTTATTGGCTGTTCCTTCCAACATTATCTTCAGATTCTCGACCAAGTGTTACGATTTTTACTACTCTGGTTTTGGAAGCCTTGATGACTGGGCAATTACTTCTTTTAGAAACAAATTTCTCGCAGCAAGAAAAGGACAACAGCATTATACAGAAAGAAGTCATGAGCGAATATGATGCCAAATTCGTACATCCCCGTTTGAATCCGGTCATGCGAGATGTTGGCACACAGTTTTCTGGGCCGGGTGCTGAAGCCGGACGAGAGGAAGAAATTGAAATCTACACGCCGAGTGTGGTTCTAAAAAAGGGCTTCCGTACCAATCCAAATCCTAATTACGCTAAGTATGTTGACCCGGACAGTATTAGTCCCAGCAAGCCAGTCTCCCGTCAAATTTTCTCTCCTGCTCCATCCTTTATTTCAGCTTCCTTTCAGCAACCACGAGATTCGCCCTACAACAGAAAGATGTCAAACACAACCATGCGACAACCTCAATTCCGTCAAACAACTCCTACTACTGCCACATCGACTGGGACGGGGGACGGTGGTAGCTTGGGTATCTATAATCATGCCAACTCGCCTTTGAAGAAGACGAGCAGCATGTTCGACATGCAGGGACGAGATCGTAGAGATACGCCCAAAAGCTCTTTAGATATGGCAGGAAGGGAAAGAAGAGATCAAAGAGAGAACGAAGCAAGCCCGATGAAGAGAGTGCAGGGAGGCAGCGACGTTCGACCATTCGGGAGATTGCCATTTTCAAGCACTGATAATGATAGAAGGGCTAGTGGTTCAAGTGCCTTCGACCCAAGAGTGAGATCAGGGAACGTTGAGCATAGTCCATATAAAAGGGGCCCTTCCAGATGGTAATTTTTTTCATAGCGGATTTCTATTCTTTTTAAGTCAATTGTACAATGCATTTTTAGGAGTCTAACAGGTTCGGTAACATGGTGGCACGATCTATAGTAATGACAAATACCATTACCAAATATTATTCCTTTGTACGTGTGTATAATTTTAACAAATACTGGAATTGATGTGACGCTCGTATGTCAATTACTTTCACCGTCTCGCTTATTTCTCGTGTGGTTAAGGAGAGTGTTGTATGAGATCACTTGTATCTCAACCTAAGTTGAGATTTTTTCGTTTCATGCTAGTGCTTGATCCAGCCCGCTTTTGGAAAACTCTATATTACTTTTCCATTGTTTCTGAATGCTTTTTCTTACGTCTACACGGTGTTTTTCTCAGTCTGAAGTAAATGTCGAGCACAATCTGGGTTGAATGCTTTTACATTAACTCAATCAAACATTCCGCCCCATTAAAACCAAGGTTTTGCGTTTGGAAAGAATAGTTTTCATGAGGGTATTGAAAGACTAAAGTCGATCCTACTAGTTTGCGGTGTCTAAAATATTCGTTCCATTAGTAAGTACATGGCATTTAAAAAAATTAGTCGATCGATAGATGGAATTGCAATTCTGCTTAAACAAACTAGCTACACCGATGTCGAAGTTCGGCGCTATACAAAATTCTGCTTGGCTAAGGTGATCTTGCAATGAGATAAATACAGCGTCAATGCAATGAATATGTATAGTCATAGATAAAGTTCACGATTCATATATAGTGGCTGTTTTCCATAGCCGAGTGATGTTAATATTGAAAGGACTGTTAACATCTATAGCATAAAATATAAGGTTTGGTGTTGACGTGTGCTAGTTCCTTCTCAATGAAAGTTGGTTTACTTAGCGCCAAAGAACGAACTTATTAAGGCTGAGCCGTAGATTGCTAGTATTGGCCTTTAGACAGAAAGGCGGACCCGTTCTTGAAACAGGGCTTAGCCTAGTGCTGTCATTTTGATGCTTTTCGTTGTCGGTTTTGTATTTTCCACTGTCGTAGTTTGGTATTAGCTTCTCCCGAAAAACGACACTCTATATACTAAGTTTTGATCTATAGCCCTATACCGGCATGTTAAATGTTGTGAGCTTGCAAGTATCGCCAAAGCAAAGCATTTCAAAACTTTAGACATTGTATGTTAATGCTTCAGGCGGCTATATGATAATGTTAATGGGCATCAGACTAAAGTGACATGCTGCAGTTTACATTAAACACGAGCTGTTTACTGTGACTATATATTGAATGTGTGTTGTATCAAGAACATTGTCAACCTGTGATCGACCGCATCCTTTTGGTATGGTCCCATGTCGTAAGCAAACATAATACCATACTCCAGATAATACTAGCTACTTGTAAGATCTATAGTACATCACAATACAACTACTAAGGTAAGGCGATCTTTATTAGTACATGGACAAATTTATGAGTGATTTAGTAGGGAGCCAACATTATTTGCCGAACTAAGCAGGAGCGATCCGAATCTTCCATCAAATAGCACCAAATGGCACATATACAAGCCTCTTTGTGTCCATAGCAGTGCTATTCTACCACTGCTAGACCATGCTTAGAAGCTCGCCAAAAACGATTAAGGCTTTGATAGAGACGGCTAGGATTACTGAACTACAGATTTCTCCGTTAGTGGTCTGGGGATCTGCCTCCATCCCCATACAATTGACCACTAGCGGAGAAGTTTTCTTCATGACTTCATTGAAGACCAGATGATTGCTAGTAAAAGCTGTCGTTGGCTTCATCTCACATATACTCCCCACATTTACTCTCTCTCTCTTGCTCTCTTTCTCTTTTCTCTCTTCGTTCTTCAGACAAAGTTGATACTGCACATTTCTCGTTATACACATTTTTGACTCTCAAAATTCGTACTTCAACACTTTAAAAATCAGTATCACAGCTTTATCTCTTTACAATCAGTATTCCACTCGATTACTCGACTATATTTTGAACATCCAAGTTCCTTATTCAAACGCCATACAACAAGTTAACCATTATACCATCTTGATACCTTCATCATGGGAATCAACATCATCTATTACTACGGCTACTTTGTCACCGAGGACGTCTATAGTACTGCAATGGACGGTGCTAAAGACATCATACCTCGCAGACTTCGTCGCTCGAAGCTTTTCAGAAGATCCAAAGGATCTAAATTAGCCTCAACAGAAGAGCCTGAATATAATAACCCCACTTCATCAGAGGAAGAATACTCAAAGTCATTCACCTCTGAAGACACCGCAGAGACCGTCATCCATTACTCGTCGGAGGAGAAGCAAAGCGAGCTTGACCAAGACATTTTCTCTAATGATTCTAAAGGATCCACAGACACGATCATTCATGATGAGACGGTCAAAATCTCGCGCCGCCAGAGGTGCAAGGCTAAGCTTCGAAAATGTCTGTCTTCAAAGACATTGAAAGCAAAATTCTCCAGCTATAACATTTCTTCGGATGAATGCGTTGAATTAGAGGATGAGGTTGTTTCAGACAGTCACATCAACGAAAATGATCACATTGATTCAGACAATCATGATGATGAGAACAATGATGTTCATTTGGACAACATTGTCGATACAGACGATATCACCGTTGCGAACAATTCAGGAGCTTCAGGTAACATTTACCAAAAGAAGCAATGGTCTGCTTCAGATTATTCTCTGTCTATCTACTCACAAGATGGTATCGATACCATCGTCGTATCTCCAAAGGAGAAGGAGATCAACGACTTAAAAGCAAAATTATTCAATAAAGAGTTGGAAAGCAATAGGCTTCGCTCAAAGATCTCGCAGCTTAGCAGCGAGCCGACCTCAAAGTCAGCCTCTGAATCAGAGTCTGTAATTTACACTGCATTTGAGACAACCAAAGTCTCCGAGCTCAGCAGTGATACTCCCTCCTCAAATTCAGGCTCAACATCAGAGTCTGTTATTCATACCCCATTGGAGACTACCAAAGTCTCCCACCGTCAAAGATACCGAGCCAAGATTCGTCGATGCCTTTCCTCTACTCAGGAACTCCTGGCACCTTTGAAGGCCTTGCACCCTAACAATCGGGCTGAAAGGGGTCACGCCAAACAACAAGCCAAAGATGCCCTTGAAGCTTTGCAGAACGCTCCAATGTTCTTCGAATCCGTCCCATTTGAGTCCACTGAGGAGGATGAAGCTCCAACCTTCTACTGCCCTCGCCATGGCACCTGTTCTTCTCATTTTGCTTGGTGTTTCTGCGATTATCATCCCAGCGCTGCCCATCGTCAAAGCGAAAGAGTGGAAGACTGGTTGCTGCCAGCTTGGCGTGCCAGTGTTACAAGAGGCATAGAGGAAGACAGGGCTGAAAAAACTAGAATAGAAGAACAAGCTAGAATGGAAGAGCAAGCCAGCATGGAAGAGCAGGCTATGATGGAAGAGCAGGCTATGATAGAAGAAAAAGCCATCATGGAAGAAAAGGTCAGGATGGAAGAGCAAGCCAGGATGAAAGAACAGGCTTTACCCATTCAAGAGAAGTCTGAGCCTCAAAGATTTTCTGCTGAGGAGTATATCGATCTGATCAGTGACCTCACTGACGATTACCTTGGTTATTCACGCTCTAAATCACGCAGCCACAAGCGCAGCAAGAGTAAGAAGAGAGTTGAGAGAGCTGTTGAAGAAAAGATGGAGGAAAAAGCTTTACCCATCCAAGAGTATTCTGAACTTAAGAAACACTCTGCTGAAGACTATGTTGGTCCAGCCAGCGATCGGACCGACGATTATCTTGGTGTTACGGGCTACAACCCACGCACCGGAACGCTCGACAAGAGCAAAAGAAGTAAGAAGAACAAGGAACACCGCCGTGTTCGTTGGGCCAGTACTGAGAAGGGATGGGAGAGCAAAGCTGTAAGCTCTTCTAGCCCCTCGGCTGAATGCACCAAGGAGAATGAGAAGATGGAGGTGCCTTTTTTAGCCTAGACGCCGGTACGCGTGGTGACGTCCACTACCACGTGCACCATCACTACTGGCGAAGGAATGAGAGGAAAGAAAAGAAGAAAAGAACAATAAAAGAAAGGAGGAAAAGAGAGAGGAGACATAGGAGCTCTTTTTATTAAGGAACATGAATTGTTTTGTTCACTTGGGTCTGTTTTTTTAATCTTTCTGTTTTCTGGGTTTGTCTGTTGTTTGATTATCTTGTATTTTGTACTTTGTTTTGCTTTTGTGCTTTTATGTTGTCTTTCTGGCGTTCAGGAGTTGGGCGTTTTGGTGTTTTGGCGTTTTGGGCGTTTTTATACGTCTACAGTAGGATACGAAAAGTAATTGAACGGAATAGACACTAGGATAAGAGCAGGCTTGGATCAGACCAGACCAGATCAGTATAGGAATAGGAATCATCAGGATAGAGCAGAACAGAATAGAATAAAAACTCCACTCCAATGAAAAATTATTATGACTTTTGGTGTCCAAGTTGCAAAGGTTTCCCAGTGCACAAAAGATGGTAGATGCGGTGGCACTAGTCATATACTCAAGTACTGTAAACTGTCATCGGGGAACCGCGTTTCATGTCTTTATGATACAGCTTGAACCTCTTGATTATAAAATATCGACCAATTTGGTCCTCTAACCCTCCCAGGAACCGGTCTAACAGCTCGAGAGCCAACAGAAGCATGTGTCTTTGCCCCATCTCACTGTGATTGTTCTTGGTAGTAAATATAAATAGAAATGATATCTTAGACTCTTTTCCTATGTCTTGTGAGTCAGTTATACCCTCTCACCATGTATCTTCCTGTCCCAAATATTTGTTACTGCTTTAGACGAACAAGAATACCTACTAGCACCACCTTTTTTCCACCGCATGTCTGAGCCTTTCTCACGTGCGAGGACGGTACGAATTATCAATCTAATACTCAAGCGAGGAGCAGTCATTTTCCTGAGAAATACCACTCGATTTAGCCTTCAAGTCGCTGTTCCAGCCCTTTCTCATTCCGTCGAGTCATTATCTTAAGTTGAGCATGTTCAACTATAACTGTCAGATAGTAGTCTCTGATGTGCATAGTATACACCTAAGTATTTAGATTTATGTTCTGGATGGTCCAATGCAAGTTAGATTAGACAATCGATTCTACTTTCGAGATCCGAGGTGAATTAAATACCCGAGAGGGGTTCCTTATCCGCGATGCCTTTGGAGGACTTGGTGACAGACGACTTATTTCCGACACAGGTTTAAAACACGAAAACATGTCTATATCTGGCTTGTAATTTTCATTAAAATAGTTTGCGGCTCGGTGTTTTATGTCGCTTTGATCAGTATTCCTCCAAATCTTGGGTTGGCGGTATACAAGTGGAATCCGGATAAAGCGAAACCCAATCTGGAGATAGAATTGCCTTCTGATTCACTTTGAATCTTAGATAACCTTATGACGAAGGTCTCTCTCATGTATATCTTATTGAGAATGAAATGAGTTTCTTTGAAGATTGATGGGCGAACTGGCGAAGCGTGGTTGTCTACTAAGGGCTTAGCAATTGTCACGAGAACACATTCAACGGAGCAATGGTTTATAAATATCAGATATACACAATACATATTAATCCTAAATTACAAGTCGCGAAAACCAAAAATGTAAACAATGAGCCTGTTTCCCTCCTCGATACATACCAACGTGAACCAAGCTTAACAATTTCGCAGATCCTATCCATATTCTGGTACATCCAAATCTCTGTAACTATTTCATAACCAATACTGACGCCTAGCGCCTAGCATCGTGTCTGTAGAAAGTGGTATATGATGTACATGGAATCTTATATTTCCAATGATGTTCTAATTTCGAAAGTAGATCTACAACCAATTATAGAAACTGGTTTGTATTTCCGACTCTTTCATTATGATTTCAGGTCTCTAAAGCTCCACACGAGAAGCTTCACCATGAGTCTCTACTCCTCGGCTGTTATCTCATGTCCAAGCACTATTACGGTTAGTATATTCACAAGACCTGCAACCCACTTATGTTCCTCAGCCTTGCTCCCCACACGCCACCTCCTCTCCCTTCTTCAGCAATCTTGCCACTGACATCTCTCCTGTAACTTCCACGTTGACCCGTGAAATCAGTCCCACTGCTAACCTGTCGCCCATCCCCGCCAACCATAACAGGCGGTGTTGCAGGCTTCAAATCTCCATAGTACTTTGATTTGAAGCTATCACCCGAGCCCGAATCACGTGTACGAAGGGGCTTAGGTGTTAGCTCGCGAATCTCAGGAGAACGCAGAGGTAGAGGCCAAGATGGCTCGTCGGTTATATCAGCACTTGGACTGCCAATATGTTCATCGGCATCTGGATTGATTGCGGATGGTGCTTGAGAGGAGTATTTGGATGACGAGGAGGGGAAATTGTGACGTGGTGTTGGAGGATTTTCCATTAGTGGATTGGGGAGATGGAAATTGTCATCATAATCGTCGGCTGCGGCAGGATCAAGCGGTAAGGGATGGTAAGAAGACTCAATGGAAGTGGATGGTTTTTTGGGCGAGTGGGGCCGAGAGCTTGATGCGCTACTGCGATCGCCCTTCTTACTGAGAGAATCACTAGTGAACCAACTTATAACGCCGCTATCAGGGTGGACATTGCTAGTGGATTCTTCAGCTGTGTGAAAGGATAAATCAGAGGCGGGAATTGAGGTATACGACTGATGAGATGCGCGTTTTGGGGAAGATGAGATTGACGGTGCTGCCTTGAAGTCTGGAACTGAGTGACGGGGTGGTTGATTGGGCTTGTAAGCATTATAGCGAGCCGGAGAATCTGTGCGAGATGTACGAGGTGAGGATTGATTACTTTGGAACGAATCATTGGAATTTGTCCGCGTGTGGAAGAAAGGTATTGTAGGAGGGCGATCGAGATCCTCATAAGCGGCTCCAGAACGTCGCTTATCCTCAAGATTGGAACCTCTTGAGAGTCGTTTCTCAGATGGAGCCGTGATGGTGGTGAAAGTTGAAATGGATGACTTGTTACGCTTGTGACGAGAAGTGAGATTATCTTCCAGGGGATTCATATCCGGGGGAAGTTGATTGATTTTGCGGAATGTGACAGCGAGATATAGAGATATAGCAAGAGTAATCAAATGAAGCCCGCCTCCAACTGTGGCTGCGTAAAAAAGAATGTCGGTAAAAATTGTTAGAAGAGTCTTATCAGAAAGAGACGTAGTCCAAGTAGTTTGTTTCGTTTTAGCTGCGAGGGAGATATACGCATAAAATGGTACAATACTTATGTCAGTCAAAGATGCAAACACCATATATGATGCTGAAGATCCGGGCGCTCTGCCGCCGGATCTTCGCGCTAAATGATATACCCCATAAATGGTATGAATAATTGCTACTGCGGGCTGAGACATATCAGTCAGTCGGTAGTTGATATGACGCATTATGGGGATAACATACCGCAAGCTTCATAATCCACCCTGACACCATATCCAAGCCCGTGATCAAAATTGACATGATCAGAAGGCCGACTGCTGCCAAGACTTGAATACATCGCAATACCAATGCGACTTTTCTAGTCCATTTGACTCTCTTCTTGACACAAGGGTCCATTGGTTCAGACTCCCCATGTCCAGAAGGAACAATGAGATAAGAACTGATGAAAGTATATCAGTATTCTTTACAGTAATCTCCAAAGGCATACTCAAACGTACTCAGGATGTGCATTGAAGTTGACCAAAGGACCATCTGGTCGCTTTGGCCGTGGTGCCTGGGGTGATAAGCTCGCTCTGGAGACAGCTTTTGGATCAAAAGACCAATCTGTTTTGATTGGATCATAAATGAAGGGAGGTTGGATACCCATTATACCTGACAGCAATTAATGAAAGACAGATTGAATATTGCAGGAATGAAGTCAGGAACGTGAATTTTGCAAAGAATGAATCAAGGGTATAACCTGTGATATAATCCTGGAGATTAGCGCTTGGATCAACAAACTTAGATGCAAGCTTCGTTAACACAGCAACAAACGATAACTTTACGAAGCGCACAGCGTTATCGGACAATGCGATAAAGATTTCCGAACGCTTTCATATGACGTTTGAGAGCGAGAGAAAATGAACAGGATCGCGAGTCCTTGGATTTGCACAAGATGTGCGAATTCTGCACAGCAACGCATACGTTTGATCACTCGATCAAGGGCGTTTACAAATACTACCAGAAAACTTACTGAGAAGCCCAGAGCTCACGATGGTAGGCCATTTAGGATGGCTGTCATTGGGTCAGGACCTGCTGGATTTTATACGTCTTATAAGGTGATGTCCAAAATTGAGAATTCAATCGTGGATATGTATGAGCATCTCCCAGTACCTTTTGGTTTGGTACGATTTGGCGTTGCTCCCGACCATCCTGAGGTGAAGGTAAATCTCAATTAGCCAGATCCAGACCGAACGACGAGAAAAAGTTGTGCTAATGCTAAACAGAATTGTCAAGATAAATTCAACGAGGTGGCTGAATCGCCGAACTTTAACTTCATTGGGAATGTATCTATAGGAGATCACGCTGGAGCTTTACCTCTCGCTTCGCTATTGCCACATTACGATGCTATCTTATATGCCTATGGCGCATCTCGCGATCGTACACTTAATATCCCGGGAGAAGACAATTTGAAGGGTATTTATTCGGCGCGGGCATTTGTTGGATGGTATAATGGTCTACCGGAATATGCGGATCTTGACCCAGATCTTACACAGGGCGATGAAGCAATAGTTATCGGACAAGGCAATGTAGCTTTAGATGTCGCAAGAATCCTCTTGCAGGACCCCGATATATTGCGAACTACCGATATCACGGAGAGAGCTATTGAGACTTTGCAAAAAAGCCAAGTCAGAAGAGTGAGGGTAGTGGGGAGAAGAGGTCCTCTGCAGGTTTGTTTTATGGGGCGAGTGGAGCGTGTTTATGCTAATGATTACAGGCTGCATTCACAATCAAAGAAATCCGTGAGCTGGCGAAATTAGATTCGGTGGCTTTTCATCATGTTGATAGATCGTTAATCCCAGAGGACATATCGAAATTACCTCGAGCTTCGAAGAGAATTATGGAAATCATCAAAAAGGGGTCAAGTGCTTCCTTGGAGTCGGCGGCTAAATCATGGTCACTTGACTTTTGCCTCTCACCAAAATCGTTTAACCAAAGTCATCAGTCCCCCTCCCAGTTAGGTGGCATGTCATTTGAAAAAACTTTACTAAGTTCAGACCCCTTTGATCCGACAGCTAAGGCAAATGGTACTGGAGAAATGGTTGATCTTCCCGCCTCTCTAGCCTTTCGATCTATTGGATACAAATCAGAAGCGCTGCCAGGATTCTCGGATCTGGATATACCATTTAATGATAGCCTGGGTATCATACCAAATGATCCGTTGGGCCGTGTAATCAATGTTGACGAAGGGTGGTCAACTTCGAATTCGTCTAAGCATATCCCCGGAATGTATTGTGCTGGGTGGGTAAAACGAGGACCGACAGGTGTAATTGCAAGTACTATGCTGGATGCTTTCTCGACTGCAGATACGATAGCTGAAGACTGGTATGCACATGAAGCGTTCCTCAATGGTAATGCAGGAGGTTCTGGCCTTGGATGGGATGGTGTAAAAGCTGAGGCTGACAAGAAGGGTTGCCGAAGGGTCAGTTGGGAAGATTGGCAGAAGATTGATGCAGCCGAGCGAAGGAGAGGTAACAGTAACGGGAAGGAGCGAGAAAAGTTTACAAATGTGGAAGACATGCTCAAGGTCTTAGATTAAATCAGGAAATTCTAAAACTAACAATATTGTACATTATTTCTGCAACTTCTCGGTGAGTTCTGGGACCTTGTCGAACAGATCTCCAACCAGCCCAACATCGGCGACTTGGAAAATTGGAGCATCAGCGTCTTTGTTGATTGCCGCAATGACCTTACTATCCTTCATTCCTGCCAGATGTTGTATAGCACCAGAGATACCTGCACATAAGTACAACTGTGGCGCTACAACTTTTCCTGTTTGACCGACCTGTAAGCTGTTGTCGGCGTATCCACTGTCTACAGCTGCTCTTGACGCTCCAATGGCTGCCCCCAAAGCATCCGCCAAAGGTAGCATTATTCTGTCAAACTCCTCCTTTGATTTCAAGCCTCGACCGCCAGATACGACTTTACCCGCAGTGGCGAGATCTGGTCTATCTGATTTTGCGAGATCTTCTGATACCCATTCGGTCTGCGATTCAATCTTAGGGTCTACTCCCTCCTCAATTGATGCCGAGCCACCCTCCACCGCTGCTGCTGCAAAAGCAGTTCCTCTGATGGTAATGATTTTGATTTCGTCTGAAGATTCGACAGTGGCAATTGCATTACCAGCATATATTGGTCTGACGAAAGTGTTCTCATTTTCGATTCCTGTAATATCTGATATTTGTTGAACATCAAGTAGTGCGGCAACGCGGGGCAATAGATTCTTTCCAAAAGCTGTGTGTCCGGCGATGATGTGTGTAAAGCCACCCTTCTTAATATTTTCTACCAATAAAGGAGCATAGTTTTCTGGCAAGCCCTATAACAAAATTATCAAAATCTGCTCATCGGCAGAACCGGTCGTGAGCAAATAGGTCTCCTTACCTTGTCATATGCAGAATTGTCCACAGCAATGATCTTTTCAATTCCTGCAACTTTAGCTGCTTCTTCGGCTACAGATTTTATGTTGCCTCCCGCGATGAACGCCGTTATTGACCCTCCCAGCTTTTGTGCTGCGGTGACTGCTCCAAGTGATCCATGGTTAAGTTTACCTTCCTTCTGTTCCAAGACGGCAAGTGATGATAATAGTCTTGCGAGTGCCGAGATGGAAGCTACTGGTGTAGGGCCAGCTTGTGTTCGTAATTGAGTCCGCGCTTGGCGTAAAATAGAGTGGCCGGCTCGTGAAAGCATTGTTATGAAATTGAGAGAAACAAAATTTGAAAGACTGAATTGTTGGTGAACCTCATCAATGAATTTCACTTAGTACTAGATAACTACCCCATGTTTTCCTTCCACCATCGGAGGCGTGCCGCTTCAAGCCGAGGGACATGTTTGTGTGCCTGACACTTTTAATAAAGTATAACCCGAGCCTTACTAATTTAAGGTGTAAACTTTGGCTTTGGTTGGTTTGTCATCACGTGAATTATTTTAGTCTTGGCTTTTTGGTTTTCGGCTCCATCTTGAGCTTTAGCATAGCAAGCGAAACGCGACCTTCCCTCCAGAAAATCATCAACGCGAATCACAGCAATAGTGTTTGCGCCTCAATCTCTCAATCGTTGATTACTACATAATTTTCCTTTGCATTAAGTCGTGCATCTAGTTTCTGATCGATTCGACGCGCATGAGAATTCGAACATCATTTTGGAGATCTAGCACGACTCCCGTTGCGCCAAGTTTGGAAAGCGTTTACGAATAAATTATTGCGATACTTTTACCATTTCAAAATATAAGCAAATATGGAGGACAATTCATTGAACTTTGATTCGCCTGCCCCAGGCAGCAATGCCATCCTCGAGCAACCACCACTTCCCGCAGAGTCTACTTCACCACCAAGTCAAGGGGCCACTGGACAAGCCCAAAGAGCAGAAGGTATATATCATCACATGCTCGCATTACGCGTAAGTTCTAACAGATAATATCTATAGATACCCCAATGGGAGAAGATGGTTCTGCCGATTCAGCCATTAAAAAAGATTCAAGTGCGCCTGTCTCCGATAATCCGCTCGATGCGCCTGACGCACCTCGCCCAGAAGCAGATGAACCTAAGGACGAGGTAATGGGAGATTCTCAAGCCCAAGATGAGGTGAAAGAAAGTAAAGAGGGCGATGGAGAAAGTGGAGCTACAAATGGACAAGTCGAGAAAACAAAAGCTTCAATCGAAGCATCAGCAAGGGAACATCTCATTTCACAAACACATTCGACTATAATACCCAGTTATAGTAGCTGGTTCGACATGCATGCTATTGCACCAGTCGAGAAGAAATCTTTGCCGGAATTCTTCAACAACCGCAATCGCAGCAAGACCCCATCTGTCTACAAGGATTACAGGGACTTCATGATCAATACCTACCGATTGAACCCAATAGAGTACTTGACGGTTACAGCATGCCGGAGGAACTTGGCTGGTGACGTTTGCGCCATTATGCGTGTTCATGCATTTCTCGAGCAATGGGGCTTGATCAATTATCAAGTATGTCAATTCTTACCCATTGAAAAATATATCTGCTAATGAGTTTAGGTCGACGCACAGCAACGACCTTCGCAAGTTGGTCCCCCTTTTACTGGCCATTTCAAGGTGATATGTGACACCCCTCGTGGCCTGCAGCCGTGGCAGCCTTCCGCCGATCCAATCGTTCTTCAGGGCAAGAAAAGTGAAGATACAGAGGCCAAGGCAGCTGCAGAGCCAGCTCCCAAGTCAGACTTGAATTTACAGATAGGACGCAACATCTACGATGCTACTGCCAAGGAAAACAAATTGAATGCAGACTCCAAAAAGCAAACAAACGGCGAAGGTGCGAGTACCAATGGCACTTCAGACATTGTTCAAAAGTCCATTGAGGACATTGTGAAGGCTCCAATAACCAAAATTCTCTGTCATGTTTGCGGTATTGACTGCACTCGTGTTTATTACCATCACATGTCTCCGGCCGACCCAACAGCTCCTGGAACCACCAAGGGAAAATCGGATATTTGCTCGAACTGTTTCATGGAAAGCAGATACCCTCACAACCACGGTCGAATACAGTATCAAAAGATGGAGAACCCCACATACACGGCCGCTCCTGAACTTGCTCGTGACTGGAGTGATGCCGAGGTTCTTCGACTTTTGGAGGCTTTGGAAAGTAATGATGACGACTGGACGGCAGTCGCGGAGTACGTCGGTACCAGAACGAAGGAAGAGTGCGTCGTCAAGTTCCTACAATTCGAGATTGAAGATAAATATATCGATGTGGAGCCAAGCAGCACCGACAAATCCAACAAATCCATAGGCGTTGGTATGTTGGGTCCTGAAAACGGCATGCTTCCTTTCAGCCAGGCCGACAACCCACTTATGTCTGTAATTGGTTTCTTGGCAAGTCTCACAGACCCCAAGGTTACAGCAGCTTCAGCTGGCAAAACAGTAGACGCAATGAAGAAAAGTCTACGAGAGAAGATTGAGAAACCGCAAGGATCCGAGAAGGGGAAGGAGAAGGAGGGAGCTTCGGATTCAATGGAGATTGACGATACCGAATCGACTAAACAATCGTTGAGCGAAATTGCGGCATTTCCATTGGTTGCAGTTGCCGGTCGTGCTGGTGCCTTGGCATCCCACGAAGAACGTGAAATGACTCGCTTAGTATCGGCAGCAGTGAATATTACATCAATGAAGCTCGATTTGAAATTGAAACAATTTAATGAAATGGAAGATATTCTACAAGCGGAGCGAAGAGAGCTAGAAAGAGGTCGCCAACAACTCTTTTTGGACCGCCTATCATTCAAGAAGCGTGTTAGAGATGTACAAGAAGGTCTGAAAACAGCTGCGGCAACGGGCGGGGAACAAGGAATCAAAATGGCACAGGACGTCATGCAAGGAGGGGAGAAAATGTCCTTTAATGGGGTTTCGGCTCCCGCAGGAAGCGTACAACCGTTGAGTGCGGAAGGTCAAATCAAGAGTTATGATATCTAAGAATGATATGAGCAAGCAGGCGGCAAGGAATGACTTGGCTGTAGGTATTACATGGCGTAAATGGGGTTGAATATGGAATATTTACTGGTCGTTGCGTAATAAATCGCGCAAATGTATGTGTTTGTACTTGGAGATTGGGGAGGTGCCTTCACACAAGAGGAGTCTCACGCTTTTACTTTTCGTATCTCTTCGCGTGTGCTCATGTGTATTCTTAAGATAATGAAGTGGCACTTATATCATGATCATATATCTACATTGGTGTGGAGAATAATTATTATGTGAGCTTGTACTGATCAATCATCATCGCTATTGTAGACAGCGTAAGACCTAGGCTTAGCAACGTCTTCTGGTTTCTTGCTTTCGTCATGGCGGGCGTTCGATCCTCTAGCATTTTCCTTATCCACACCATCTATTGTCTCTCCGTCCACATCATCCCATTCACTGCCGCTCTCACCAGAGTGATCTCGATTCTCAGACATTCTAGTCCTCATCGCTATCCCTGCTCCTTCATGACTCTCTTTCAACCTCTCTCTCCTTTCTCTTCTCCCGATCTTTTCCCTATTTCTCAGAAACTTTTCCTCGCCAACTACACCCATAACCTCCCATTCACTCCGAAATTCCCTTTCTCTCCATCTTTCATTATTTTCGGCCTCTAACTCCAGTTTCTTAGCAGGCTTCTCAGGCATTTCTTCGTCGTCATCTGCCTTGAGATCTGGAGGTGGGTCTTGTCCCAATAGGCTCCAGATGCGTTGTTCTTCGATTCTGCTGACTCGGGCATCGAAAGCGGAGACGTAAGCTTCTAGGGTATATTCATATTCTTCGGGCGAGAGATGGGGTTTGCGTTGAGAGCGAGACTGAGTTTGCGATTGAGAGGGGGACGGAGATCGTTGAGTAAAAGGATTATCATCGAGATGATCGGATAGAGTAGAATTTTCGGAAGCGTCTGGCCCAATGTCTGAATCGAGGTGGGAATCGGAGGAGGATGTATATACTTCTGATAAATCTTCGGCGTGATCTAAGTGCAGACGACTGCGTGAACGAGATCTGCTCCTTCTTCCACTATATTCTTTGCGTAGTTCGGTTTCCACCTCGGGGTATGTCATTATAGGGCCACCTGGTTCGTCATGGCGAGAAATAGAGAGATTGTTTCTCCTCGCACATTTTACCCAAAATTCATTGCTGTTGGCGTCCATATTCAGAATCTTAGTAGCAGCTTCCACGTCGTTGATGCTGATATCCGCTGCTTTGATCTTATTCGAGTCCATGGCTCTTATTCTTGACATTGTACAGAAAAGAACGGTGGAAACGAGACGTTTCGTGATACTGACTGTTAATGAATGAAAATCGTCAAAAGCAGTTGCGCGCATAGCGGGAGTTTCTCCATGTTCCCCTATCTGCCTCCAATTATCCTCCCATCTGGACTCGGAGGAGTTCATAAACACTCTCTCGGAAAGTGCAAGCCAATTCTTGAGATTCAAAAGGCGGACTGCTGGTAGTAAATCTTGAACATCTTCATTGCCTTGGGTCCTGGTGACACTGCGTTTCTGTTCTAGAGACTTGCTCACTTTTTCGGTCAGGAGCCAATATTTCCCCCATTTAACTTCCTCCACATCTTCCTCATATTGCTCTTGTCGTAGAGCAAGACCATCTGCTGCTCGCTCCATGATTTCACAACATTCTGAAGTGAATTCCGCGGCAGCTGGGTATTCTGTCACATCCAGTAGTCGCGCATCTTCGATCTTCCTTTCCTTTAATCCCTGGTGCAGTAGTTGCATGTATTCCTGCACCTCAACTTCCGACTTTGACCCTATACGTGTAGCAATAGCTCTTACGTTGTCTCTGCCCAGTCTTGATAGTCCAGTAAAAAACAGATCTTTTTCTTCGGGTGACCATATGGAACAGCCAATTTGACTGCCTTCCAATGGAGCATTATCCTCAAGGATCGACTTCGCCCCTACATCATAAATCTCATTGTTCAGGAGATCGCGGTAATCCTTACTATAAAATCCCTTGACACGCTTTGCCCTTGCCGGATTTCCGTTCGTTCTTTGCTCTAACTTTCGCTTTTTGGATGTCGGACGATAGGCTCCTCTTGTTGGCATAGGAATATCTTCCACTTTGGGAGGTACAAAAGTCGCCGCCCATTTGAGAGCATCTGCAATTATCCATTGATCCGTATATTGGTTGTTCGGATTTGGTTTTGCTAGAGAGGTTGAATAAGAATCACTCTCTCCTTTTGAATATACATCGCCTCCATCATTACTTCCGTGGTTTTGAGAAACGCCAGTATGCGCTTTCTCATCATGTGATATTTGCCCAAAATCGCTGTCGGAATTCTCGTACGCTGATCCTGAATCTGGTTCAGGAATATCAAATGGACCTTCGAAGGGATCAGAATCGTTAGGATCCATGTAGGCGAGCTAACGATCTTTAAAGCGTATTAATCGATGAATGTGTTGTGCTCTTCTCGTCCACATAGTTTGCGATAAGATGGGACGTGATGTGGATCGAAACTCGCCTTTCTGAAGTTTTCTGAAGAGCTTCGATTGTGAATATTTACGCTTTGATAAATTTTGTTTTCTTTTCCGAAAAAAAGTAAAATTTGGAGTGAATTATGAGAGAACCTTGAAAAATTAGCACGGCTGTAATGTGGTCCTGTCTAAGCTAATAATAAACAAGGGGATATGGACATTGGTCCTTCCGATTGTAATTTTGAATGCCGTGGCTTTGATACAGGGGTACAATAATTCGCGTCTATCGCGCTTATCAGTGATCAATACTGACTACAATTTGTTGCCACAATTTTATATCATCATGCCTCCTACTTCAAGAGGATTGCTAGGGCTATTTTCAAGGTCATGGCGACCACGAAGAATACAGAGCTCCATCAGAAACTATGCACGAGCTTCCACGCTCCCCAGAGTGCAACAAGCGGCTGTGGCTAGTCCTCGCCAAAGCATTGTTTTGAGGGATTACCAGGAAGAATGTATCCAAGCCGTACTTTCTCATCTGGATCAAGGTCACAAACGTATGGGCGTGTCTTTAGCTACTGGAAGCGGGAAGACTGTAAGTAATTTCTTAGACGATTATCATCATTTCCTATTCTCATCACATTTGGCAGGTAATCTTCACACAGCTGATTGATCGAGTCCAACCACACACTGAAAGCGCAACCCAAACATTGATCTTAGCTCACCGACAAGAGCTGGTCGAGCAAGCAGCTCGGCACTGTGAAAATGCTTATCCAAACAAACGAATTGACATAGAGATGGGCAAGATGCATGCTAGTGGATACGCAGACATCACTCTAGCAAGTATTCAAAGTATTGGATCTCGTGACCGGATCGAGAAGTTCGATCCTACTCGCTTCAAATTGATACTGGTTGACGAGGCACATCATATTGTTGCACCACAATACTTCAAAGTCTTGTCTCATTTTGGACTATCTGAAAAGCGAGAAAGCTCCCCGGCTCTTGTTGGCGTCTCGGCGACTTTGTCTCGTACTGATGGGTTGAGGCTGGGTGCTGCTCTTGATCAGATTGTCTATCACAAAGATTACATTGACATGATTGAAGACAAATGGCTATCTGGGGTTATCTTCACCACAGTACAGTCGAAAGCTGATATTTCTTCCGTGAAGAAGGGCCCGAATGGAGATTTTCAGGCTGGAGAACTATCGCAGGTTGTCAACACTGATCAGATTAATGAACTTACTGTGCGTAGTTGGTTTGCAAAGGCCAAAGGAAGGAAATCTACAATAGTCTTCTGTGTCGATCTTGCTCATGTGGGAGGATTAACTAACAAATTTCGCGAGTACGGAATCGATGCACAGTTCGTAACAGGAGATACTCCAAAGATCGAACGTAGTGCCAGACTCGATGCTTTTCGAAACGGGGATTTCCCAGTGCTGATTAATTGCGGAGTCTTTACTGAAGGGACTGATATTCCGAATATTGACTGTGTATTACTGGCAAGACCTACCAAATCGCGTAATTTGCTCGTTCAAATGATTGGTCGAGGTATGCGATTATATCCTGGAAAGGAAAATTGTCATATTATTGATATGGTTGCCACCCTCTCGACTGGCATCGTAACGACGCCAACTCTTTTCGGTCTTGATCCTTCCGAACTCGTTGAGGAAGCGAAGCCGGACGATCTTAAATCTCTTAAGGAACGAAAGGAGGAGGAGAAAGCGAGGAAAAGAGAAGCCGAAGACGTGAAAGCTAAAGCCTTTCCAACATCCGCCAATTCCAACATCAGGACCGTTAGTTTCACTGATTATGATTCTGTTTATGACCTTATCGAAGACACCTCTGTAGAAAGGCATATCAGATCTATCTCCCCATTTGCATGGGTATGTGTTGGTTCAGACAAATATGTGCTGAGCAATACCAATGGAACTTACCTAAAAATTGAAAAAGAGTCCGAGGAGTCGAAAGAGATGTTCACTGTCACCGAGACTGTTGCCATGGCTAGTCTAAGGGCTCCCAAATCTAAATCACCATTTGCAAAGCCCCGCCAACTTGTCGCTACAGAAACGTTGTTAGATGCCGTTCATGCGGCTGATACTTTCGCGGCCAAAAAATATCCTCTTCAATTTATTGCTAGAAAGGTATCCTGGAGAAACGGTCCGGCTACAGAAGGGCAATTGATGTTTCTTAATAAGTTTCGACCACAGGATGATCAATTAACCTCCGCAGATCTTAAGAAGGGCAAGGCTGGAGATATGATAACGAAACTCAAGCATGGCGCAAAAGGAAGATTCTCGAGTTTGGAGGCGGAAAAAAGGCGAGCAGGTAAATCACGGTTGAAGCTAGAGCAAGACGCTATTTTAGCAAAGAGGGAAGCAGTTAGTATTGGACCTCTTCTGGGATGAAACTCGAGCAGTCAACAGTGTAATTAAGTGACCATGTTTATTGAATACTAGGTTGTTGATAATTATATCAAAGTATGTTTGGTGAATTTGAGTGCTTGGTCTTTCATCATTTTTTCTCACTGTTGCAGCTTCCAATCTTTTTGAGCTCTGCTGAGTTCTTTCCCTACAAACATAAAACTTTTGTGTTTCCTTTCCACAATCGGCAAACCCTCATTTAGCATTGATGCTTTATTAATATTGATCTCCTTTAGGTAAATATGAAAATTGTTTTGTTCTGATAAGTTCATGTTCTATTCACTTCTATACTTTCATCTGTACAATCCAATTACTGTTAGTGTCGTTTATATCACCACATACAGAATCTATGTCACTGGCAGTTACCGACTACAGTATCCTCTTGGACCTCTACAACCGTAACTTATCACAGTGAAGTATATAGATTATTCAAACGCTTTTGATTATTCCACTTCAATGATGAATCAACAACTTCTCAGGCGGTTATCTGGCCTGTTTTTACCTTCCATCATTCTATTTCATCAACCCCAACGACTTTTTCAGGAAACGTCTACCCAGCTTGCTCATAGTAGATTCCAGAAACGCTGTTCCTACATTAATCGGGCAACTGCATCTCAGCTATCAAGGGGGCTTGATTCTTTAATCGCTGGCTTTTTGGGTTTCTAATTTACTTTGGACTAGAATTTTAAGCAAGTTTCTTTCCATGGATTAGGATGACGAATTAGCCTTGCACCAAACTTTCCCACATACCAAGAAACAAATTAACTTACATCCGTCCTTTAGGTCTCCCTTTTGTATCAATAGTTTTTGACACAATTCCTCCTCAACAGTCAAAAAAGAGGAGGATAAGATCTCACCTTGCTACCTGGTCCACCTACAGGCTCATTTCAACATGGACAACTCGGAAACTATGTCTCATCATGGTTCACTCGTCCCCAACAATGAAACCGAACCAGCTCCTATTTTGAAGTACAGTAAACGTTTACATAAGGACACCTCGATGGATTCACAAGCTGTAGCCTCTACCAGTCAAAACTCGGAAGACTTTAAGTACCTATCCCTTCGACCTCGTCATGATTCGAAATGTGATGTGAATGGCATTACATCATCCAGCCAGCCCCAGCCGAAATCTGATACAATTGTGCCTCTTTCGCATACGCAAAAGACTGTGCCCGCCGTCATCCGAAATCTCGCGGGTGAAGTTATATCAAAATATACCTACAATGAGTACAAGCCTACGAACCCGATAGTTGTCACCGGCTTTTCTCGTCAGCGCGCACCGGAGAGTATCGAACTTCCCCCTTCAAGGGCTAATGAGCCAGTAGAACCGTGGAGAATCTTTCCTCCGCCAGCGAATTCTGCCTTTACAGGAATAGAAAAGGTCGATAAGTACGATCCACAACAATATGATACTTTCGATGTGGCTCTTGATGGAGCTGAGCTTGCCATCAAAAATACACCATCTCCTAAAAAGCTTGTATCTGCTGCAACTAAGCGTACTAGAAGACCATCGATCGGTGAAATGGTGGCCACTGAAATAGACTTTACACAAAAGGCATGGGTACAAGATGATCCTTCATGTGTTGGTGAAATCTACACTGTGTAAGCTTACCAATTTTCTTTTCTGCTTTACACTCTCACTTTGACAATTATCTCACAGCTGGGTTTATCACATACTCCGTCCCAAGAACATAATAAAACACAGTTACTAACGTTTAGGTGGTCACAGAGAGGAACTAAAGGCTGATTTTGTCAGAAATGCAAACGAAGGGGCACCCATCGAATACTGCAAGAAATGCAAAAAGACACATATCCCACCTGGACCTCCAATCACACTCGCAGATCGGGATATATGTGGCGCATACCTACCTGACTGGTTTCCGTCAGAGGGAATTCATAGGCCCTGGGATAATTTTAGGAACATGATGAATGATTGGATCATTGGGAGAGAAATTGAGCTAGGCTATGATGATCATAAAGCGAGGAACCCCAGACGTAATCTATGGAACCTGGAATTTCACTGGGATAGCGAAGAATGGAAGCAAATTGGGCGACGTAATGGAAAGGGGGGCTGGTGGAAATGTAGGAAAGGACCAAGGGCCACCCCAGCTGAAAGATCTTGTCGAGTCTGTACCTCCAGTCAGGCAGTGTATAGAGACCATGAAGTAACAGCCTATAAACTCAAGCCTTCTGCGTCGCAGAGCAGAGCGAATATTGAGAACTGGATAACAGAAAGAATCAAGGCAGTTGGGCTTGACGATAAGGAAGCTGTCCTTGCCATGTGGCGCGAAAATGGCATTCTACAACACTATGGGCCACCAATTTCGAGGAATGGAACGTACCCCCTTACTGAGGGAGCACGCCCAGTCACAGGTGTATCGTCATTGGGACCACGAACCTTTCTTCCTCCAGAGCAAATGTTCTCGGAAAGATTGTTCAGGGGCAACGGTCTACAATCTGCAGGTTCTCAGAGTTTTGATGAAGATTTTGAACTCGAAGATTCAACTGGTGATATAAACTCGCCTCTTTCTTCCAATAATTCCCCTTCGCCGAATCAATCTGGGGTCCCCAAAATTATCGTGACGGATAGTGCATTGGGCTCATCCTCTTCTTCGCAAGATCCACCTTTCAATAAAGCTTCATCTACACGGCCTACTACAGTTAGAGCCAATACAAGTGCTTGAGATCCATTTTTCTTTAGCGATTCAGAATGATCTGTTCTAATGGGGTACTTACGGAGTACTTTTGGAGTGCATAACAGATCACGATTACATTTTCTCACGGATATGGGAGTCTAGGCGTTATATCACATATGTCGGTAGCGAAGAGACATGCAACTTCTCAGCATCCAAGTGCGACTTCAATTCATTAATGTCTTTCTTACAAACACATCAGTATGGTGAACATGTGCTTAGGGACCAGGTTTTCTTTTTGGGCGAACTCATTAACTCGGCGCATCAAATATGGAGTTATGCAACTCGACGAAGTTTTTTGCTGGGCTTTGGGTCGGGTATCATATGATCGGGAAACTTATCGAATGCTCCATTTGGTGTTAGGGAGTTGTTTCTCTCGATATACCCCGGAATGGTTGAATAGTGGTTCATGTGGTATTGGTGTACAGCTCTAGAAATAGATAGATGGGGGTCTCAGATATGTTATTATGAAATAGATTCCTGTGGGTGGGTTAGTTTGTATTGTTATAATGATAGTATTTTGATATAGTAATGTTAAATATATGTATAGAACTCGGGATATGGGTGTTTGAATACATGTGCATGCTTTTGGATGGTTTGGTATTCAAGTACGTCTGTGTTTTGTGTATTTGAAAGGGGATTGTGTGGATCCATTGTCTTTTTATCTTAATTATGAGTTGCTTTGGTTGTGAGTTTCCTGATCTATAATCGTGGGCATATATGATACATTAGCGATATGTTCATCTAGTCATGATACCTATTTGTTATGATTCTATACGAGAGTTGTGAAATTAGAATCATTAAATACAGTAGTCTAACTAGATGTGTGTTTAGGCTTCAATACAATGCATGTATCTGTATTTAATAGATATTACTTTTCTTTCCTAGTTTCCTAGTTTCCTAGTTTCGTCTACATCTTTTATTTTGGCTCTCTATTTTCTATTTGGGATGTGAAAGTATAGTTTGGAATGACTCGCTTGCTGTAACTTGTAAGGGGCAGGTATGAGGGGGGGGGGGCGGGGGGGGGCGAGGGAAGGAGAGGAGTGGAGTGGAGTTGATGTTAATGTTAACGCTGAGAATGTTGATAGGTGTGTGAGTGTGAGTGTGAGTCTGAGTCTGAGTGTGAGTGTGAGTATGTGAGTATGTGGATTATTTATTTGTTGGTTTAATTGCTAGTTAGAAATTAATATATTTATCCACATGCAATATATACAATATATACAATATTATTTTACCGAGTTAGATATACAGATATACAGATGTACAGATGGATGTACAGATATATACATGTACATATGAATGAGTGATGAGATACCAACTAATCTTATATTATGTTATGTTATTATTAATATTCAAATTTTACGAATGAATTACTTATTTATTGTTTATTATTGATTACGTTTTACGTATTAGATACTATTTATCTATTACCAACTCCATCACTAACTCAATTCGTTAAAAGGGGATTTGTAGTATCTAGTATAGGTAGGTATTGCCTGCTGTATATGTGTAAGAGATTGTAATCTTACATTACACACTGGAATTGGAATTTTGATTTGAATTTGATATTGGATTTGGAAGTGATATTTGAATCTGGTTACAGCTTGGTCTTGAATTTCGAAATGAAGGCTTGGAACTTGGGATTTGGGATTTGGGATTTGGGACTCGAGATTTGATCGGGAAGGAGTGTGTTTGTGGGGTGTTGATCTGAGGGATGTCTATTCGATTCTATGGATAAATTGGAGTGTAGTATAGTAAGATGTGGTATGAAATAGTGTAGTGTAGGAAAAGTCATAGTGTATATCCTCACATAGTATATGTATATATATTTCTTTCTTTTGTATCTATTTCCTCGCTTTCTTTTTTTCGCTCTCTCTTTCTCTCTCTGTACAAACAGATATCTAAAGAGGATGAGAAAAGGAGAAAGATTTATATCATCAGAATATACACAAGCACATATTATCCATCTACTACTCCCAAAAACTCCGTACTTTATACTTTACAGAAAGATGTTCAGAGATTCTTTAGGTTAATACGTGTAAGTTTACTACTCGTAGATACCCATATATATTGATGGACATATATCTATTTCTACACCCAATCTCTGATTAACCTTAGGGAAGTTGAAGAATAAAGCGACTAACAATGTTCATCCTTTCTTCCACCTTTGAATGGCAATTAGCTGAGGCAGTAAAAGAATACAGAAAGTGATCAAGACAAATCATAAAGATCACCTAGCAATCTGAGCTCACGTCTCATATTCCTGACCGAATTCTAAAATCTTTTCCCTTGATGCACAATCATGAACCCTTTGAAATATAAAGTTCAGTTTCCTTACAACTTACCGATTAGAGATAATGAGTTAAGTGTTTGTAAAACCGAGAAATTCTGTAGAGGTACTCTTGACACTCAAACACTTATCTATGTAGGCGTGCAACACGTCTCGTCTATCTGATTTCGTGTTAGTTCACTTTGTAATTCGAGGGTTAGGATGATGGATACATATGCGTAGCGAGCATGTTAATAATATTGATCTTCAATATGTATGAAATGAGTTCAGCAGTATCAACTAATTTGCTTTCGGCTTCCATCTATTTCAATGTATTACTCGAGTCACGGATATACATTCCGTATCCCGATCTTTAAATGTAACCCTTAGGTGTGCAACAATCACACAAGATAGAATGTTCACTTGAGATCCTTCTAATTCTTACTTCACAATATCGCAATAAAAAGAATTGGGTAGTGTACAGGGTCACTTGGAAGATTAGGAAATCAACTGAAAGCTCCTCGACCAGCTAGAACTCCAGTAAAACCATATGATGAACGATATAAAATAGCTAGCATAGAAGCCGAGTTCGCGTCCATAGAAGTTGTGATCATTTGGAAATCGCTTTTTGATGCCAAGCAAAGACATATCATGTGCTGACGAGATGAGTCATGTGATATAACGTCTTTGACGAGGAGTGTAATGAAGAGGGAACAAAAAGGGGAAATGGTTGAGAAAAGGAGAAGTCGCAACTCCCAGCGACACGGTAGGCGGTAGGACGAAGTGCAGACGTTCTCGGGTCATGTATTTGGAGTAACACTAGCCGAAATTCTTTAATATGGCCATTGTGGTATGGAATCTTGAGTGGATCGGTCCGGGTCTACGCGATGTTGTTGTGATCTCAGGACTTGGAGAGTGGGAACATGTACGCCCTGATCTTTACTTATGAAGTATAATAAAGGTCGGACCTAATTGCTTCGATTAATGATAGGTGCTGTTTATTATCGGCTCGAACTGTGATTATAGGTTTTGAAGGTAAGATTAATCTGGAGCGGGTAAGGTGTGTAGAGTACATTTCCATTGAGGAGAGAGGGAATGATTGAGGATTGCTAACCTCAAAGGCCATTCCGATGAATATCCCTAAATCCTACCCGCAATGAAGCCAAACAGAATTTGTTTAGATTTTTCCGAAACTTGGCCATAAAATCTTTGCAGAAGTCGGAACCGAATAGATGGTTTGAACCATATTTGCTCCGTGGTGTTACTTGCGCATTGATGATAATTTGGTGCAATTGCGCTGTACAAGTAATTCAAGTTTGAGCTTGAGCTTGGATTATTCCAAGACGCTAGAGACGGATATTGTAGTTTCCCCATTGGCAGTAGCCCACGAAGAAGAGAGCTTCTCTGTGCAGATGGTTGGAAGTAGAAAGACTAGCTAAAGTTATGTGGTGCGGATTTTGGTGTGAAGCTCTTGTATCAACTGCTTCCGTTTGGTTTGATCTGGTTTGACCTGGGTTAATAGAAGTTGTGTGTCAACTATTCAAATGGTATTCAACAAGTCCTTCTATTCAGAGCCATCTCAGAAAGATGAAGTAAGTAAGATGAAGTAGGTAAGTTCAATACGGTAGAGCCAAGTGCGAGGTGGGAAGTATAATAGTAGGTTTTTGCCGCATCAAAGGGTTGTCTATGGTGGAACCGAGATCAGACAATCGAGCCAATCACGGATATATGATTGAAATTCATCGGAGTTTAAGTTTTCGATACCGAAAATGATGGGAGAAATTAGAATGCTGTGTTTTTGAGTTGCGGAGATTGCTTCACTTGGTCCAAACTTCTGGGTTGGATACCTAAGGTACATACATGCTGGTGCTGGTCGACCAAGAAGATGAATCCTTATTATGTACTTGTGGTTTATTTAGATACCTAATTATCACAAGATAGGTATAAACACGTCGAGCATTCAATATATCATGAGTTGCAAGTTAATGAATCGGATCGGGACATTGGTGGTGACTGGTCGTGGGAAATATACCGTAGATTAGACGAACGCTTCCAGGGCGGGTGGGGATGATGTATATCTGCGATGTATCCAGATGGGTGGGTGGTATTGGATATGCTTTGATCACTCTTTACCGTATTAATTCATTCTCTTATTATTAGAAAAAAATGATTCAAATTCAATACGTTTTTGGTATCCATGAATATCTTTCATTCACTCCGCTCGGGGTTTCAAAGCGTGGTATCGATTTCGACTGCGACTGGGGGACCGTTTCGATCAAATCGATCAATCAAAGAAAAAGAGGATTTATGGAATGGAAAGTTGGAGATGGATCTTTCAAAATGACGTCAGTGTTATATCTTAAGTTTCGAATCTGGGTGCGTACCTTGAAATGATCTAACGCCGCCTTATTAATCCCAAACACTCCAAGCTCCAAGGGTTACCTCGATTTCTACTCGATGCAACTTTGAATCACTCATAACATGGCAAAACATGGCAATATGTACCTGCAATGAGAAGAAGATGACAGATTCAAAAGGCGACGGATAAATTAGGTTTTAGTGCCAAGCTTTATTTACTTGCATTTGCACATGGCTATCCGCTAATCCTCCATCCTCTACGAGTATCCTCTATTCTCCAGCTGAGGAGGGGAAGGAATACCCCAATTGATATATTGCCGATAGCAGATACTACCTAGGGAGATGCTAGATACTAGATACTACTCTGTACATGCTAGATCACCCCTCGATTGTTTAGTCTTCCTACCCACTCACTCCCCACCTACGCCCAATTCACTCGAGTGAGCACTTGCTGAAGAGGCCCATCGTGATACCTAAATACCCCATCCAGACACCCATCGTATAAATAGATATTCAAAAGGAAGAAAACAGCGACGAGTGGGCTGGGCTTCTGGAGTGTACAAAGCAGGATATCTTGCATTGTTGGTACTTCGTAGTTGATGCTGTGCAATGCCGGCTATCACGATCAATTATCAAGTGTATATAAACTTTACTTTCCCCTCCATCTTGAGTAACGATCATCTATATCTTGATTTTATTACTCGACTAATAAAAGATTCGATTCATAACCCTCATTCTGTGAGTAATTAGAAAGAATAAAATACATTTATTTTAATACCCTACCAGGTATATTCCTCCCTTCCTCCCTCCCTCTCTCTCTCTCTATCAGCTCGAGTAGACCTATCTAACTACTTGACCCTTCTCCGGGAAAGTCACTACTAGGTATCTATCAACCAAAGTACAGAGAGAGCAGCTTCTGCGCACCAACAAAGTCAACGAGCCTTTTCATACCTACCTAACTACTACCTATCACCTACTTTCACCATATATTTAAAAAGGGCTGGCTACCTCGGACCTTCTTTCCCCCCCCCCCCCCCCAAAAAAAATAAGCCAAATACTGCAAAAGCGGCATTCGCTCGATATTTGATTTTGCGTGGTTGTAGTATACCGGACCGGTCCTACTAATTAACAAAACACTCGAATCTTTTGAAGAGGTAAAAAAACTCAATTGCCGCTGCTTTGCTTAATTATTAGATGGATAAGGGAATTATTTGACTGACAGAACCAAAACTTGTTAGGCGACAAATTCCACCTCAAATCATTCTTGCAGTCTCTTTCCTATTAGATCCCACTACCCACTCAACTACCAACCACCAAGCAAATTTCACTCACTCACTCACTCATCCATCCACCATCACCACCTACCTACATTTTCTCTCAACACCGTCCTTCTTTTCTTCTAAAGATAAACTTCTGCATTCCTACAAATAATCCTCCCCCTTCAACAGTTCTCTAAAGAGATCACTTAATTCAAAATGGCTGAATTCGTAAGAGCTCAGATCTTTGGTACCACCTTTGAGATTACTTCCAGGTACGCGGGGCTCAAAGAAGTCGAACAAAATGACAAGAGATTGTCAACCACCTCCTTTGCGACTTGCAATACTGATAATTTTGTCATACAGGTACTCTGATTTACAGCCTGTGGGCATGGGCGCATTTGGTCTCGTTTGGTATGATTTCTCCTCCCATTTTTAACCCATCTCTGTGATGAAATCTTCAACTGAGGGGTAAAACAAATGCCTTTGCTCAACAAATTACTAATACTCGTCACTCGCACAGCTCTGCCAAAGATAACCTTACCGGTTCAAATGTCGCGGTTAAGAAGATTATGAAGCCTTTCAGCACACCAGTTCTCTCCAAGAGAACTTACAGAGAATTGAAATTGTTGAAACATCTCAAGCACGAGAATGTACGTTTTCATCACGATAATACAAATACACAATAATGGCTGGTCCTGGAGATACTAAAAGTTTACAGGTTATCTCACTCAGTGATATTTTCATCTCACCTCTTGAGGATATGTATGTAGCTTCCAGGAAATCGAAGAGAACTCAGGCTGATCAAAATACTAGCTACTTCGTCACCGAACTCCTTGGCACAGATTTACATCGTTTGTTGACTTCGCGACCACTCGAGAAGCAATTTATCCAATACTTCTTGTATCAAATCTTAGTAAATCATCCCGGTTTCTAATTGTACTACTCAAGTAAGAATTAAGCTAATGCTACTTTTTAGCGTGGATTGAAATATGTTCACTCTGCAGGCGTCGTTCATCGTGATCTCAAGCCCAGCAACATCCTCGTCAATGAAAACTGCGATCTCAAGATCTGCGATTTCGGTCTCGCCCGTATTCAAGATCCTCAAATGACAGGATATGTCTCTACAAGATACTACAGAGCTCCAGAGATCATGCTTACATGGCAAAAGTATGACGTGGAAGTTGATGTTTGGAGTGCAGGATGTATCTTCGCAGAGATGTTGGAAGGCAAGCCTTTGTTCCCAGGAAAGGATCACGTCAACCAATTCTCCATCATCACCGAACTTCTCGGAACTCCACCAGATGATGTTATTCACACCATTGCCAGTGAAAACGTAAGTCATTATATTATGTATGGATAACAGGACATGGCTAATTGTTTTCAGACCTTGAGATTTGTGCAATCTCTGCCCAAGCGCGAGAGACAACCCCTCGCAAGCAAGTTCACTCAAGCAGATCCATTAGGTATGCCCCTAGTATTGCATTCCATTTCATTGTGATCCTCATTGACCCGTCTTAGCTATTGATCTTCTCGAAAAGATGCTGGTATTCGACCCCAGAGCGCGAATCAAGGCAGCCGAGGGATTGGCACATGAATACCTTTCTCCTTACCACGACCCAACTGATGAGCCTGCGGCAGAGGAGAGGTTCGATTGGTCATTTAATGACGCAGACCTCCCAGTTGACACCTGGAAAATCATGATGTACGAACAACTTTTCGATTACCAGCCAAGATAGATGATGTGCGTTCAATCTGCAGAAGTCTACAGGCTATCGAGTGGATGCGACGGGCCAAGATGGTAAAGCTGACTTGGAACTTTCTGCAGGTACTCCGAGATTCTCGATTATCATAACGTCATCAACGACGCCCAAAACCTGACGGACAGTCAGTAAAAATGCATTTGTTATTTTGTTTTTCGATTGAATTTAGTTATGAAAAGGTGTTGCCTAGGTGTAACCTTTAGCATGGGATGGATACACATTATGGAAGAGCTGGCTGAGAGGAGTGCTCTCTTGTGCTTTCTGATGCAACGCGACCTCTGGCGAGAACTGGCTTTGTTTTTTCTTCGACTTCTGGCGTACATATATTACTTCACCAAGGGATGATGAGTCACGTATTTTCCGAAGTTTTTGAATTCTATAGTCCGCCTGCCTGTGGGTTTATGGATCGTGCATGGTTTGAGTGGAGTAGTGAAATCGAGAGGGGGACCTTTGCACACAGTAGATGGATGAATTTCTTTCCGCAAAAGTTGTACTTAGATGATAGGATGATACGACGAGTATGGTCATTGGCTTATTGGCGTTTAATGGGAAATAGAATAAACGAGTTACGATTTTACAATGATCGAGCTATCTTTCTAGGGGTCATTCCCTTTTGCAACGATTGGATACAAACAATCATATTGACTGTGACCTAGAGAATACGTATCTTTATTGGCTTGAAGTTCAGCTAATAAGATGCAAACTAAGCATTTCCCAAGCGTCTTCCAAGCATTCTCCAAGACACAATGATACGGTCCAAATCCAAGAAAGGCAAACAACAACACCAGAATCTAACGCAGTCTCCCATGCCCACAATTGACCTAACACAATCATGTGATGAGAACAGACTCCAAATTGGCTGTCTTCCTTATGCCTGCATGTACAGTAAGCATCGAGACAGGACGGAAGTATTGGACGATAAATTAATGGTGGAGATGCGTGGTGCGCACATAATTGCAAGGATGATGTTTTCCTGGACTTATTCGCTGGCCTTGCAGCGAGGTGGGATGGATTGGATAGGAGTGATAGGAGAGTGTGATGGGAACTGGGTAACGGTCTGGTGCTGGATTTTTTTTTTAGTATGGGTGTTTACGATTATTTCAATGGGTGGTTGATGAGTAAAAAAATTTAGTACACTTTCAGTAAAGACAGGTTTATCTTGACTAACTGCTTGCCGGTGATTCCCAACTGAATTGTTGACGACAAGAAGATATACAAGTTTGACTTGATGGGCGAGCATAGCATACTGATAAAGTTTGCGATAAACCTCTGCTCCAGCCTCATTCGGAGGCTGAGAAATTGATTCTGGAAATCTTCTCAAGAACCTTCGAACTTTTGGAAATTGCGAACTAAGGTTGGACGGACTTTTTGATAGGGATCGTCAAGGGTTAATGAATTTAACAGAGGGGTAAAAGTAAAATTGCCTAACTGCTCGGCTGGTTTATTACGCATACAGCTCACTAGGTTCGCAATATCAACACCCTGGAGAGAGCATTGGCCAGTTAATTGTAAACGGGTATCAATTTATGACAATTGGGATTCTAGTTGAGGAAAGGAGAAGGAGATTGATAGGATAAGACGGATCGAGATTGCAACGATCTATCGAAGGCTTGCGAGACGAATTGATCTAGGAGACAGAAAAGTTAACACAAGCGGAAACACAAAGTTGAAAGCTTGAAGTGAGGAATTGAGGAATATGATGTTTTGATTACGAGGACGATTACTCTTCTTTGGTCTACTCGAAACATTGAAGGCGAGAAGGATAAGCAGAAGTAATTTACTGTGGCATAGGCGGAACTAAACAATTCAGCGACGAAGATATAATATCGAAATACATACACACCTACCTATCTTTCGTCCACCCGGCTGTTGATATCCAACAGTTCTCGAGGAGGGATTTAGGGAGGTGATTTGCTGCTTTTCTTTTAGCTTTCAGCCATTAGGCCAAGAAAATCTGTGAGAGGGACTCGAGACAAAGTGCGGCTCCGGATTGGAACAACGTATCGAAAGTCGGTTCTTTATAGCTTGGGAGAGAAACTCGGAGAGGGACAAGCGCACTGGATGGAGAATATTGAGAGGAATGAGGGGAAGGAGGGGTCGTCGGCGGGGGAAAGAAAGGGGTTTGTGCCACTAGTTACGGTGGTGGACTTTCATCATGCGAGGTAAGCATTTCTGGGGGAGAGGTAGTGGGGGGATTGAGAACGAATGTGATGAACGTAAGGGTGGATGAGGCAGGGAAAACTGGCTGACATGAGTTTTGCTTAGAGGACCGGAAGTCGAATACTGGTTTGGGGCAGAAGAGGGGAGCGATCCTGCGGTGGAAAATGAATGGCCTCTATTACCATTCATGGCTTTAAGTGATGGTGCGCATGCGTAAGTTGCTTTCCTCGCATTCTGCGAACTCGAACGAAAAGATTTGGAACTGACGGGTAATTGAAATGGCAGATCAACAGAAGATTTCTCCTATTTTACTCTTCTACGACCCGCGCGCGGAGATCTACCTCCAACATCCCTCTTCGGTATCTCTTGCACACAACAAATGGACGCCTCGATATTGATCAATCGCCCCGCGGAAGTCACACGATCGACAGTACAAAAGGCTGTGGTTGTGATTGCAGATTCTCCGCAATTTTTTGGAATGTTGAGGGAGAGATTGGGAGTTGTTACAAAAGCATGGTTTGCACAACGAGAGTTCACAGATACAGAGATATTGAAGAGGTTTCAAGAAAGTCTGGCGGAGGAAAAAAGTCGAGGAGAATTGGGGGACAGGGAAGAGTATCTAGGAATGAGTTTGAGGGAGTTGGTTAAGGAGTTTAAATGGCAAACTTTGGTGCTTTTCAAGTGTTGTTTGTTGCAACCGAAGGTAATTCCCTCTCTCCTGGCGATTCATGGTGGGTTTTAACTTGAGAGTAGATGTTATTTTTCGGTTCGAGGTGCGAGAGATTGTGCATGATGCAGTTCTCACTTATATCTCTCATACCGGGTCTGATACGGAACTTACAAGATTGTGCGGATCCGGAATTGGATGATTATAGGAAAAACCTTGTGAAACCGACGAGTTTGAAAACTAGCGATAGGACTTCATTGCTGAATTACATGGGATTGCCTTTGCAAATATTCGGCAAGGTAAATATCGATTTTCAAAAGTATATGAAAATTTTTACTAATTGTACATTTAGGGAAGTCTTTTTGGCCCCTATACCCCTTTACAGCAACTTGATATATTAGCGGACTACGGCACAAAATCGTATATTGTTGGATCAACAAATTCTTTACTTTTACAACAGAGAGATCGATATAGCGACATTCTTATTAATCTAGACGACCTTACCATTAATATCACATCCGCATCACTAAGGTCTGCACTAACACTTTCTGCGGCCGATCGACGATGGATCGATTTCATTACTCAAACTGTCAACGATACTTGGGATGAATCTAATCCAAGCCGACCTAAAACTATGGGCTATGTCGGTTCTGAAGAGTTCATCCGATTGCAGTTTGAGGAATATCTCCTCTCTTTGATATCTTCTGTCAAATGCCATAACTACCTTGTAGTCAATGCACACAACCCCAGGGTGCAACTTCCACAGGTTGAAGGCGATCCCGCTCATGATTTTAGCATGGATTGGATCGACGCGTGGACGAGGAGTGAAAACTACGAAATTTGGAATAATCACACAGATTCGCACCTTTTTGATATCGTAGAACCTAAACATCCTTGTGCAGGTGGTCTTACAATTGATGATGTCCAAAGACGTATTGCTGAACAGGTTAAGGAAATGCATCTTGATGAAAGGTTTGCGGTAGGCAAGGAAGTCCTAGGCAGAAATCTTGCAGCGGGGAAGGAAAGAGCTAGTACTGTTTTCAATAAATTGTATTCAGATATGGAAGCCTATCGGGAAAGCCAGAGAAAGAGAAACGAGGAAGCGAGAATTGCGGCTGAGAAAGCGGCAACTGCAAGTGGGGCTTCAAGTCCAGTCAGCGTAACGGGATTTAATGAACCAAAGACCCCTTCGGTGCAGAGTAGAGCGGGTGCATATATTGGGAGTTGGGGTACGTGGATGGGAGAGAAAAGGAGAACTGGATGGGGAAGAAGCTCGGGGAGTCAGGAAAAGGTCCAGCAGGTTACGAATAATGGGAAGAGAAACTCCAGGGGTTTTTTTGGGAAGGAAAATATACAGGTTGTGGACACGAAAACTGGATTGGAGAGGAGTCCACTAAGTCCGAGAAGTTCCCAAGGGGGGTATTCGCCAGTGGGGGAAAGGCCGAGGACGGCGGAGAGTTTTAAAGAAAGCATCTTTGATGCGGAGGCGGAGGAGAACGGAGATGGAAAGACGGTGGTGGTAGAGAAGATTAGTGATGCGCCTGTGAGGGTCGATAGTCCGGGGCATTTGTCGGGGTTGCATAAGGGGGCGACAGACCATGATGATAGTGACGATAGCGGTGAAGAGGAGAAGAAGACGGCCAAACCAACGCCCGTGTCTGTCGAACCAAATGTGTGGAACGACGAAGGAAATCGGGAATCAGATGAAGATAAACATGAGAGGGCAGAGAGAGTAGCACAGGCCATGCAGGAGGCGGTTGATTCTTCTATTCATTCGTAGGAATTTTATGGCTGATAGAACAGGTGGTGGTGTACTTTGGACTTTCATTTTTTTTCTTTTTCCTTCTTCTTTTGGATTGGATTGATTGATGACTTAGCGAAGTTTTTGTGCTGAGATATAAGATACAAAGAGGGGAGATCACGGGTGGAATGAGTGTTTTTGAATGGAGTGAGATGGGTGAACTGGATTGGAATTGGAATTGGATTGGGTAGGGAAAATTCAGGAATCGCAGGATCATACATACCACTTATCGTATTACCGCATATACAATACACGTATACATACATACAATGGAATATATTTAATGTTATTAGATTGCTTGCCCTCTTTTGGTAGCGAGTACATTGTTAAACAGGAACGGCATGCTACGACTAAGTCTATCTCATCCCAACTCCCACTCTCAACTCTCCTCTAAAACGGGCCCCTGATCTCCATACAAGGGATCCCGATCAAACCATTCCAAATCAGCAATTCCCCGAATCTTCTCCTCTTCTCCAGAACTTCCATCCCCGTAGCACATATCCCATGTTTTACCTTTGGGATAAGAACCGATCATTTGGAAATCACCGGTGAGGTCCTCGAGGAGGTGGTGAGATATACCAGCGGGGATTATTATGACGTCGCCGAATTTTACGGTAGCTTGGATCTTGGAGGAGGGGGTGTGAGTTGGGGTGCTGAAACCTTGGGAGGAAGGGAGGTTAGTGGATGTGTGGGAAGGGGAGAGGGGAGGAGGAGGGGGGTGGTTACATAATCTTGCACTTCCGGAAAATATACAAAGAACCTCGTGGGTGCTGCTGTGGAAATGAGGGTGTGTGTACATGGTGTAGCGCCAGTGAGGAATGACGATATTGAGGGATTTGAGGTGGGACTCGATGAGGGAGGGGGGAGTGGAGGGGGGGATGCAGAAATGATAGATTAGGAGGGGGTGGGAGGGGTGAGGGTGGGGATGGATGGGGATGTGATGGCGGGTTATGGTTAGATTTATGAGGGGGGTGAGCTCGAGAGGGAGGTGCATCTTTTTTTTTTTTGAGAATTGAAAAGGGGTAGCTTGTGAGAGAGGAGCGGGCAAAGATGGATATGTTAGGTGGTGGATGAAGATCTTAATGTATTCAGTTGAGTAGCCCAGCAGATAGAGGACTTGGTGATGGAACGAGACAAATAAAGTGTGACAAAAACCAGGCGAATAATTGACTTTGCTTGCTTGAGGACTAGTATCTAGGTAATAGCAATGATGTCACTCTCGTTAAAGAAATTACAAATGAGTAATACATTGGATCTACTATCTATACCTACCTACCTAGGTACTAAACCAAAACAATATCTGAGGTAGAATTGAGATATTAGAAGATATCTACTCAGCAAAAGAAAACACTGACTGATGTAGAAGGGATGTGAAGATTTCTCTAGTAGTTCATCTGAATGCCTACCTACTCGGGCTCGAGTGGGCTTTGGGATGAGGGGTAAAAGGAGGGGTCTGCTAATTTTGATAGGTATGTCATATTGTACTAAATCCTTGAACTTTCGGGATATTCAGTAAAACTTTGTATATATTTATGAAAAGCTTGCTTCCTTTGAAGTTTCTAAGAATAGTAGATGCTATGTAATGTTGTGAATTGATGAAGTTGCTTGCTATGTATTGATTGTGTTATGTCTAATTAACTACCAGTACATCAATCTGTCAGTTTGCTTAGTCAACATTCTTATCGGTTATCAAGACCTTTGAAGTCTCGGACTTCGGGAGCTTTATCAATACAGAGTACAATTTGGCGCTTCGAATCTTAAACTCCTGGCTGTTTTTGACGCCTGCCGTAACTCCATAACCCTGTGTTTGGCGGTAAAATTCTTATAACCTGAGGCATCTTTGCATACTGCGTATAGAAAGTGCACGGCAGCCTGCTATCATACAACTGAATCACGAATTCATCCTTACTCAAGACTTCAAGGAAAAAGGGAAAAGGGAAACTTCGTACACATTCACCCTTTTAACATCTACTCATATATTCTATTGGAAAGATTTAAGAGATCTGACCGTATATTATTGTACGGGTTCAACTTTCTAGCGTGTTCTTTCCCTCTAGTTCACATTGTGGGCAGTATACCCTTTAATAAATATCCTCTGCATCATCTTTCCAACACAACCACTTCAATTTACAACACTCTCACCACAATCACAACCTCAACCTCGACTTTCACTTCCACCTTGACAACTTCCAGGATCTGGAGAACCTTTTGCATCGTATTCTGTGATTTGTCACAAAGGTGCTCATCTGATCATCTCCATTTTCATAATCTTACTTACAGTCCCGAACCTACATTCCTTCAAGCTGCTGGCTCAAATCCATCAGTTCCTTATATCAGTTTGAACCCATTTCAAAACATACGATCTTTTCTCTTTACCACTTCCATTGAACTTTACTCAAGATGACGGTCGCTACCAGGACGGTAGTCGTTATGCCTCCTGTCCCCAATCGGGAGGACTTAGATGCGACGTTCGTACTGGATCTTTTCTCTCTGCCACCTTCCCCTTCGACCTTGCTTGATTCAATATGCTAATTACAAATTTCTGCGATTTAGATGGAAATATCTCGAGGCTGGAGTCTCAAAGGTCATGTTACAATTGGCAGATGGTGTCGATATGAATACTGTAGGTGCCACTCCATCTCTCTTCAGCTCTTATGCGCAATTACTGATTTGCTTTCTATCTATAGTATATGGGTGTATACACGTGCGTATTCCAAACACACATTGGCAGCATCATCTAACCCGGAATAGAGCTGTGCATAATTTCTGTACATCACAAAAGGCAGTCAGCAACCATGGCCCAGGAGTGATCGGAGGTGCGCATCGAGGAGGTGAGACCTTTTTCCAATCCAAATTTTAACACATATATACTGATTCTATATTTACAGCACACCTTCTCGGTGAAGATCTATACAAAAACCTCATCAAATACCTAACACAATATCTCAAGGAACTCGTTCTCGCCTCTAAGACACATAGCGACGAAGCTCTCCTTAGTTTCTATATTCGGGAATGGGATAGATACACGACAGCAGCAAAATATGTCAACCACTTGTTCCGATACCTTAATCGTCATTGGGTAAAGCGAGAAATGGACGAAGGAAAAAAGAACATTTACGATGTTTACACTCTACACCTTGTTCAATGGAGAGAAACTCTGTTCACAGCTGTCCACTCAAAGGTTATGGATGCTGTTCTCAAGATGGTTGAGAGGCAAAGAAATGGCGAGACTATCGAGCATAACCAGATCAAGGCCATTGTTGATTCTTTTGTATCACTTGGGTTGGATGAATCGGATCCTACTAAATCGACCCTCGATGTTTACCGTTTCCACTTTGAGAAGCCATTCTTAGAAGCTACCGAAGCCTTTTACAGAACCGAATCAAAAGAATTTGTCGCGGAAAATAGCATAGTAGAATACATGAAGAAGGCTGAAATTCGATTGGCAGAAGAGGAAGAGCGAGTTAGAATGTATCTGCACCAGGATATTATCATTCCATTGAAGAAAGCCTGCAACACTGCTCTTATTGCAGACCACTCCGTACTTCTTCGAGACGAGTTTCAGGTTCTTTTGGATAATGATCGATATGACGATATGGCACGCATGTACAACTTGCTGGCAAGAATTCCAGATGGTCTTGAACCACTCCGTACCAGATTCGAGGCTCATGTTCGCAACGCCGGTCTTGCATCAGTAGCAAAAGTCGCTAGTGAGGGTGATAAGCTCGAACCTAAGGTTTATGTGGATGCTCTTCTCGAGATCCACACACAATATTCAAGTCTTGTAAAACAAGCATTCAAGGATGAGCCTGAGTTTACTAGGTCTCTTGATAATGCATGCAAGGAGTTTGTGAACCGCAATAAAGTCTGCAAATCTGGGTCAAACAAATCCCCTGAATTGCTCGCCAAATATGCCGATTCGTTATTGAAGAAGAGTGCCAGTGGAGCTGAGGAGAGTGATATCGAGAACTCTCTTACTCAAATCATGACAGTCTTCAAGTATATTGAAGACAAAGATGTGTTCCAGAAGTTCTACTCGCGTATGCTTGCTCGCAGATTGGTCCACACCAGTTCGTCATCAGATGATGCAGAGACAAGCATGATCAGCAAGTTGAAGGAAGCATGTGGATTCGAATATACCAACAAGCTTCAACGTATGTTCCAGGACATTCAAATCTCGAAGGATCTGAACAGCGGCTTTAAGGAATTTGAGGGAGGAATCTTTACTGGAGGCGAAGAAAAGCCAATCGATGCTAGCTACTCAATTCTGGGCACGGGTATGTGGCCCTTGAATCCACCAAATACAGATTTCACCCCACCAGTGGAGATTTCCAAGGCCTATGAGCGTTTCCAAAATTTCTACAACCAGAAGCACAGTGGTAGAAAACTCACGTGGCTTTGGCAATTGTGCAAGGGTGAAATCAAGGCCAACTATTGTAAAAACCAAAAGACTCCATATACTTTCCAGGTTTCGACTTATCAAATGGCCATCCTTTTGTTGTTTAACGAGAGTGACAAGAACAGCTATGAAGATATCGCCAAGGCAACTCAGTTACAGGCTGATATCCTTGATCCCACCCTTGGTATTTTCTTGAAATCCAAGGTCCTCACTATGACTCCAGCAGACGACAAGCCAGGACCTGGCAAAACCTTCAACTTGAATTATGATTTCAAGAGCAAGAAGATTCGTGTCAATCTTAATATCGCTATCAAGTCGGAGCAAAAGCAAGAGGTTGATGAGACTCACAAGACTATTGAGGAAGACAGGAAGTTGCTCATGCAGGTATGTAGAAATCACTTATGTAGTGCAGATGAACTCCCACTAACCTCTCTTTTAGTCTGCCATTGTTCGTATCATGAAGGCACGAAAGAAGATGAAGCACAGCGTTCTTGTTGCCGAAACCATCAGTCAGATTCGCACCCGATTCTCACCAAAGGTTCCAGATATCAAGAAGTGTATTGATATCTTGCTGGAGAAAGAATACCTAGAGCGACTCGATGATGATGAGCTCGGGTACCTTGCATGATCCATAAACTTTTTTATTTGACAGAATCTCTTGCATTAGGGGTTCACGATGGATGACCTTTTATGAATTGGCGGCTTATTGAAGTTGGTTATAAGAGTTACCAGCCCATACTTAAGATTTGGGGAGAGGAACTGGTAGTAATTACCTGCTGGCCATCCTTTTATCATAGTCAATGGATGAAGGGGCGATAATCAGGCGTATTGATGCATATTTTTTATCGTTTTCATTCGTTGTGTTACTGGTGCCACTCTTGACCAATTCTTTGGGACATATCTGGGAGGGAGGGAGGAGTTGCGAGAAAGCTATTGGTTGTTTGTTGTGGAAACACAGTCATGTGTTTTACAATCAAGGTTTCTTTTTTTTGTCTTTTTCTTTTTTTGATACCGCGGATACCTAACTCACAACTTCGCACATCACTTCAAGAAGATTTAGTTCTCTAGACGAGAAGGAGATACTTATATGGGATGGGCCGGTGATGGGACATGGGAGGGAGTGGAGATGGGAAAGAAGTTAAGGGGAAATAAAGGGCAGAATGTAGCATATCGCAATTGGTCATTGGGTGCATATCATGACTAAAATGAATGAATGGCTTGAGGATTGGATGTGATGTGATGGTGAATGGGCGGGCGGGCTTGATCATAATTGGGATGGAAAATCAAGTACGGCTAAGTAAGGAAGCATAAATGGGAAAAATTGAGCCGGCATAGAAGTGTGCATGAATAAATGATGCAGGTGTTTAGAGTAAAAGAAAACATCAGTCAGCGAGTTGCAGCGAGAACCAGTCAATGTTACCTACCTATCTATATATAGTACTTCTTGGGTGTTTAATGAGTAGGTTTGTGAGTGGAATGTGAATGGATGCCTTGATGAATGATATAGGTGCTTGAGTCTTTTGTGGTTTGCATGGTGGGGAGTGGAGGTAAGAGGGTGAAGGGATGTGCTAAATCGTGGAATTACAGTGTTATTTTTGTGTGAAGGCCTTTTGGGGGAGTACCTAGTTACGGGGTTGTTGAGTGGTTTGGAAAGAAGGTGAGAAGAGGGAAGGAGAAGGAGGGAGAGGATGAGTGGGTGGAGGGAGGGAGGGGGAGAAGGAGAAGGTAGGATTTCTAATTGTAGGATTCTAGCTTGGGAGGGGGAGGGTAGGGGGTTGGAAGGTGGCGGGGTAGTGGGGGAGTAGGGGGGGGGGGAGAATGGGGAGGAGAATGGGGAGGAAGAGTATTAATCTGGGATGAATGGGGAGGAAGAGTATTAATCTGGGATAAATGGGGTAGGGGGGGGGTAAGTCAAGGTAAGGTGAAAAAGCTGGGGTTGTGTAGGATGGGGTGGGATGGGATATGAGTCTTTTTTGATAGTGTGGGAACGGGACGAAGTTGGTGAGATCTTAAACTTGAACTTGGATGAAGGTTGGTGATGGGTGATGGGTGATGGGTGATGGGTGATGGGTGATGGGTGATGGGTGATGAATGAGGATGTAAGTATTAGGGGCTTGGGTTGGGGGGGGGGGGAGCTTAGAGTATAGATTGGTAGGTTGGCATGCTTGTGAATGCCATATAGCCAGAGGAGGAAAAACGGAATGAGATGAGATGAGAGGAGAGAAGAGAGATGTGTGGGAGGTAGATATTGGTTTGGGTCAGGGTGAGAGTGAGGGTAAGTAACGGATTAGCAAATAAGGTCGAAGGAGGGATTCAAGATGGATATGGTATGTCAAGTAGGTTTATGAAATTGGAGATTTGTAGAGGAGAAGCAGTGGTATAAAGCCGAAGCTGAATGGGAAGGAAAGCGAAGGGAAGGGAAGAGAAGAGATGGTACAGAGATATTTATGTGGAGTGATCGAATGATTTCCTGGTAGATGAGTCTGGTTTACTAATTTGGGGTTATGGTTGGAAGATGTATCTGTGATTCCTGTGAGTTCCTAGGTATCGGAGGTATTGGAGGCAAGTAAGGAGAAAGGTTTTGTTTGTGGGGAATTTGAATGGGTTAGATGTGTATGTTGGTCTGGATTATTTCTTCGGTTGGGAGGAGAGAAGAGGAGAGGAGAGGGGGGGGAGAGAAGATGGGGATATGGGGATATGGGGATGTAGGTAGGTAGGTGGGTGGGTACATAGGTAGACATATCATGTAGAGTATTTTATGTAGGGTTTCTTGATGTGATGTAATATCTAGTTTGTGAGTTTTCGGAGGGGAAAAAAGGGTTTAAGAGGAGTTGAGTTGAGATGAGATGAGATGGGGAGATGAGGATTTATGATTATACTATGTAAGTAAGTAAAGCAGGTGGGTATTTTTATTGAGGTTATGAGATGAGATAGGGGAATCGGATTTATGATGACGATGGCATAGCTAGCTAGCTAGCTAGATAGGTATAGATATATGCATGCATGTATGTTTGTTTTATCAATTAGATGATTATTTGGGATTTGTGATCTCATTTGAAATTTTCTTCTTTTTCTTCTCTTTTCTTTTCTTTGTTCCTTGAAAGCACTATATGTATATATATAGTTATATATAAAGATTCTAAATGTTTAAGTGTGTGTGTGTGTGTATATATCAAAGTATCATCTAGGTAGTAAGATTACACACCTTACTCTCAGAATCAGATCATAGCTATCCACTTAGCTAGTTACCGCTATACCGGTATAGATCGAATCATTACTCCCACTACCTACCCACCACGCATACAGCCTCACGAATCCACACGCAAAGAAATCAAGTGCATCCAATACCTAATTATAATATGATAATATAAATCAGGATATCCCTTGCACCAGCATCGTCTACGCAGTCAGAGCCAAAAAGTTCCGCCTCGACGTCAAAGCGTTCGTAACCTTAGCACGGTACCGAGATGAAAGTGTCAGGGGATGGTGGACGCTAGAGACGGCTGGATACGACAAGCGAGGAGAGTTTCGCGTGGCACTGGGATTGGGGGGGGATGGGTGTGAGAGGTTAGGTTAGGTTGGTCAGGGGAGGGGAATGGGAATGGTGAGTGAGGTGAAAGGTGGAATGGAAAGGATAGGTGGAGGGGTGGTTGCTATAAATACATCGATTAGGGAAACAGAGGAAATGAATGAATGAATAGGGTTTGGGTGTTATGGTGTGATTGTGATTGTGATTGTGGTTTGGGTGGTGAGGTGAGGTAAGGTAAGGTGATGTGATACGATGTGAGGTTAAGTGAAGTTGTTGTGGAGTAGGGGGGATGGTGTGGTATGGTATGAGATTTGATGAGATGGGGATGGACATGTGGATTGGATGCGGATGTTGATGAAGTAAGTGATGTTGTGGAAGCGCGGTTTCTTTTGTTGGAAATGGCTGAATGGGCCGTGAAGGAGTAAACGCCGTGTCATGTCGTGTCGTGTCGTATTGTATTCGTGTTGTGGAGGCGGAAGAGGCGTTTGGGAGGCGAGAGTTGGGTGTACGTAAGTAATCTTTCATTTTTGTTTCCTTGCATCTATTTATTTATTTATATAATAAGATAGATAAAGTGAATGCGAGGCCCGAGAGAATGGATGTGAGTTTGAATTGATTGTGATTGTGATTGTGACTGTGATTATTCTAGATTTGGGATAGTGAGTGAGTATATTTGATTGAGATGAATATTGAATTCTTGAGAGGTACTGTACCTTATTTGCATAGGTAGGTATGAATAGAGTAAGTGATTGATTGAATGAATGATTGATTGTCTTACGAGGACCTTATTAAACTATGTATGTAGTATTGTATTTACTACTTAACTATTTACCACTTACTACTTGTATATACTTATAAATACATGTGGCGATTAATAACCATCTCTTGATCTGGTCTTCACACGTGGATAAATGGCGATGAACAGATGTGCAATAAGGGGATTGATTCGATTCGATCCGATTCGATCCGAATCCGAATCTGTATCTGAATCTGAATCTGAATCTCCTTGAAGGGTTCTGGTGGTCGGTCATACAAGACAAGACACGACAAGAAATGTGAAAGAGAAAGTGAATCCCGAGTTTCATGAAACCGACGTTTAGTTTTACATTCATGCTTTCTCCTTGGGTCTAGTGGTAATTAGAGAAGAAAGGAGGTAGAGGACCCTTTATATTAGATACCTACTCCGTAGATTATTAATTATCCCATGTTTTCCCATGTCCATGTTTGAGAGGAAATGAAATTGAATTGACATGAAATCAAATGCATAATAATGATCCCTATTTCCCTCAAACCCTCACACAGTTAGGGATAAATGATGATGAACACTTTAGGTTGCGAGTAAAGTGGAAACCATCACCAAGTGGATTGGGGTAACTTGGGTCGATGGAGGATATTTGGGTAAAATTGGGTCGAGATTTGCTAAGAGAGGAAGATCAATTGAGAAGCTTGGGGCGGTTGGTGGGTGATGAGGTATTGCGGCCACGAGGGTGATGGGGTTTCGAAGCGTGGGAGAAGAAGGAAGAAGGAGAGGGAGAAGGAGAAGGAGAGGGAGAGTTGATGGTAGAGATTGAGGTTAGGTATTATACATTTATAGATTTATGGATGTATATGGATTTATGGATTTATGGATTTATGGATTTATGGATTTATGGATTTATGGATTTATTATGAATGGTTTTGATTTACGAGTAGATGAGATCTAGATAGATCCCCTACTTGGGTAGAGATGTTTTGGTTGAGGGGTTAGAATACTGATTTAGATTGATTGATTGATTTGATTTGATTTGATTTGATTTGATTTGATTGATGGATGGATGGATGGATGGATGGATGGATGGATGGATGTTGATTGATTACTAGGGAGGTGGATAGTAGGTGGGTACCTAGGTATCTATTGGTGATTATTGATCTCGTGATTATTGATCTCGTGATTATTGATCTCTACTTTGTTTATATCTAGTGGATAGATATGAGAATTGTGAAGAAAAATTGAATATATATATATATATTAGTTAACCTAGATAGAAGATATAAATATACATTCACATATACACATGCCCACATACATATGACTTACATCCGCACCGGTAGTACAACATATCCTAGGAAGAGGCATCCCTAGTGCTTCTAATACTATACTACCCGTCCGTACCTGGTGCGTATGCCGCATGATATAGATAGATACCTAGGTAGGTAACACACAGACTTTGTTTGAGTGAGATGGGACTTTATTTGATGAGAGTGAATGAGGGAGGAAGGGAAAGTTAGCGACTTGGAAACCAATATCGTGAGATGATGGTATTTTGTAGCGACTGTACTGTGCCTTATTGAATGGAAGATCTTTAGTTAAATCTATAGATCTTCCTTTAATAGTTATCTACCCATGTCATTATTGTATTTAGTATTATACATGCATGCAGCTATTCTCGCGTGTATGTGTGGAATTTGATATTGAAGCAAAGGTAGATAGATAGATAGATATATATATCTAGGTAGGAACTCGGTTGATATATCTAAACTGACCAACAGACAAGCTCTCGAATGTGGTATACTATTTCAAACCTAATGGTGGCCTTCCCGTCGATTATTGAGGTTATCAGAGTTATTTATATAGTCATCATATCATTATCAACATCAATATCAATATCAATCAAATTACTCTCCCCACACTTCACGTTGGCTTCCTCTACTCATACCTCTCTTCTATCCACCTACTTACCTATCTACGCATCATCCTCCTCTCAAATCAATGAAAATTTGATAAAATTTCCAAATCATTGCAGATCTACCTACCAGGCGGGCGGGCTGGTGACTTTTGCTCATTATTAAACTCGTAATAAACACCCAAGTACCCTGCCTCGAGCCTGCCTACCTAGCTTACATTCAATATATCCCTGATACTTTATTTACATAAGGTTACGTTACTTATTAACTATTGTTGATATCAAGCTGGAGCTCAAACTTGTAACTAGAAATTTTCATTATCATCATCATCATCATCATATTAGGAATACGTAGTATCGTACTCAGGTTCATCCATCCATTCATCCATTCATTCAATCATTCTTCCATCCCGTCACCCATCATCCCCTCATATAAGATAGAAGACTAGGAAAGCATTAATATCATCTGGCTTTTTAATGCCATAGATACTATATCTCAGTCTTTCCCTAGAGGCACCATTCTTGTCTGAACCGCAGCACAGCAAAAAGAGAGCAACCTTACCTTGAAGTATCATAATCATACGCCGCCTTTCGTTGAGCTAAGACCATCAATCCATCCATCAACTCTAAATTATCTACCTCATTGATTCGAGTCCACACCCACCCACCATCGTCAGACAATCAATTAAACCAACCTCTCTCCTCTCTCGCCCCCTGCTCATCTGTTGATATAATTCTCCATTCTCTTGATCGACAAACACTCACCAAGCAAAGATCTCGTACCTAGCATATCTTCAAACCTCAATTGATAAACCGTTCAAAGATTATATAAGATCATACGAAACAAACAAAAACTCTTCAAACAATAAGCTTTGTTCGCTATCAAAGACCCGACCTCCAAAAAAAAAAAACGAGGGAGAAGAAAAAAAAAATCATTATTGAGCTTGCCTCGGGTGATTCCTGTCTCACTAACAACTTCAACCATCCGCTTTTCTGAGTGGGTTGTGGAGACTCGGTACTGTCCTTGACGGCATTTCGATAATATATCCTCTTCACGTCTATTTTCGTCACAACCTCAACTATCATCGATCAATCTTATTCGCATTGTCTAGAGCTGCCTCACGAATTATACTTACGATAATCCCGACTCGAATCATCCTTGTCCGAATATTCCCATTTTCAACAATACAATTGTACGGATTGGATTTGATAGCCTCGTGAAATCGTGTTGGATATTGAAGTTGGACTGGGACTGGGACGGGACGGAGACTACGCATAACGTCACACCTCAATTAATAAGTGACGACATAACTCTTGCAAACGATCAGCGAATAAACATATAAAGCATAAGGACAACCATCGTCGCGATTCTATTCATCGAAGCATTTAAAGGGAAAGGCGGGGGCTGCCGAAGCAGCCAGCCAGGTGAAGCAGGATGGGTGCTTGTATGAGCTCGAATGTGGAGGACACGGAACAGAGAAAGAGGAGTCAAATGATTGATAAGAAGCTGGAAGAGGATTCGAAAAGACTTCGAAGAGAATGCAAAATCCTTCTACTAGGTGAATATTTCAAATTCATTTCAAAGATCTCAAGGACAAAGGCAAAACTTGTTCAATGCTAACATTCATCGCAACAGGCTCGGGCGAGAGTGGTAAATCAACCATAGTTAAGCAGATGAAAATCATACACCAGAATGGCTACACCATTGATGAGTTGGCGTTGTACCGGTTAACGATCTACAAGAATTTGATTGATTGTGCAAAGGCATTGGTTGGTGCAATGCGACAGATGGAGATTGAGCCAGAGAACCCAGCGAACAAGGAGTACGGCTCATTTTTGTTGGAGTATATTGTCGACCCTGATCCTCATACACCACTTAATCCTCGAGTTGGCACGGCTGTGGCATCATTCTGGAAGGATGGGCACATTGATCTTCTATTGGCTCGGCAGAGTGAATTCTATTTAATGGATTCAGCACCATAGTGCGTACCCCATAGTTTCCATGTATCGGCAATGATGCTAACCTACTATAGTTTCTTCGAAGAGGCCGGAAGGATTGCAGCACACGATTATATTCCTACCGAGGCCGATGTTTTGAGGGCTAGAACAAAAACAACCGGTATTTATGAGACAAGATTCACCATGGGCTCTTTGAGTATTCAGTCAGTATAATATGCCTGCTTTAAACACTTGATACTGACTTCATGATAGTATGTTTGATGTTGGTGGCCAAAGAAGTGAGAGAAAGAAGTGGATTCATTGTTTCGAGAATGTAACTTCAATTATATTTTGCGTTGCGCTAAGTGAATATGATCAGGTTCTTTTAGAGGAGAGTAATCAGGTAAGAATTCTCCCCTAGTATGGATCTTATAACAATCCTAACATTACACCAGAATCGTATGATGGAGAGTCTCGTCTTATTCGACTCGGTTGTTAACTCAAGATGGTTCATGCGTACTAGTATCATTCTCTTTCTCAACAAGGTTGATTTGTTCAAACAAAAGCTTGGTCGATCACCTCTCGAAACTTACTTCCCAGATTATTCTGGTGGAAACGACTTGAATAGAGCAGCAAAGTATCTACTTTGGAGATTCAATCAGGTTAATAGAGCTCATCTGAATCTATATCCACAGTAAGTCTTCTTTGAATGTCCCTCAAAACTACACCTCTAACATTCAATAGTCTCACACAAGCTACTGATACTTCGAATATTCGACTGGTGTTCGCTGCCGTTAAAGAGACCATATTACAAAATGCTCTCAAAGACTCGGGCATACTCTAATCTGATAAGAGTATAGCTCATGATGAATAATGTCTTAATTTATATAATCCATTTGATAGTGACTGGAAACTGGCGTTTGGTTTAGGAGTTTTAGGGAAGGATGTGTGACAAAGATTACAAGGTGTATGCTGCATGATCTGGGCTTGGATGACTGGAAAGGGGGTGGCATTGCACGAACAATGACTTCTATGTCGTTATTAGGTTGGCGGGGTGAGGGTACTACATCCATGACTTTTACATATGTGCGGGATTACATATTGCAATTGTGAGGAGTTCAAGGGCCAAATGGTCTATGGGAAATCGATTGATTGGTATTTGGGAAAAATCCGGATGAAATGGGTGGGTGATCTGGGTTCAGCGTCTCAGCATTTGCAGGTTTACAATAAGGATACTGTCATATTGAGGGAAGGGGAAGGGGAAGGGGGTGAAAGATGGACTTGAAATTACCATGACAGTGTAGAAAGTTGATAGCCGGCGATCATATCAGTTCAGTGTCGATTATTTTGACACATGGATGAACAGTAATTATTGAAAAGATTCTATGATGGCCATTCATTATGTCGCAATGTGACGAGGGGTTGATGGGAGAATTTGCGTGAGTGATGATTAAGCGTAACACACACGTGAAACCGAAGTACTCTTACAATGTCACGACATATTTGTGATGTGTGCTCTACTCGGTAGACCTGATACATGTTTATATAGATTTTCAATGATAATTCACGTTTTACTCAACGTAATATGACTGACTGACTGTACACGGGGTCCGCAGGGCTTGAGGATTGGGCTTGAAGCTGGGGAGTGGAGGGTGAAATTTGAAATTGTTGGGATGGAGAGATGGAGGGATACACTTGAGATCTGAGGATCCGAGATTCGGAAGATGTGCAGTATGTTAGATGGATGTATCTTGGATGTAGCATGTATCATGTGAAGGAGATAGAGTTTATGGCGTTTGTGAATACCCCGCTGTGGAGAGAGCAGAGAGATGTTTATAGGTAGCTTGAGCATAGTACATGTACGTTGAATATCTGGATGGCTGGATGGATAGACAGATAGATGAATAGATAGATGAACACAGAACGTCTACCTGTGCACTGCCTGATATGGATTACATACTGTGCAGATGGAAAACAACAGTTGGGATATCGTCATAAACATGCCATTTTAGATACGTACGATGAACAGTTGTGCCCTGGGAGAAAACCGGGAAATGGTGATGCTTTGAACCCCACACTCATACATCCTTCACACATACTCGAGAACATCCATAGTTCTGTTTTAGCACGATGTATAGAGTATTGGGTTTGCTTTTGCATGCGTATAGCTCGTTATGGTGGGGCGCGGCGAGTTTGATTGGTACAGACTGTTTTTGTGGAGATGGTTAGCTTGGGTGGGAGAGGCCCTTGTTGTTACTCAGGCTCGTGGTAGGTAGACTCGAGGTTGGGTGGGATCGTATGTTTTTCTTGCGAGGGATGGAAATGTCCGGGAAGATATCCAGATTCCAGATGAAGCTATGGTGGGGAGGATTTCCAGGAAGGAGCTGGGGATATTTATATCAATGAACTTCTTTCCGAATATACGAGAACGACCTACCTCTCTATCTATCGTTTCTTCTGCTTGTCTGTCTGTCTGTCTGTTTGTTATAATATAATATAACTTATATAACTTACACCACGAATCTTCTCTATTCATCAGAGAAGATTGGTTTAGGAACATCTCTTACTTTACTTGCATACATCCTAGGTACATACATACATAGTACATTAATTCGAATCACCTGTCACTCCAAGCACACTCGCATCCCCCGCAATTAGAATTACCTGAGCTGGACCCGATCTGTGGTTAACCCCGCATCAATATCAACGAACGAGCATTCACCACATACATTGACAATACTTACATACATACATACCCGATCGCCTGAACACATAGTTTTTATTCAACTTATCCCTCAGGTTCTTGCAACCTTTTCTTTCTCATCTCTTGTTTTTCAATAACTCGGCACATCTGCGTATTGAAAAGCGTCACGAAGACTGTACAGGTTCGGATTCAAGATGGCAACTTCAACTAGAGAAAGACGTCCCTCTACAGGTGCTCCAATTAGTGAGCTCCAAGGTCCTGTTGGTCCTGCTGGCGTTACAAGGCCTAAACACAAGCGTACCTTTACCGGTTTTGGTGCTGGGGAAATCAAAAGTGTAGAAGGTATGATATATTTCTTTGGTTCTGCTGATACCTTTCTCATTTCGATGTCGTATTGAAATTCACGCTAATCATTTGCTTTCTCTGCATAGCATCGATCCCTGAACCTCAACGAGAAGCATGGAAGAAATATACTGCTAAAGGATTTGAGACCAAGGAGGACTTTGAGAAGGAAGTCGTTCGTCATGTTGAAACTACCTTGGCTCGTAGTATGTTCAACTGTGATGAAACTGCTGCATATGCTGCGGCCAGTTTGGCTTTCAGAGATAAATTGATTACGGCGTGGAATCGTACTCAACAGAGACAAACTTTTGCTGATGGCAAACGTGTGTACTACTTGAGTTTGGAGTTTTTGATGGGCAGAGCGCTCGACAATGCTATGTTGAATGTTGGATTGAAGAATGTTGCTAAAGGTATGTTGGATTACTTGTGAGGATGTTCAAGAAGTGTAATTTCTGACTTTTTCTTCAGAGGGTCTTTCGGATCTTGGTTTCAGAATCGAAGATATCATCAACCAAGAGCATGATGCTGCCCTTGGTAATGGTGGTCTTGGTCGATTGGCAGCTTGTTTCCTGGATTCTCTTGCTTCCTTGAGCTATCCAGCATGGGGTTATGGTTTGAGATATAGATATGGTATCTTCAAGCAAGAAATTGTAGATGGATATCAAGTCGAAGTCCCAGATTATTGGCTTGACTTCAATCCTTGGGAGTTCCCAAGACATGATATCGTTGTTGATGTAAGTTTGCCTTCGCCCAGAAGTTATTTCGTGTAGAGCTAATAGTTTTTAGATCCAATTTTATGGCCATGTCAGAAAGTATCAAGATGAACAGGGAGTATCGAAGACTGTATGGGAGGGCGGAGAAATTGTCAAGGCCGTAGCCTACGATGTTCCAATCCCAGGTTATGATACACCAGCTACCAACAACTTACGTCTTTGGTCTAGCAAGGCTGCTAGCGGTGAATTCGACTTCCAGAAGTTCAACAGTGGTGACTATGAAAGTTCAGTGGCCGATCAACAACGTGCCGAGACTATCAGTGCTGTTTTATATCCTAACGACAATCTCGAGCGTGGAAAGGAGCTTCGTTTGAAGCAACAATACTTCTGGGTTGCTGCATCATTATATGATATTGTTCGTCGATTCAAGAAGTCCAAGCGTGCTTGGAAGGAATTCCCAGAACAAGTTGCCATTCAGTTGAATGACACTCATCCAACTCTTGCTGTTGTTGAACTTCAACGTGTTCTTGTTGATCTTGAAGGTCTTGAGTGGGACGAGGCATGGGGAATTGTCACCAAGACTTTTGGTTACACAAATCACACTGTTCTTCCCGAAGCTCTCGAAAAGTGGTCCGTTCCTCTTTTCCAGAACTTACTCCCCAGACATCTTCAAATCATTTACGAAATCAACTTGTTCTTCTTGCAAACCGTGGAACGTAAGTTCCCTGGTGAGAGAGATCTCCTCGGCCGAGTCTCGATTATCGAAGAATCTCAACCAAAGATGGTTCGCATGGCTTTTTTGGCTATCGTTGGTTCCCACAAGGTTAACGGTGTGGCTGAACTTCACTCTGATTTAATCAAGACCACTATTTTCAAGGATTTTGTCAAGATCTTCGGCCCTGATAAGTTCACTAATGTTACCAATGGTATCACACCTAGAAGATGGCTTCACCAAGCCAACCCTAGGTTGTCTGAGTTGATTGCCAGCAAGCTTGGTGGTTATGAGTTCCTCAAGGATCTTACTCTTCTGAGCAAGCTCGAAGCATTCGCTGATGATAAGGCTTTCAAGAAGGAGTGGCAGGAAATCAAGTATGCGAACAAAGTTCGCTTAGCAAAACACATCAAGACGACTACTGATGTCACCGTCAATCCAGCTGCCTTGTTTGATATTCAAGTCAAGCGTATACACGAATATAAGCGTCAACAGATGAACATCTTTGGTGTTATTCACAGATACTTGACTATCAAAGCTATGAGTCCAGAAGAGCGCAAAAAGTTGGCACCTCGTGTTTCGATCTTTGGTGGAAAAGCCGCTCCAGGTTACTGGATGGCAAAGACTATCATTCATCTTATCAACAACGTTGGTTCTGTTGTCAACAATGATAAAGACGTCGGGGATCTCTTGAAGGTTATTTTCTTGGAAGATTACAATGTATCCAAGGCCGAGATGATTTGCCCGGCAAGTGATATCAGTGAACACATCTCGACAGCAGGTACAGAAGCCAGTGGAACCTCAAACATGAAGTTCGTGTTGAATGGTGGATTGATTATTGGTACCTGCGACGGTGCTAATGTAAGTTTATCCCTTATTTTATTTATCGCGCACCTCGCTAATTAAGCTTCAGATCGAAATTACTCGTGAGATCGGAGAGAACAACATTTTCCTCTTTGGTAACTTAGCTGAGGATGTTGATGACCTTCGTCATGCTCACACTTACGGCTCTACTCAACTTGACCCTGACCTTAAGAAGGTCTTTGAGGCTATTCAAAAGGGTACTTTTGGGGATGCTAATGCATTCGGTGCTCTCGTTGGTGCTATTAAAGATCATGGTGATTACTATCTCGTTTCCGATGATTTCAACAGCTACAACCAAACTCAAGCTTTGGTGGATGAAGCATATAAGAATCAAGATGAATGGACTACAAAGACTATTACTAGTGTGGCTAGAATGGGTTTCTTCAGTAGTGATAGATGTATTAATGAGTATGCTGAGTCGATTTGGAATATTGAACCATTGGCTGCTGGGAAGGGGGAAGAGGCGTAGGTAGAAATGATATAAGGGCGTTAAGGATGATGTATGATGGATAGCATGCCTGAATGGCTGTTCAGGTGGATATGATTTGGGGGGAAAAAGATGGTTACGATGATAATGATGGATGGGGGGGGGAAATAAGTACACGAAATAATGTGCTACGATACGATGCATTAAGTCGTGACTAGTTTCTATTGATCAACGACATTCCTAACTACCTATTACCTACTTCCTATTCAACTGAAAGGCTGTGTCTCCCTATCTTAAGTGAGTAAACAGAGAATAGTGACAGTTCTACCCAACTGTGATTGTCTATGTGTCTAGCAACTAGCTTCATGACCTCGTGAATGAAAGTGCTGCGAGGCTAGATATGTAGAAGAACTTCACTGGGTGCCAAACGCTGACATCTGGAGAGCTTATTACTGGAGCCAAGACAATCCGTTTGAGTCAAAAAATTACAAGAAATGGTTACATTAGATCTCATTCGAGTGGAGTTGCGCAACACCAATCGAGAAGTCTCGTGACGCTTACCCCTCATTTTGTCGCTATCCCCCGCACCTTCCCATCTGTACTAGGTAGGTATGCAAGACAACGTAGTAGGTGTAGAAAGCTTGTCGCTCTTGTCGATCGGTTGATCGGCTGAGGATATGAGTGATCATTTACCTAGGTCGGTAGGTTTATCTTCTCAATTTGTTTGTACATGCTTTTTACTTTTCACGATTTGTTTTGATTGAGAGGTTGTTGTCTAATCAAGAGAGTAAAGTCATCACTCATCAATATTTCATTTCCCTGCTCCTCCCAAACCTACTGAAAGAAGACGAAGAAGAAGCAAAATGTCCGAACCCCCCATCCTCGGCACCCGACTCCAAAACAAAGTCGCGATTGTCACCGGTGGCGGCTCGGGCTTCGGCGCAGGCATCACGCGCCGCTTCGCGGAAGAAGGATGTAAAGTGATGATTGCAGATATTGATGCGGTGGGTGGCGAGCGCGTGGCGAGTGCGTGGCCGCAGAGTATAGCGTTTGTGAAGATGGATGTGACGCGCGAGGAGGAGTGGGAGGGGTTGTGTAGGGGAGTGGTGGAGAGGTGGGGGAGGGTCGATATTTGTGTTAATAATGCGGGGGGGAGTTATAGGAATAAGGTATGTATGTGGATGGGGAGGGAGAGAGGGGAGCTGGAGATGGAGATAGAGATGGAGGGGTGAGGGATGAGTATGGGGAATGAGAGATACTGACTTTGTGTTTTGTTAATCTAGCCAACGTTGGATGTCACCGAAGATGAATTCGATAGGGTGTTTAATCTGAATGTCAAATCTATCTTCTTTGCGACGAAACATTTTATTCCAAATGTTGTTAATCACGGAGAGGGTGGATCGATGATCAATATTGCGTCGATTGGAGCTACGAGACCTCGTCCGGGTCTGGTTTGGTATAATGCTAGTAAAGGCGCTGTTGTCAATGTGAGTACTTTCTTTTATCCCATGATCGTGGTTGTCTCTGCTAATGTACAGTTTTGATATAGGCTACGAAAGGACTCGCGGCAGAATATGGATCTAAAAATATCCGAGTCAATTCGATTTGTCCTCTTCTTGCTGGTACAGGGCTGTGTGTATCCCATCCCATCTTATTTCATTTCACTTCATCTTGACTTGATAATCCATAAGAAAGGAGGCTAACATGAAGCAGCTTCTCGACATTTACGGGTGTAGAGGATACGCCCGAGAATCGTGACAAATTTCTCTTCAATGTGCCATTAGGACGACTGTGTACGCCGGAAGATGTGGCGAATTATTGTTTGTTTCTCGCGAGTGATGAGGCGAGGTTCATTACCGGGACTTGTTTGGAGGTTGATGGGGGAAGAGGGATTTCTTGAGGGAGAGGGGGGGGGTGGAAGGGATGGTGAAGGGGAAGGGGAAGAGTGTATGTTTTGGAGGAGAGATGGTTGATGCGATGGGATGGTAACCTAGATGAAAACGGGAATGGAATTAGATATTGTTGCTAATATTGATATTTCTATGCTCTCAATGAAAACCACGAAGATATCAGAATTCGATCTTGAATGACGATTCTGATTTCTAGTTTCTTGTGAAGCCGCTTGATCACATTATGGACGATAAAAGTAATACAGGAAGTATTTCCAAAAGTTATAACGGATTCAGATATCATATCCCCATGATCATGTAAATACCACCTTGTCATCTCTAGATCCGAGTACCTAGATACTTTCCACTTATTTGATCACATTTCTGTTGTTGTTTTTTTCTTTCATTTTTTGTTCTTCAGCTGAATGTACGATAAACTAGTAGGTAATCGTTGTCTTGTCTTGTTTTGGTAAACCCCTCATTTATGTATGTATGTATGTAAGTACCCAAGTATGTAAATAAGTATGTAAATAATACAAAGACCATCACACGCCTGTCTTTCTGCTAATCTGCCAACAAACGCCCGCAGCGCAAATCTTTTCCGAAAAGAATGGCTGCTGTGTTGTTGATGTGTTAGGTCGGGTTGGATTAGGTTGGATTGGGGTTCAGCTGACTTGTATGGTGTTTAGCTATGGAGTGTGGTATGTGTTTGACAAAGAAGTAGGAAGTAATAAATTAGTACGGCTAGATTGAGGGAGTGAAGGTTGGCGGAGTATGTGAGATGTGAAATGTGAGATGTGAGATATGAGATTAGCGAGGAGGGGTAGGGTGTGGTGTCTGGGTGTGCTGTGGAATGAATGGATGGATGGATAATGGTAAATGGATAATGGATAATGGACCCCGCATTTCTTTACTTTGCCTTTCTTTTCTTTTCTTTCTTTCTTTCTTTCTTTCTTTCTTCAGGAAGGGGTTCAGAGAGGGGGAGGGGAGGGGAAGAAGGGATTGGCACGTGCATCCGAGATGGGGGCTTTATTATTTAAGCTTATATGTAGTTACTTATTTCTGCCTGTAGAACTCCCATTTTCCAATTTCTATCTCGTCGGACAATCGTCGTACATTCGTGTGTGTAATATTTGTTATTTGTCCCGTGGTACTTTGTTCGACTTGGTGAAGAGTTGAAGAGAAGAAGAGAAGAAGAGAAGAACATATTTGGTTACCTTGGGTACGAGAAAGATAAAGATTACATACATTACGAAGTCGGAGTCGAAGTTGAATAAAACAAAAGATAATTTTTTGAAGGGGCGAGGGATTATCTTATTCCGGATCTCATAAGAGAGGAGGGATTTGGTTATTGAGAGAATCGTGGAACTTTTGGAACGGAAAATGAGATGGTTAGGGCCGTTGGTGGAGAGTTTGAAGGGGCAGTTGAGTTCTGATGCGCGGATTTTGATGAAGGGGGATGAGGGGTATGTGGAGGGAATTAGTCGGTGGTCGAGGGCGGCGGAGAGGCAGGCGGTGGGTTTATGTTTTTTTTTAATGTTTGTTATTGTGGGTTTTCTTGGGTTTCTGTTATTGAGAGAGAGAGAAAGGGAGAAGGAGAGGGAATGGTTGTTGCTCTAGGGTGAGGGGAGAGAGGTGCGCAAGAGGAGTGAAGCTTGTGTGATGATTTTGGGGATTGGAAAATTGAGCTTTCCATCAAAACTCCCCAAGGATTTTTTTATATACATCTATCTATCTGTCTAAATTAACTAATTTTCGGTGCCTGTTAAGATGTACTTGCTAATATCCTCTCTAGGCCCTAATTGTCTATCCTACCACCGCCGAGGACGTCTCCAAACTCGTTCTTTTTGTCAAAGAACAGAGACTCGATTTCGCAGGTGAGTATTTCGTTGATACTTTGTCTAATCAAATTTTATGATCCCCTATAACTAACTCTCCATCACAGTCGCCGGCGGTGGACACGGCTCATCAGGCGCCTCATCGACCCAAAATGGGCTTTCCATTAACCTCTCCAAAATGCGCAACGTAACCGTAGACCCCGTCAACAAATCAGCCCGCTGTCAAGGCGGCGCTCTCTGGTCCGACGTCGATACCGCTGCTTTTGCCCACGGCCTCGCTGCCGTCGGCGGTACCGTAAATCATACTGGAATCGGCGGACTCACCCTTGGAGGTGGCTTTGGCCATCTCACTCCCAAACACGGATTAGTGATTGATAATCTTCTCGAAGCAGAAGTCGTTCTCGCCGATGGACGCATTGTGACATGTTCTGCAAATCAGGAACCCGATCTCTTCTGGGCAATCCGCGGCGCGGGTATTGGATTTGGCGTCACGACGAGTTTTACCTATCGATTGCACCCGCAGCCCAACCGTGTCTGGGGCGGTATGCTAGTGTTTCCCCGCGAGAAGTTAGAAGCAATCATTTCATTCGCCAACACAATCGTCACGCTCGACGAAGAAAATGCTCTCCTGCTTCTCGCGTTTGCTTCTCCACCCCCAGCCTTCCAGCCCGCGGTCCTCGTCCCCGTCTTCTACAACGGCACCGAAGCCGAAGCTCAAGCCTACTTCAAACCGCTATTGGATCTCGAGCCACTCGCCAACACCACGAGAGAAATGGATTATGTAGAAGTAAATGGCATGCTCAACGAACCCATGGCTCACGGCCTCCGCCGCAACTTGAAAGGCGCCGCAGTCATGTTCCCTCTGACCTATTCCTTTGCCGCGGACGTCTACACCGAGACGGAGAAATTCTTCCTCGAGACCCCAGATGCGAAATATACCATGGTGATTTTCGAATACATACCTTTCGGCAAGATATTAAAGGTGGGACAGCAAGAGACCGCATACGCGAATAGAGGCGCGTATGGAAACCTAGTATTTGGAGCGAGTTGGGAAAGCCAAGAGACGGACACGAAGTGTAGAGAGTGGTGTAGGATGATGGCTCAAAAAACAAAGGCGGAGTTGGAGAGGAGGCTCAAGGACGGGACGGATGAGATTACCAAGGATGGAGTGGGTGCGTATGCGAATTATGATGGTGGTAAGTTTTTCTCTCTTTTGGTTCTGTGCTTTTGATTCTTCCTCTAAACATCGCTTGTGGTCGCTACGCGAACCTTGCTTCCATTCTCGATATCCACCTAATTAGCAAAAACCTCCTTGCATCTTCGTCGCAGAAAGAAAGCGACACCATTGGCTAATGAATTTGATAGCAAACCATGAAGCAGGCAATCTGGTGTATGGCGTCAATTATCCACGTCTTGCTGAGCTGAAGAAAAAGTATGACCCCGAGAATGTGTTTTCCAAGGGTCCAAATCTGGTTTCCTAAATCACTGGATTGGATTTTGAGCATTAATGTCAGTTATTTGATCAAATATCGTCTTCTCAGAATGAAATTCAAGAAATTTTTATACCAAAGGCTATACGAGAGATCATACAAGAAAAAATTAGTGCACGTAATGATGAAACTTTTGATATATCAAATTCTGTCCTATGAAAAGGTGGGTAGGTAATGCTAGGACATAATAACTCGCGCCAATCCCCATAAAATCTCAGAAATGAATCACCCTTCTGATGTTTCCCGCTTGAAAAAACAGATGCAATATGAATACAATACAATACTTATTAATAAGACCCTCGCAATAAAAACCAAAAGTAAACTATTTGTATCTAAAAATCGAATCGATCTGGTAGCACTACAGGTGCGATCAATGTCCATGTATAGATACCATAGCATACCCATGAACTGATGATTTTGACCCATGATGCCCAGTATGTTCTTCCCACAGGCGCAAAACTTGTATTCCCATCTGTGTATTCATCCATGTTCATGGTGAGTAGTGTAGCTACCCAAGTGGTCGCTAAGAAGAAAATTACGTGGAATAATGCGTAACTGTATTGTGTTGAGGTTCTCTCGTCATCTTTGGCGGTGTTTCCACTGTCGCTTTCATCATCGTCGTCTAGAAGAGCGTCTGCAGGAAGACTTCCTTCTTCTACGGCTTGTCGAAGAGCTGCTGCACGCATTTCACGTCGGCTATCTGGTTGTTGGGTAACTAGATCATGTTCATCATCTTCGGGCAATGCGATTCTCTTTCCTTTTCCTCCTAGAGCTACTCCTTGTGTTGCTGCTCTGGTTGTTGTATATGCAACTGTGAGCATAGTAACGATCGCACCAATAATAATAGAGGTTGTTCGTGTTCCTTGAGCTCGAATAAGAGGGTTGCAATGCTTCGTATCAGGTTCCATAGAGACTGCAGACATGGTGAGGTATGTACAGTAAATAGCAACCATAGCTGATTGCGCCAAACCTGCTCTCGGATTGAATTCTTGCACCATAGGGTGGACAGAGACGACAGAGACAATAACTAGGAAGATCAAGTTGAGAGTGATAGCGGTTTGGTTCATTGAGCATCCGGCACCAGCAAAGAAAATGTATTGTACGATGGTCATTGCCAAAGAACATGCATACATGCCCAATGTTGATCCGATCAAAATTCCTCTCCAAGCTCGAGAATCATATGCTTCGATCTGTTCGAGACAGTATTCAGCCCAGGTATGTGCAAGATCAACCAACAGAATAAGTCCGAGAAGGAGGAATAGTGTCGATCCGGTGAATGCAATGTAATTCCCCCATACCAAGAAGAACCCGTCTGGGATCAAGAACGAAAGTACGATCAAGCCCAGCCAAGCGATGATTTTAGGACCCCAAAATCCATTTTGTATTGCTGCACGTGGATTCTTCGAAGAGTTTACGCCTAATAGCATCGATGCCATGATAAGGTGGAAAATTCCCAGTGCGAAATTAATCCGATGAACCGCAACCCATCCATAGCATTCTCCTTCTGGGCAACTGATCTTCATATAATCCAAAGTCAAGCCTTGTAGTTTGTTAATCGCCCATGGTGTTAGCATTATCCATGATAATATTGAATTGATTAAGAGGATGAGGGCGTATGCGATACGAGTGGCAACACTTTTCATCAGTCAGTCTTTGTTTATCAAGCAAACGCCTCGAGTCTGAAGATATACCTGTTACCACATTTACCACAGGCACTGCATACAGCAGAGCATGTTGCCGCTCCACAGCAACTTGCAGCAAAACCCACCACCTAAGAATATAAGTAATCTCTTCATGACAAAGTCCAATAGGTAGAACTCACAGTGCCCAAGCTTGGCACAGCCAACAAAGGAATTGAAAGTAGAGCGCCCATTTTTGCGCTTTGCTATAATGTGATGTCGCAGTATTAAACTTGGCAATAAAATGATCCGCGACTCTATTGAATATGATTCTTGAAAAATCTGTATCGTTAATAGTTGAGCATAAAAGTTGAAGGATAACGCTGGAAGTTGTTTTGGAGATGGCTCCTTATGATCTATGCGGCTGATGAAAGCAGTCTAGGCGACTGACCTGCATTAGTGCGGTGATGGTTTGTAAGATCCACCGTAAATCAAACTGATAAGGAGACATTAGCGGAGTTGGTTTATCTGATAACGGACTTACGTGTGTGCAGACGACAGCAAGAGGATACTCTAATTTCTTTCAGACAATCACTCGTATTTTGCCCAGGAACTCTTGGGAGAACACTTTTGTCTCTCATTATAAAACATATCATTTCCCATTTATTGCCAGCGAATACCCCTTCTTTTTGCTTTGACTTTTGCAATGATTAAGACGTGAAACTATACATGCCCCCCTTTGAGTAATCACGATAACGACGCGGTCATCGAATATGTCGGAAAAGCCATTACAAGCAGCGAGGATAGTGTCGAGTGTTGCAGCAACCTTTATTGCATTGGCATGTGGAACGAACTATGCTTTCTCCAATTGGGGCCCGCAGTTCGCTGATAGATTGAAGTTGTCATCAACACAGATCAACTTGATAGTAAGATCACTTTGCGCCAAACTGTATGCTCTTGATATCATGCTAATTAGTTGTAAACAGGGTCTATTTGGAAATCTGGGAATGTATGCATGTGGTATACCAATTGGGCTATTGGTGGATGGAAAAGGGCCTCGACCTGCCGTTATATTGGGAACGATTTTGCTTGCTGCGGGATACTTTCCACTATATCAAGCATATGATAGAGGGTCTGGATGGTTACCATTACTTTGTTTATATTCATTCTTTACCGGGCTTGGAGGATGTGCTGCCAATGCAGCTGCCATTAAGACTTCAGCTCTTAACTGGCCACACAACAGAGGTACAGCGACAGCGTTCCCACTGGCTACCTTTGGACTCAGTGCATTTTTCTTTTCTGCATTTACTGCATTTACATTTCCAGGGGATGCGGGACATTTCCTATTAGTCCTGGCCTGTGGAACCAGTGGAACGGTATTCTTAGGATTCTTCTTCCTACGAGTGATACCACATGCCCATTACTCGGCTCTTCCCGGCCATAATCGATCCGATTCAAATCGACTACATCGCACGAAATCAGAGGATAGTAGACGAGCAGAGAGAGATGTCTTGGATGGTGAACCTGGTATGTTATACCACCTGTTGCGTCTTCGGGCAAACATCATATCCTAAACCATCATGTGATAGAGGCCGAGGTACCCGAGAACGGCGTCACGTCCGATACCGACGAAACCTCCTCCTTGATGTCCAAGTCCACCGATGAAGAATCTCGAAAAAATGTAGACGAAACTGACAAGAAGGATCACGCGCATCTTGTAGATATTCGAGGACTTCAATTATTCAAAACAGTCGAATTTTGGCAATTGTTTACTTTGATGGGAATACTCACAGGTATTGGATTGATGACTATCAAGTAAGTTTCTCATTTTACTCGAACTCGAGCCTCAACTAATCTATCCTAGTAATATTGGAAACGACGCACAAGCACTTTGGCGTCATTGGGATGATTCAATCCCAGAAGAGTTCATCATGCATCGTCAAGCAATGCATGTTTCCATCCTTTCTGTTTGTTCATTCACTGGTCGTCTCCTTTCGGGTACTTAATCCTCTCTAATTTACAGCTTCTCTTTCACTAACGCTCCAGTAGGAGTTGGTTCAGACTTCCTCGTCAAGGTTCTACGCTGTAGTGGTCTATGGTGTCTAACTCTCGCCTCTCTGATCTTCTTCGTTGCTCAAATCGCCGCTCTTAATACCGAAAACCCACACCTCCTCTTCCTTGTCTCCTCATTCACTGGTCTCGGTTATGGATTTCTTTTCGGTTGTTTCCCATCTCTGGTAGCTGAGGCTTTTGGTGTTCATGGCCTCTCCACAAACTGGGGTTTCATGACTCTCTCCCCAGTCCTCTCAGGATATATCTTTAATCTTTTCTATGGTACAGTTTATGATCGCCATAGTATCGTGAAAGATGGAGGTGTGAGGGAATGTACCGAAGGCTTGCAATGTTATCGCAGCGCATATTTGGTTACAGTGACGGCGTCTGTGTTGGGCTTGTTGGTTAGTTTGTGGTGTATAAGGTATACCCATTTGGAGAGACTGGAGGAAGCGAGAAAACTTGAAGCAGATGAGAGAGTGGAGTAAATTGCATGGTTATGCATCACGCAATCGAAACCACCAATCTGAAAGCAATAGGATAGTATGAGATTTGATGAAAGACGAGGGTTGACTCCTTGTCTGGTAGCTGCAATGGAGGTACTAGTCGAGCTACGAAAGGGCGTCCTTGGATAGAATGGTCTTGGAAGAGATGGAATAGATAGACGGCGGGCCGGCGGCTACTATAGAAAGGTTTAGAGCTGGAATAGCGAAGGTTATTTTCATTTCTTTCAAATCTCTTCGTTCTGGCAGCATTAATGTTTGGATTAATGTGAAGATGGAACGAAGAGGGGGGAGTCTAATGCACGGATGCAACTCTAAGCCCATATGCCATACTTTCCATTCATGAAATTGGAATCAAGTGGTGCTCAACATCTCATTCATTGAACAATCAAATTCGCTTCAAATGCTATCCAACAAAGTTCGAATTGAGGTTAAGGCGTAACGGAATTTGTGAGACTTGCATCGTTGAATACCTAGGTAAAATGTGGATTGATTCTCGAAGTTCACTTATTTTCGGGATGTTTCTATTTGAACGAATATCGAACTTGCTAAACAGTGCATGTAGAAGTCTGATTACTAAGTTCTAGGCAGAATACAGTGAGGCTCTTTAAAGAACTTACTGTGGCAGAGGTGATCAAGGATGTCTACCTAGGTATGTATATTCGGTTTCTTTTCGCTTTTAGCAGTAACCTAATGATTGAAACTATGTGCAATAGAATACCGTCGTCGTAGGTTTTCATTAGTCAAGTCAACTGTTTGCTTATACTAAATTTTCAAGTCGTATCAAGTGAAAGTAGATCGATATACCAACTCCTACCTCTCTGCTTACACTCATATTCGCGTTATCTCCTTCTACGTGTTTTGGATGGATTCGACAATCTGTGATATTCTTCCTCCCGTTTTTTGAACTTACGAGATATGGATACCTTATATCTACCTAACTGCTGATTTCAGAGGCCTTAGAGACCTTAGAGACCTTAGAGACCTTAGAGGCGCAACAGGTAGGTATCTATAGGCTTGAGGCCCTGAAGCAGATGTGCAACAAAAATATCTGAAAAGATTAAGCTGAGAAGTGATTGGCGAATAGTAATTGGTGGGCTGTGAAATAGATTTCGAAAGTGAATATATGGGAGAGATGAAGGTAAAGTATGAGGAAGACGATAGATAGTCACCTATAACATAAGCTGGGTACCTGACAATACGCGGTATTCGGATACAAGACGTATACATATCATGATCTTTGGCTATATATATCCCGCCATCGGAATGAAATATATTCATGATGAACTACGATAGTGGTGATATTGTACTCGTATCAAATTTATCCGGGAGTTGCATATCTGATTTCGGTTTTCCTTGATGATAATGCGGTCGGGGAGTGGCAGGTATATGTTTACTTGGGTATCTAGATGCGTAGTTCTTAGGTCTGGGATTTGTCTCACTCGAGTATGTGTGATTGAGGGAACGAAAGACTAGAATGTTTAGAAGTGGATTTATATGTGAGATTTGGCTACCTATGCACTGCATTGGATGAATATGGGAATGAGAAATGCAAGATTACGACTTGTGATAGAAAATAGAAAGTAAAACGTTTGACTACGATCTTCGACGAATCTTTGAATTGTGGTAGAATACTGTAAGCTGCTGTTCTACTTTAATGCACATATATTCGAATCGTGGGACCAATCCTCTCTTGCTACAAATTTGTGCGTTTAAGACTTTGATTCCTACTAGGAATGCAAGAAGTTATATGAATCGCAAGACGCAAAGATTCTAGAGTACCAGTGGAGTTTCTACAGTTTGTGTGAAAGGCAGACGTGGATAGTTTGTCGATAAGAATTCACAAGATGCGGAATCATTATGAGAAGCATAGATTCAAATTCTGGAATCTTTCAAGATACGTCAATCGATATTGTGGATAGTATACTAGATACTGTGCTGTGCTGGTGATACAACGTTGAATTGGCAATACTACTCACACTGAAATCACAATGACGATCTTGAAATTATGTATCTCGTAAGGTTGCTCTCTCTGGTCGAAACGACCGTGTTTTGAGATATCAAAGAGTTGTATACGGCAGATCCAAAGACTTCCTCCGAAAGATATAATCGTGCTCAAACTTGATGTATAAACTTACTCGAACGTCGAATTAGTATGACGCGATCTCACATGAGCAAAGTACCACGACGACCAGTGCACCTCCCGATAAACTTTACAGGCTGCCAGATATTAAACAAAGGTTTAAAAAAGTTACTCCCGGTGAACTCTATAAATAACTTTCTAGCAAAACACAAAGTTTCCATCAAACGATTAGATTTTCACATGTTGCATACATCATCATCATCTATTTTATATATCACAAGCCTGCTCGTTCACTAGAACGAACTCTCAGCACTGCCAAGACGTTTAGGGCACTGCAAGGACGCGAGTCTTCCTACTTCCTACACCACAAGCTCATAAGCTTTAAGGTTAAAGCTTTGTTCCGTATAGAGGTCGCACAGCATCTTACGCGGCTCTTTCAGACCAGTAGTTGAAAGTAGTAGGTACATCTTTTCGCGTTGGTATGTTGATGCATATACGAATATCCTGAAATGCTCTGGTGGAATTATTGCATGTTGTGCTTTTCGATGTGTAGGGAGGTATCATACTTGGTGGAATGTAGCGTGACAGTATGGCTAAATGTGTAGAATCCGTAGATATGTAGAACTTTGGCATCGAATAGTTGCATTTGATTTTGGAAAAAAATTTCTCCATCTTTGTGTAGATTATCGATAGCTCTCCATACGATGCGATGCGATGTGTGATGTGATGTGATGACCGTGAAGCTAGCTGCAGCACGATAGATTCACAATGGCGCAAGAGCAGGTTTTGCGTACGTACTACACATATATATCTTGGTCTAGTGTTTTCGTTCAAGGCGTGCAAGCCACGTTCAGAACTAATTCCCGATCGAGCTCTCCATCTACTTGGCAACGTAGATAACGAACAATTTCTTGGTTCAACGGGATATCAATGGTGCAGTAACGATATGTAGACTCCGTATGTACTTGAGAGATGTGCAGGCACGACAAACCAATATATTCAAAGAGTTAGAGACAGATTGAATCTATGTGAGGCGTGAGGCGTCGTTCACGGGTGAATCGTTTGTTATTGGTTGGACGGAATTAGATTTAAGGTACTATGCTACCTGTCTAGTACTGATTTTATTCTAGATGCATTGTAGCACTGGAAAAAGGAGTTGCGCTTTGTTGAGGTTGAATTGTATCCAACGCTGCAACGATGTCGACTACTTGTTAGCAGGCGAGCAGGTCTAATCAAAGCGTTACTGCCAGTAATTAAGTATTGAATCTTGATGATGCTTACACAATGCGCATAAGCATAAAGGCGGCTTTTGAACTGAGGGGTTTAATTCCTGATTAGTAAGTAAAGTGGATATGAATTAATTATTTTGAGCTTCATGTGGAGCTACGGGAGAGCTGCTTTTGAAGAGAACGTGGTATGTGTGTTGGTATATCACTCGAGGAATCGTAGAATTGGAGATGTTACCACTGACTAGAATTTTACGACCCGCCTGCTTGATAATAGACCTCTCCTTTACGGTTCAACTCATCTCACCAGATCTTCATTGGCCAGATCGTAATATCTGGGAACTTAGGTTACAATCAGAAATGAAGCAATTTTATATCCACGTCTCGTTTGGACGGACACCCAATTCCCCTCCGCAGTCTCCGTCCGACCTCTTCCCTTCCCCAACACAAACTTATCCGATATTAAACATTATCCCCAGCCAGCGATAATTTTCCATGGAGCCCCAGATAAATGGATTCTGGTGCGATTTCTTGGGGATGAGAAAGTCGTTTCCCAGCCACTTGAATATTCCATCAAGTCTTCTACGTATAAAGATTTGTTTCCTTTTTAGCCCCATTTGAGTCTTGACGCTGCAATCCCAAGTTGGACTGGTAGTCTGAATGAAGTGCGCTCCATGATGAGCCGCGTGGGGGTTGTTAAAGTGTAAAAGTTTGAGCACGCCATGATGCTTCTCCTACGGGATGGAGGAATCGAGGAATCGAGGACTCGAGGAATGATAGCGCTAAAGATTGGTGCTTCGGGGTAGGTAGGTAGGTAGTAAGTAGCTATTTGTCTATTTATACTGACTGGCTCCAGAGTTCCAACATGTTGGTTCAGAATTTAGAGCACACAGCCCCTGCCATAGGAGTGAAGACATTTTTTCTATTCAAGGCTCCTATCCAAGTAGTAAGTTCATGAGATCCACGGAACATCCTTGAGCATGGATAATACTGTCCAGAAGTAAACCATGTTTCAATGTTTAAAATGCTGTTGAGGATGCGTTCAGAATCGATTTGATATCAAACTGACACAGACATTGAATTGGTACCGTACGAGGTACAAGACGTTCAAAAAGGTTGGTTTGAATCTCCCATAGGTTTAGATGAAAGACTACTCCCATTGGAGCGCCACTACCAGGTCGGGAAGGTATGAGGTGCTGATAAAAAAGCTACTGCATGATAGTGCATGTACCACCATATGCAGCATGTTTATTTACCTCTCTACCACGCCAATGAATGTTCGACCAACTTATATTGTCATGTTGCGATACTGCAATAGGACGTACGAATAATATTGCCCTATCCCGTATCCTCCAATCCGTACAACAGTTTCTTTCACTCAATCTCAAACATCAGTAACGAAAAATGAATCGAATATTGGGATCGTCTTGTGAAAAGAATATCGATGTAAAAACCAAGACCTAAACGTGCCAAGAAGCTTTAGAACATCATCATGCGACGATGATAAGAAGAATGAAAGATGTAGATCGACCCCTATTCACCAATCATGGTGTACAAGATCCTCACGATAACTTGCTGTGTTACTGTGTATGTGCTAAAAAGTGGTTTGTTTAAACGTTCGGCCGGTCTTTTTTCCCTGGCATCTATCTGAGCGATCAATTTGGCTTGAAACATAACTACTGTTCGCAATGACAGCGAATATGCTGGCGTCTGGATATTTGAATGAAATCTGACATGAGCAGTGATTGAAACAACAACTTCCTTCATTTTTTTTTAGGAGTAGTTGGGGATGTTTACGTTACTCGCCTAAGTAGGATGTATAGATACCTGCTAAGTACGTAGGTATATCAAGATTCTAGGTTCTAGATTCTTGGGCTAGTAGACAAGTAAATACATAGATCCTTTTGGTAGACGTTCTGCACACTATTATAGTAGGTTCCCGCGATAGCAAATTCAATCGACGATATCTCCCTCCCCCCTCTCGAGCTACCCAAGAGTCCTTGCTACCAATGTGAATAAAAAACGGTAAAGAAAAGCATCAAGGTATACCTGGAAGTCATCCACTCATAAGCTCATCCCTACTGCATGTAACAGGGTTAAAATAAGTGAAATGCTATAAAATAAAAGAAGCTAAAGAAAAAAAATGGGATAAGCCTTACTCTATTAATATTAATAGGCTTAATAACTGGCTGAGAATACATGGAAAAAAGTATCTAATAGACTGATAAACCGGTACTGCTCTGCTGTGCTAGGTAGGTACCTAGTAATCTAAACATATCAATTCGCCTGTCCCTAATCAGTCAATTCCTCCAAGGCCTTCCTTAGCTCTTTCGCCTGTGGTTTTTCTGTCATTCAAGAAATCGCCAATTCTCTTGTCTCCAGCCTCTCCAAGCCTATCCGCCAATTATTCTCACAATCTCCTCACAACATTCCCACCGAAAGCGATTTCCCACGTCAGTCTCCTATTCAAAATTTGGAGATTCGTGTCGCAAGTCTGCTTAGATGCTGAGGAGATCATCTGGGTCGGCCGCAGAGGAAGAAGGCGACGATTCAATAGCGAATGCCGACATAATTGAAGGACCGGGGTTTACAGGTCGCTCTAGAAGCGAAGTATCGATATCGAATAGGGATTCCCAGAATTTCCAATCAACTTCACGACAAAGCACTCCGCAACATACTCAATCCGAATTAGATCGTCGGAAAAGTTGCGACAAAAGGCCTTTGGCTGCCAGGAGTCGACGCCCCAGCAATACAAATTGGAAACCAACTGAATCGCGCAATGGACATATAGATAAGGGTCAACCCAACGAAACGGCTGTAATTAGTGTTACCTCGAAAGGGGCTATTGAGGTAGATAAGATGGCAGACTCTAGACAAACTCCACGACGGTCGAGGTTACGAAGTCCTTGGTCTTTTACACCATTGACCTTCGCTACAACAGTTATAGCCTTACTTACTTTGGCGTCTATCATACATTCATTTACCACGCGGCAATTAGATAACAAAGGATGTCGAATGTCATATATGAGGCCTTCTTTTGCGAAGTTATCGGATTTCGATACCGAGCATACCCGTTTCGCAAGCAAATATTCAGTTTATCTATATAGGGAAGGAATGGTGGATGAGGATACCAAGGTATGGGGATTGCGTGAAAATTGGAGGGCTAAACTTACGAAATCTGTCTAGGTTAGAGGTGTTCCCGTTTTGTTCATACCTGGAAATGCTGGAAGTTATAAGCAAGTTCGACCAATTGCGGCAGAGGCAGCAACATACTTTCACGATGTTTTACAGCACGATTCTGCAGCGATCAATGCCGGAGCACGGAACCTGGACTTTTTTACTGTCGATTTTAACGAGGATATAACGGCCTTCCATGGGCAGACAATGTTGGACCAGGCAGAATACTTGAATGAAGCGATTGCATATATATTATCTTTGTACCATGATCCTCGAAGATCGCAACGAGACCCGGAGCTTCCAGATCCAACTTCCGTTATCATATTGGGGCACTCGATGGGTGGGATTGTAGCTCGTACAATGTTAATCATGCCGAACTATCAGTCGAATTCCATTAATACAATTATTACAATGTCAGCTCCACACGCTCGACCCCCTGTTTCCTTCGATGCGGAGATTGTCAAAACTTACAAGCAGATCAACGACTACTGGCGTCAAGCTTACTCACAGAAATGGGCAAACAATAATCCTCTATGGCACGTTACTTTGTTATCCATAGCTGGAGGTGGACTCGATACTGTGGTTCCGTCAGATTATGCCAGTCTGGAATCTCTGGTGCCAGATACACATGGGTTTACCGTTTTCACTTCATCTGTGCCAAACGTATGGACCGGTATGGACCATCAAGCTATTCTATGGTGCGATCAGTTCAGGAAAGTTGTCGTCAGATCTTTATACGAAGTTGTTGATGTAAACCGGCCTGCACAAACGAAACCTCGAGCAGATAGAATGAGAATCTTCAAAAAATGGTACTTGACAGGAATGGAAAGCCTCGCAGAAAAGACCCTTTCCCACAAGGACCCCACGACTTTGCTTACTTTGGAAGACGACTCGCACGCAATAATCCCCCAAGGAGAAAGATTAACCTTACGAAAATTTGGGGAGTCGAGGAAACCAAAAGCGCATTTGCTCCCGATTCCTCCCCAAGGGACACCAGGTGGAAAACGATTCACACTTCTCACCGATCAAAAGTTCGATAGACCTGGGGACAATGGGAAGTTGGAGGTTCTTTTCTGCAGTGTTTTCCCTCTGCATCCAGGTCAATCAGCGACACTATTTTCTATGAATATGGATCTGTCTGGGGATAGCTCTGGATCTACGAGATTAGCTTGTAAAAATGCTGCAAGCGACGTTATTCCTTTACCAGCATCCACCAGAACATCGAAGATGCCTTTCTATCTGGACGACGAGGAAGAAATAAAGCCATTTTCTTACTTACAATACGATTTGGAGGATATCATTGACCACCAATTTGTTGCTATCGTCGATAAAGCAGTTGAGTCAACTCCTGGATGGGTGATTGCCGAGTTTAGTGATAATGTTCAGTCGCACCGAATCAGATCTCTGAGTCTCCGACGTCTCTTGGCTTTCGGTATGAAAATGAGGCTTCCACCAAACAGGCCTATGGTTGCGGAGGTCAAAATACCCGCCGTGCACTCCAGTTTATTGGCCTACAACTTGGAAATGGGCAATCAAGTCTGTGGGGAGGAATCGGAACTGTTCACCCCGCTTTTACGTCAATATATTTCGGAGCCTTACGAATCCAAATACTTTGTAAATGTGAAGCAAGCAACCATCAATATCCATGGGGTCTCTCCATTCATGCCTCCTGCACTTAAATACAAAGCCATTCAAGATGGGTTGAGCCTTCAGTTCTGGACTGATCCGACGTGCAATTCGAGCATCAAAATCTCCCTGAGTGTCGATGTTCCAGGCAGTTTAGGGAAGTTGTATATGCGCTATCGAACGGTTTTTGCGGCATTCCCCTTACTGGTTGTTGCCCTTGTGATGAGAAAGCAATTTCGAATGTATGACGAGACGGGAATTTTCATTTCTTTCAGCGAAAGTCTGGACTTGTGTTTACGACAGTCTTTACCTTTGGTGTTGTTAGCTCTTACATGCCTATCGGTGTCATTCTCCCAAGCAAGTACGGCACCGCCTCAAGGAGCTCCCACGGGCTTTTTGGGATGGGGAAGGAATGCATCGGAAACTGTCATTGACTATACTAAGAACGATTTACTTGTGGGCTCACAAGACCCTTTCTTCTGGTTTATGGTTCCTCTGATTGGGCTGGTTTGTATTGGTGTATGCGTAATGATCAATTATGCCACATTGGCCATTACTCACATTTTGAGCGTACTCTATGGCTGGATGAGTGTTAAGCCGGCGTGGTTGCGAAACGAAGATAGAAAGAGAGCATCATCTCCAGCATTCGCACCATCTTCTCCACGTCGACGAGTATTCACGACTGGCGTATTGTTATTCTTAGTGTCTACAGTCATTCCATACCAGTTCGCATATCTGGTGGCATGCCTGGTACAGATAGCCACTTGTACAAGGGCCCTACGATTTGCCAGGGAAGCACGTTCTAACACGAATTACAACTTCTACAATTATGTCCACTCGATACTTGTCCTTATGCTATGGATCCTGCCAATCAACCTCCCAATACTCGTTGTGTGGATTCATAACTTGGCTGTGCATTGGTTGACGCCCTTCTCTTCTCATCACAACGTCCTCTCCATCATGCCCTTCATTCTCTTGGTGGAAACATTAACGAGTGGAAAGATGGTCCCTCGTGTTACATCGCGTGTTCGCCACGTTACCAGCGTTCTGCTCTTCGGTATCGCGATCTATGCTGCAGTATATGGAGTGACTTATGCCTACATGCTTCACTATCTAGTCAACTTGGTAGCTGCATGGCTCGTCGCTATTCATTCTTCAACCTCAAACTGGACACTTGCGGGAGTAACGACTATATTCGATCCCGAGAGCAATGAGAATACTCGTAAGCGTGGTAAGACACCTTGAATGGCAATACTGTCTACGAGATTATCTACAGCACCATTAAATTCAACGATTCACGATTCAACGCCCACCACATTTATCAGACTCCTATTACTTTTATAATCGGTTGAAATCATGGAATCCCGCAAACTATCAACCTATTTTTGTTTCCTTCACGCACTAGACTTTTCGGCGTTCTCAACAAAGTATAGAACTTTGCGCGTTATCAAACGTCTGGTTTCCCGAATTTTCCACTTTTTCTAGACTTCAATTCTTTCGTTTATAGTGAATGATTTTCGTACACAAAATTCATTCGCAAATAACTATACTCATAAGCGATGTACATAAGGAAGTTGGCGTTCTCTTCTTTTCCAGCTGCAAACTGTAATTAGGCACGTACATACCTACATTTTTGCGATGCGCTGGTGTTACGTTATCCAAGGGGGAGAGGTGTAGGCTGACGAGGTATGTTAAAGGGTGCGAGAGGAGGATGGGGCATGATACTGCAGTGGCCGGGCAGTAATAAAAAAAACTTGGCTACTTTGTAATGTTTTATATTGTATCTTCTTCTGATGGCGAGAAGGGGACTGTGAAGTAAGAGGAGGGAAGTGAAGATGTAGAGGTGATATTCAGGCGGCGGGGCAGAGGAGAATTGGGATGAGATGTATATTTGGTTGATGGAGGTGGGGTTGCAAAGGGGAGGTTGGAATGCCGAAGATTATTCTGGCGTTTGCTTTAGGGGTGGAAACGAGAAGGTGAAATGACGTGTTAACACCGTGCTGTGCTGTTGCTTATATACCCTTTGGTTTGGAAATGGAATTGAGGATGAGAATTGTGGAGGACAGGATGAGAGTGATGTGTGAATGCAAGTGCGAGGTACGGAGGGAATAATTGAATATAGACTCGGGAAGGGAAACTCCTTACATAATTCTGGGTGCATTTACGTGTGTGAATTCTTTTGTAACTACTTGAACACTGAAATTCTCAGTATCGTGAATATATTACTTCCGATGTGCTCCTAATCTTCGCCTTGCTATTCATTCTATCGAAGAGACAGCGTCGTAAAAAAAAAAAATGAACTCGCTCCCGGTGAACCTTTGAACACATCTGCCGACCACTCGCTGACCACAAGCATTACATTTCATGCAAATTGACACCTTTTCAAATACTGTATGAAATACTCTCATTTATGTGAGAACTGGATTAGAACATTTGCATTGTCGTTTGAACCTCCGAAGAAACCCAAAAATAGATAGTCTCGAACGTCCCTCATTACTTATCGATGATGTCGTGTCCTATCGGATAATTTATCGAGCTACCATGAAGTCCCCAAAATCTTTCCATTGACAATTTTTAAGGGGAAGAAGAGGTTCTCATCTAATTTGTATTTCACAGTACATATATTTCGTCCATTTTGAGGACGGGCCATTCCTTTATTTTTCTGCAGATGGTTTTGGCTTAAATCCATCAAGGTGTTTTGACAATCTGTTCCTTACACAGTCGGAGCCGTTTGTTCAATTGAACGCGAACGCGTATAGTACAATTTATATACAAGGCAGACGAACATATCAGCCAGCAACATGGCTAGAGTTAATCGTTTTGGCTTTTTGGCCATTGCGATGGCTTTCCATCTGGTTTATATTTATTCAATCTTTGATATTTATTTTGTGAGTCCCATCGTATCTGGGATGCGCGAATTCGGGGTAGAGAGGCCAGATGGAGTGGAAGCTCCAGCAAAGCGTTTGGTGCTTTTTGTGGGTATGTTATTCTGGTTTCTTCTTCAGAAATTGTGTATGGATGCAATTGACTGATACTTTGAATCTGCAGGTGATGGTCTACGAGCCGATAAAGCTTTCCAATCGTTTCCAGAACCATACCCAAAATTAGAAGAAGATCTTGTTCCCCGGCCTCTTGCGCCATTCCTTCGCTCGCGGGTCCTTGGACATGGTACTTTCGGTGTCTCTCATACTCGAGTCCCTACGGAATCCCGCCCAGGACATGTTGCGCTCATTGCGGGCATGTACGAAGATGTATCGGCAGTTGCTACTGGATGGAAACTCAACCCGGTGAATTTCGACAGCATTTTCAATAGAAGTAGACATACTTGGTCATGGGGAAGTCCAGATATTTTGCCAATGTTTCAATTAGGCGCTGTTCCAGGCCGTGTCGATGCGTATACATATTCTGCTGAGGAGGAGGACTTTTCAAAGGCAGCTATACACTTGGATATCTGGGTATTCGACAGAGTCAAGGCTCTTTTTGCAGAAGCTGCTACAAATGCTACCTTAAACGCTGCATTAAGAAAAGACAAAAATGTGTTCTTTCTACATCTACTTGGCTTGGATACTACAGGTCATGGCTTCCGCCCCTACTCGAAAGAATATCTATATAACATCAAAGTTGTGGATGAAGGCATTAAAGAAGTAACAAAGGTCATCGAAGATTTCTATAAAGATGATAAGACTGCTTTTGTCTTTACAGCCGATCATGGAATGAGTGATTATGGAAGTCATGGCGATGGGCACCCAGACAACACACGCACTCCCCTGATTGCATGGGGATCTGGAGTCGCGAAGCCAATTGTGCAGGCCCATGGAATTGCACCAGGGCACGACGAATTATCCTCAGATTGGGGTATGGACCATATTCATCGACATGATGTTTCCCAAGCAGACGTTGCAGCTCTCATGGCATATTTAGCTGGTGTCAACTTCCCAGTGAATTCTGTTGGAGAATTGCCCCTATCGTATCTAGCAGCAGATATTCCCGAAAAGTCCGAAGCTTTCCTAGCTAATGCTCGAGGTATTCTTGACATGTATCGAATCAAAGAGGAGCACAAGAAAGCGACCGAGTTGAGATATCGACCATTTGAAGGTCTTGGAGACCAGAACCATACTGCCGAGCATCGATTGGCTGATATCAGAAATCTGATCGATCGAGGACAACATGAAGAAGCAATTCGCGAGACTGCAGAACTTGTGAGACTTGGGTTGGCTGGTCTTCGATATCTTCAAACGTACGATTGGCTCTTTCTGAGAGCCCTCATTACAATGGGTTATTTAGGGTGGATCACATTTGCCCTCACTACCGTCATTGATCTTCACGTTCTTCATGGTAAAGCTGAGACTTCTAGAACTCTAGCGGGCAGTCTGTTCTTCTCTTCAATTCTTGTTGCACTTTTCGCTTCCTTTATCGTTTCTGAGTCGCCTGCAACATATTACGCTTATGCTGTTTTCCCGGTGGCATTCTGGGAAGAAGTATATGCCCGCCGAAATGCTCTCGCCGAGGGTGGAAAGGCACTATTTGGTCATGTCAAGTCACCCATTGCCTATATTGGAACATTCATTAAAACTATCATCTTCCTAGGCGTAATAGAATCGCTCGTAAGTCAAGATATACATTCTCCAATTGGTCATTCAATAACAATTATAGGCGTGGGGTTACACCCACAGAGAGATTTTCTCCGCCCTGTTTGTCGGCGCAACCTTCTGGCCGGCATTTTACGGCTTAGAATTCTTGAATGAAAACAAAGCATTAACACTAACATGGGCTGCGTCATGTCTGGGAATGAGCACCTTCACATTACTTCCTGCAATGAAAGTTGAAGATATAGATCTTATGTAGGTTATCACTTTCTAAAGCAATTAGGTCTCCAGCTAATATTGTTCACAGTTTGTATGGTGGTGCTTTGATGGTAGTCGTGGGTGTTTTGTATCTTACTTTTGAAAAGAAGCTACTCGCAAAGTCCAAGATGACGGGAGATTCTGTTGCGCCAGCCGATAATCTTCTATCCCGTACACTTATTGGAGCGCAGGTGAGAAACTCCATCCATCATCAGTAATCATATATTCTGACCTCTCAAATAGACCGGGTTGATTGTCCTATCAATGCTTGTTACGAGATCTACTGCAATGTCCTTACAGGCAAGAACGGGGCTTCCTCGAGGAAACCAAATAGTTGGTTGGTGCTTGATTGGTAAGTTGACGAACACCTGGATGATATGAGGAAAGCTAACGTGAATAAAGTGGCGTCTCTTATAATGCCCTTTTTACACCGTCTACAACCGAACAACCATTATCTACACCGATTGATGATTGTATTTCTCACATTTGCACCACTTTTCGTAATTCTTACCATCTCTTACGAAGGGCTTTTCTACTTGGCATTTTCAGCCACTCTCATCACCTGGGTGCTATTGGAACACGGCATCCACAAATACACTTCAAATAAAACAACAAAAGTCAAGGCAAATGGTGCTCCAGTTCCAGAAGTTCCAACTTCATTATCCTCTTCTCCATTCCGCTCTCTCACATTGACCGACGCGCGGATATCTCTATTTTTCCTCATACTTTTACAATCGGCGTTCTTCAGCACAGGAAATATGGCATCTGTCTCATCTTTCAGTCTGGAGAGTGTGAATCGTCTAATTCCAGTCTTTGATCCTTTCTCCCAAGGAGCTTTGTTGATTGTGAAGCTTATGATTCCATTTGCACTGATCTCAGCGAACTTGGGTATCCTGAACAAGAGGCTAGGCGTCGCGCCCTCAGCCTTGTTTATGGTGGTGATTGCTATTAGCGATTTCTTGACCTTGCATTTCTTCTGGGTGGTCAAGGATGAAGGGTCATGGTTGGAAATTGGCTCGACGATTAGTCATTTTATTATTGCAAGCTTGCTTTGTCTTTTCGTGGCTAGTTTGGAGGGGGTCAGTGAGCTGTTTATTGCGGGAGTGGAGGTGGAGGATCATTCAGGCCAGATTGAGAAGGAGCGGGAGCTTGGGGGAATGGTTAGGGATGTGAAAGGAGAGAAAGAGGGGAGTGAAAATGGGCTGGGTAAGATCGGCGTGAATGGGAATGGAATTGGAAATGGAAAAGACAAAAGTACTTAAAAAGTCGGTAAAGATATGGATAAAGAGGGAAATTGTATGTATATATTGTAATGATTACAAGAGGATCATGATGTATGTTTGGATGAGATTTATGAGAGCATGCAGATGAAAGTGACGTGGATGAAGAATGGTGAATGAAAGCCCAATATCACATGTAGTTATCCGAGGACGTACCGAGGCTCTTCTCTTGTTGATGATCCTACATTTCATCGGAGACTAATAAGCTCAAGCTTACACATATCGTGTTGTATTGGTGAATACTGGGTTTGAGCAATAGCACGGGTACTATCTGGGGTGCATGTGCCACATATGGAATTGCGGGGTGATGGGGTGAGTGGACGGGGTGAGGGGATGGATGGAGGATGTGTTCCGGGAAGTATTCGTGGGTGTTGGGTAGGTGGCTAGTAGTGGGTGGTTAGGGTTGGTTAGGGGTCGATAAGTGATGGATGTATCGGGCGGGTTTGGAGTTTAGTGCGCGGTGGATTGGATGTAGTGTGAAGCGGGAAGTTTAAAAGTGTAAGGAGATATTACTAGTTTAATAGGCGAAGCGAAACTAATAACTAGCTAGAGGGGTAATGATCTTGGGTTTGTGGGGGAGGATGGGTGGTGATTTTAGATGGATACTTGGAGCGGGATTTGTATTGGGAATCGGAATTCAAATTGCATAATTCATCACATTAGATGATTCAGGTTGATATTGAATATTTTGCAGTATAAAATAAACAGCATCTAGTAATAGTAGCAGCAAAAAGATAGAAGTAAAAGTGTTGCTATTGAAATTGATATAAAATGTATCATGATATAATGAAACTCGTAGGCGAGAAAAGGGAATTTCTTTGCACGGCTAATATAGTCCTAATAAGTAATTTACCATTTCATCATTGTATAGAATATTCCATAGGGCTTCGAGGTCGAGCGTTTTCACTCTATCTACTATCTACTATCTACTATCAACCATCAACGATGATGTGCGTAGAATGAGTGGAGCAAATAAGTGTCGCGTGTTTTCTTTTTTCACATCGAGTCCGAGGAACCTTATTTGGAATACCTGGTAGGCTAATCAACATGAGTATGGTGTCCAACTAGCGTTGATGAGAGAGTGGTGGCTGGCTCTGCTTTGGATGTATGTATGACATGTGCAACATATAATTAGATGATCGGGTTATGGATGTTTGATGATTATATATTAGAATATCATATCACGCTGATATCAACAAAGACCACATAAGAAGTCATTGTATTTGAATCCATTGAGATATGGAATCAATTTAAGACTTCATTGTTAATATATTCAATCAAATCGAACGAATCCCATTGAATGAATTTCACAGCGCAAACGGAAGACTGAAAACCGAAAGGATAATTAGATCCATACTTTTTCTCGCAGATCATGGTTCGTACCTTAAAATCAATTCCACTGGGCAATTTAACCCCACATGACCAACCATGACCTTCTTCTTGTAGGCAGTTTTACACTTTGCAGTACCCTCTCTTAACCCTCTTAACCCTCTTGACCCTCTTGACCCTCTTGACCCTCTTGACCCTCTTGACCCTCTTGACCCTCTCTCTACTCAAGTCCCGAAAAACTGTAAAAATAGCCCCCGTACCGAGAAGCCCAGATTTATCAATTCAACTCAACTCAATTCAATTCAATTTAAATTAAATCTAATTTCACGATCATCCATCTTTCCACCCACACACACACCACACGCACTCTTCCTCCCCCCCAGCTATTCGATTCAATCCGCCGACAATACCATTAGGGAAATTATTATACAATTAGTCACTCGCATGATCAACGAGCACTAAGAAATACCGGCTACTATGGCCTCAACCGAGATGTCCGCAGATGGTTCAGGTTCCTCGAACCAATATTCTGCTCCAGCGCCTCAAATGAGTAGTCAAGCTCCTGCTGGTTCGAATGCTGCACCTAGCTCGCAGCTCCCGGGACATGCTTCATTTAGAAGGTATGATGGAATGTATTCTCCGATACCACGAATGCGCTGACAATTTGGGGATGAAGACAACGAGCTTCACGAGCTTGCCAAGTATGTAAATATCGTTCCATTTCTTATCCATCCAATTTGATGCCTCGGTCCGAGGACCAGATTGTGATTGTGATTGTGGAGGAATTTGGAATCTTGACAAACATTTGCTAACAACAATGCGTAGACATGCCACGCTCGAAAGGTAATGTTACGCAAGATTGTTGCGCCGTCGCATGGTCGTGCAGCTTTGAGTATATATTAATGGGTCGATAGGTACGATGTGATGCTGCGAGTCTGGGGGTGCCTTGCACAAATTGCGTCGCCTTCTCCATAGAATGCAAGATCCCAACGCCGAAACGTAAGAAGACAAATAGTAAAAACAAAGATTCTGATAGGTACAAATTACCTCGGGTCTCTGAAGGGCTTGCAGCTGACGAGGGTAGCGACCGAGGAGAAACAATTGACGAACGATCACCTCAGAACAATGACTCCCCAAGTACCCAAACTACCAGGACCTCAATCGGTTATAACACGCAAGATGGAACGCCTGCGACTTCTCTCACTGAAGCTCAGGCTCGTCAGCGGGATAGCGACGAGACTACCTACGCTCAATTCATGAAGCCTAAATTCACCAGAGCGCCCATAAAGGAGGCAGGAAGAGTAGCATATCTAGGAGAATCGTCGAATTTGACACTACTCGTACACGACCGACATGGCAACGCAGATGTTGTACATTATCCTTTGCCGGAGAATATTAGAGGATCTAGGGCGAGGCTGACGGAATTGGATAATGTGGAAATTGATATCCTACATCAACGGGGAGCATTTTTACTCCCTCCTCGGTCTCTTTGTGATGAACTGGTAGATGCATATTTCAAATGGGTTGCTCCAATTGTGCCTGTAATCAATCGGAACAGATTCATGAGGCAATATCGCGATGCGAAGAATCCTCCTTCGCTTCTGTTACTGCAGGCTATCCTCCTGGCTGGATCCAGGGTCTGTACAAATCCCCAATTAATGGATGCTAATGGATCAACGACTCCCGCTGCCTTGACATTTTACAAGCGTGCGAAAGCACTTTACGACGCGAACTATGAAGATGATAGAGTTACAATTGTACAAGCTTTGGTCTTGATGGGATGGTATTGGGAAGGACCAGAAGATGTAACGAAGAACGTATTCTATTGGAGCAGGGTTGCGACAATTGTCGCACAAGGCTCAGGTATGCATAGGAGTGTTGAAGGTTCTGCGCTCAGCAAAGCCGACAAGAGGCTCTGGAAGCGAATCTGGTGGACGCTGTTTACCCGTGACCGATCGGTTGCCGTTGCTCTTGGCCGCCCTGTGCATATAAATACCGATGACTCCGATGTGGAGATGGTTAGTGAGGATGATTTTGTCGAAGATGAAACCGATCACCCCGCCGAATTCATCCAAGATCCTGTGCATGTCCAATTTTTCCTTCAATATGTAAAGCTTTGCGAAATTATGGGATTGGTTCTCTCACAGCAATATAGCGTAGCTTCAAAGGCTCGACGGCAAAATGCGATCGACCTCACCCACAGTGATATGGCATTGGCAGATTGGCTGTCTCATTGTCCTAAGGAGGTATATTGGGAGATGCCTCGACATCAATTTTGGGCAGCCTTGCTACATTCCAATTACTACACAACACTCTGCTTGTTACATAGAGCGCACATGCCACCGGCTACTACACAGAGAGGTAATTATGAGGAAAATGTATATCCATCTCGAACTATCGCATTTCAAGCTGCAGGAATGATTACGTCCATCATCGAGAACTTATCGGCACATGAAGAGCTACGATACTGTCCAGCATTCATCGTGTACAGTTTATTCTCTGCATTGATTATGCATGTTTATCAGATGCGATCCTCAGTGCCATCTATCGTTGCAGCTACCCAAGAGCGAATGAGAGTTTGTATGAATGGCTTGAAGGATGTATCAAGAGTTTGGCTCGTGGCCAAGATGGTTTACACACTGTTTGAGTCCATCTTGGGAAATAAGGTTCTTGAAGAACGTCTTCAGAAAGCTGCTGGAAAACGACATAAACGTATGGTACAGAGTATTAGCGAGGGCCTTAATCAAGCTAAGAATGAATCGCAAAAGAGAAAATATGACGACATGTCACTGGATTTCGCTGTGGGCAGTGGACCCGCGCCACAAGAATCGTACGAGAGGTCCAGACCTCAAACACCAAGTCAGGGTTATAATTCATCATCGATGCCTGCACCACCACCTATTACATCACCAAATCAGCGTCAAAATCGAGATACGTTTATGGGAGGTTCTAATTCTCGTCCTCACACACGTCCGCCCACACCTTTCAACCCCTCATACTCCGTCCCGGCTACGCCTCCGGATCTCTATCTTGTTACTAGGAACTCTCCAAACATATCACAATCTCTCTGGGAGAACTTCCAGCCAGATCAGTTGTTCCCTGAAGGTGGTCCTAGTTTGAATAACATTCAATTCTCCCCACCAAGTCATCCCAACCTTGATCCAAATCTCATGCCTCATCTAGGCGCACCTCAGCCCCCAATCCCAAACCAAAATCAATCAAATCAATTGCCTCAACGCATGCAACGAGGCCAACCTGGAATGAGTGGTAGTCCAATTCAAGGTGGTGGAATGCTTCCAGCTGGAGTTCCTCCTAATTATAATATGGGCCAAGGTATGTGGCAGCAAGGTTTTGAGCAGCCAATGCATGAGCCTCAAGGCCAAAGTCCTAGTGATACCTGGAGTAATAGTTCTGCACAAGCTGTTCCTACAACTTTAAATGTTGAAGATTGGTAAGTCTACTACACCGTGCAAGTCTCGGTTAGCGTACTGACATGGTGATGTGCAGGTTTCAATTTTTTGGAATTAATGGGGATTTAACTGGTATGAATGGCGATGTCCCACTCGCTTGATTCTTCTTGTAAGGATTTGGATCTGGAAGTGGAAAAGGAAACCGGCCGGTTGCTATTTATGAGCAAAGACTTGCTTGACGTGGTTCTTGATGAGCTATTTCCTCGAGTACTTAAAAATTGGTCATGGAGCGTGTAGGTGTAGCTCATGCCGCTGTATTATAAGCCTTTTGGAACCCACCTAATGAATAGGAAATGAAACTTATCAAAGTAAATGTCTTAAAAATACATTATTTTGATACTTGTAACACAAAAAATCAAACATTACTAGCGAATAATCGAAATATAAGAAATTACAACCCAATTTCGGGAAACTCTTTGTGGTGGGTATTGTGTCTTAAATGCGGATTCCCCACGTGCCCTGCGTTTCGATACATAATACACTATAAATGCTACTACGGATGACGAACACGGTAGCCCAAACTTAGTAGTATAATCTGGAACGTCCGTTCCCCGCGACTATTATCCCCAAGGAAGCCAAGTGTACTTCATAACTGACACGAGTAATTTCAACTACAATTCGAGGCCTAGTAATTGAGTGATCGAATGATCACAAATAAATTTAATCAAAAACGACGAATGCTCTCATGAACGCAAGTGTCCAGTGCGGACGGCCCGCGAAACAACCATGTCACAATCGTCACGAACAGCCGCGATAACCTCGAAGCAATCGCGATTATATAGTGACAACGAAACACGATTCAGCGATTCCAGTGCGGCAACCTCCTCTACGATACGACCGAGAAATAGAAGACTGATAAGTACGGAACAAGAATTGGTGAGCACAACAAGCAGCAGGGGGAGCAGTCCGGGTGGAAGTGCCAGAGGAGTGAGCCCGATCCCTTCAAGACATCCTTCAAGGAGGGTAGGCGATAATGGCGCTCAATCCGCAGAAAGTGCTTTAGGAACATCTGCGGTAGGGAGAGGAGATCAGAAAATTGGGTCAGGGAATGCTGGAGCATGGGGTAGTGGGTGGTCGAATTCTTGGAGTACATTACAAGGACTTGCGAGTTCGGTGCTAGGTGATTTGGGGGATTTAGTAACAGATGAGGGCGAAGGTAGTGCCAGGAAGACAGTCAGTTTGGATAGACCCAAAGCTAGAAGGAAAGATAGCTCCGTGAAGAAGTTGTTTGAACTACCTCATGGTGCATGGGGACCCGCAGAACAAAAGAAGAGGAATGAAGCTGTTATTGGCTCGGGGAGTCAATCGGAAAGAGAGGCAGCTTTACGGACACAAAAAATGACGAGACTTCTCGAAAACCACACAGATCTAAATGGGGCAGTTGATACAAATGGAAATTACAAACGGAGAACGTCCATGGATGAGGCTACAACTAGAACACAAGATGATGAAGGTGATGCGCTGGTCTATATACACCATGTGCAGAAAGAGGATACGCTTGCGGGAGTTATATTACGATATAATTGTCAACCTATGGTATTTCGAAAAGCCAATAGATTTTGGCCAAATGACTCTATACAAACTCGACAAGTGGTTGTGCTACCAGTAGATGCTTGTGCAATCAAAGGACGTCCTTGTAACCCATCTCAGGTTCTGAGTCAAGGGGTCGATTTACTTGCTCCAACGCCGAGTTTAGAGGATGCCCCAGAAGTGTGGCCACCCAGATCAGAGACACCGACAGAACGACCGGAGGAAAATCCGTGGGAACATGTACGATGGGTTCTCCTTGATTCATCTCCAAATTCTAAACCAGTCGAGATTGCACGTATGCCTAGAAGAACCCTGGGGTATTTTCCACCACCGCGAAGAAAGAGTCAGGCTACCAATTCTATCGCATCTACCCCTCGTGCTTCTTATGATCTTCCGCGCGGGTCTTCAGGCGAACAAGTTAGTAGCCCTGCAAGCACAACTTCTCGAAGACTGAGTAATCTAGGACCTCGACCTTCTCAATCTACCGGTGGAAGCTATTTCCCTCCGATTGGTTCAGCTAATCGGTCTCGTCGAGAAAGTGTAGGTGAAGCCGCGGATCGACTAGGATGGCTTCGGGGACCTGGCGGCGTAGGAACATTGGGGAAGAGTGTCACGACTCCTGGACCTGGACAGGATCCCTTAAATACATGGGCGAGAAAACATATACCCGGGATTACAATCGATTCTCTACCTTCTTCCTCAGTTCTTGAATCTGAAATCCCTTTTGGATTCAGAGATGAACTCGCAAGTATTGCTGAGGGTTCATATAGTCCTGCAAGCGGATCGGTTACGCCTAGTAATTTGGGGGGCTCCGGGATTGGTCTGGAAAATGCAGCAGCGGCGATTGAAGGTTGGGTTAGAAGATTAGCTGTTAAAAACCCGGGAACACCAAATGTAGGCGGTTCATCGACGGATGGGCCTGGAGATCTTATAGAATTATTAGATGGGACTGGAAGTGATGACGGTAGGGGTTTTGAACTTTCGCCGGGTAAATTGAGGAATAGTTCATTAAATAGAAGTGGAACTTCTGGGAGAGAAGATTTAGAGGGTGCAGTGAGAGGGAGAGGTGTTAAGGGGGGGAAGAAGGATTAAATCTGTTGCTGTATGGAAATATTTATTTGAGTTGTGTTGTGTTTTGGGGACAGGCAGACAAGCAGGCAGGCAGGCAGGCAGGCATTGTCAAGCGTCACTCCGATGAGGAATTGCATGGTTAAACACTATATAGAAGTGAGGGCGCATTGGGGAAGGCGTTTTTCGTTATTTTTCTTAGTTGAATGGAATGGTAAATGGGAAATGGGAAATGCTGAATCTTCTGAAACTATGGATTCTGAATCTCTTGAATTTTGGTCCTTTTCCTTTCCTTTTCTGGTGTGTTGGGTATGGGAATTCTGGATGCTAAATGCTGAATGCTGAGTATGTACGTGTGCTTGTGCTTTTGTTTGTGCTTGTGTTCCTCTTCGAATTTGTACGTGCAATTGAGCAGGGAAGGGGGAGTTGGAGAGGAGATGAATCCACAGGAGGGTCAGTGTGTAAGGGGGCTGTGAGATGTGTTTGTAACATGGATGGAGTACAAGGAGGTGGGTTTTTGAAGAATATGTAATACGCAGTGCGTACAACGGAGTAGATGTGGGGTTAGAAATAGAGTTGAGAAAATAAACTTTTGTGGTATGGAGAGGGAGGTGAGGAGATTTATTAAATTAGTTGTGGTTATGAGTTGAATTGTGGGAGAGGGGAGAAGGGGAGGGGGGATTGAGTGGACTACGCATTATGTTTATATTGGGTTACTCGTAGCATGTATTGTATTACTTTCGAGGTGGGTTTTAAAGTGGTGTATTGATTGGAAGAATGGAAGATTGAAAGGGGTGATTTTTGAGAGTTTTTGAGAGTTTTGAGATGGATTGTTGGGTTGTGGATTGTGGATTGTGGGTTATGTATTGATTGTGTGAATTTTGAAGATAGGTGAAGAGACTCGAGAGAAGAGATCTTGGTATAATGATAGATTTTTGGATTAGTTATTTTCTCATTGTTCTTTTTCTTGTTCTTGGTCTTGGGTTGGGTAGGTACTGAATTAGTTGGTAGTTGGGTGGAGTAGGAGCTAGGAGCTAGGAGGGTGAAGTGAATAGTTTAATTCACTCTTTGGGGTATATAATAGATGATATGAGCACGTGGATCTTTCTGTAAAGAAGGGGGGGACGTCATGATGGAATTCTTTCTCTTTTTCAAGCTTAAGGTTTATTATATAGTGTGTAAGGTTCTGCTTCTGCTAATCTAGGAGTATGTATATGAAGTCAACTTACTTTATCAAATTACAGAAAGCCAGTTCGATTTTGCGGGGAAGATATGGCTGAGTACGATGTACTAGAGTTGATGTACTCTGATTCTTAATGGGATTAGAGTGGATAGTGAAAGTTTTTTCTTTGCGGACGGATGAGGATTAAAGTGTGGATTTTTGGTATATGGATAGGTACTAATGTTATTTTATTATATGATGTTGTCGTTGTTAAGATTCTATTTATACTGTCGTTTACAATGAAATGACTATTGTGATGAAGAGTTTAGAGAAGAACATGGTACACTTTCATATTATTAATTTATGAGATTTTTCACATATCTACGTATTTGATGTTTTGTTAAGGCGTACATACGTTGTATCTTATACTCGATATATTCGTTAATTGATGGATGGGGTGGATGGTGGGGATTGGGAAATCTTATATATAGACTCTCCTACGTGGTGGTACCGTCAAGTGAGGGAGGGGGTATGAGTGAATGATATACTGATTTTATCTCTGTTCACTTACTTGTAAATGATAGACGAGAGGAGCTGGAGGCGTATAAGGTATATCATATCTAGGTAGGTAACTAACTATTCATGGCCTGTATTCGAGTGAGATGTAGTAGATCTTATTTTATTCGAGACTGCGAAACTGTAAGAACAACTAGTCAGTCATTATTGATAGGCTCAAGCTGGAGCTGTTTAGTTACAAAAGAAGCGTATCGTCTTCTTGATAAAGAACTCAAGTCTGGGATAGTAGGTAGTATATCTGCTATAACAACACAATAAGAGCTCCTATTTATTCAATCATTAAAATCCGAATCGTTTAGTAAATACCCGCAGATGATAATTAATAACCATACTTATGGGATTTGTTAAGTTTCGTTATTGTTGCATGTCTACAAATTCACGTAGGTGTTACTCGATGGTCTACTTGGGCTTGGGTTTGGGTTGTGAGTGGATCGGCTAGCGAGTGGTAGGTATGTATTGATGGAGTGTGCATATTTAAGCGAGTAATATCATGTATCGGAGTAGAGGTGCAAGGGAATGGATTCGTGAAAGATGCTACCAGACATTCGTCTGGAGGTATTTGGGTGAATATGATACACTCTAGCTGTTTTAGATGGGATATAAGGGGAATACCGATTGCCTGTTTTGTTTTCCACTGAATACCTAATTGTTGATCGGGCCATATAGTAAATCAAGCGTACATGAGAATTGTAGTAAATATTATATATGTATCCGTATATGCATGTTTCTTCAATCTGGAAGCTAGAATAACAACTTTACTAGGTTCTCAATTTAACTCGTTCCGCTATGCTACCCAACAGACCAAAAAAAGAATGCTACCCTCCCAACCTCTATTTTATGCATGTAAATCAATTTGATACAACCACCCATTTATACCTCGCTACTCCAATCTATAACACCCATCTCACACCTGAATCTAGTCATCTGAAAATTCTACCGCCACATTCGTATCTAAATCACTCAATGTTCCATCTCCTCCCACATCACCATCTTCACCCCCACCCTCTTCACTCTTCCCATCCAAATCCCTACACAATCTCCCTAACAATCCTTCTACCCTCCCCATACACTGCTCAAGTTTCTCTAACCTTCCTTTGATATCCTCGCCTCCTTCATCGCTACTCCCCTCATTCAACAAATCTCTTAAATGTTTCGGTACAGTCATTCCCGCGAATGGAGCTACCGAATCTCTTCTAATTCTCTTAGCGCTATTAGCCGTATCTCTTCTCTTCATGTGTTCTCTCGGATTAACTGGTTTTTGTCCAGATTTTGATTTTGATTTTGTCGACACATTAAATTCTCGGGCAAAGTCATTTTCGAAAACATTCCGATCGCGTCGGATATCGTTGTCAGATTCTATTCCAATTTCACTTGCAATATCACTCGGAGGTTCCGCATCAAACACTGCTTGCAAGTCACCATGAACGCTAAAGCCTCTGGAAAAATCCCAAAGTCGAGGACGATGTGGAAGACGGGGTAGTTGTTCTGCTTCCTTTTGACGACGGGGACCGGCCCACAACTGACGTCGTTCGAGATAGCCGATGAGGAGCAGAAGGGGAGCATTGAGAAAACGCACGGCTGCTACGTTAATCTTGTGGAACCAACGGGGTGTTAAAACGAATTTTAGAGGCATGAGGACAAAGAGGGCAAGAATATTGAAGGGGGGGAAATAGGCGAACAGGGAGTCTGATTTGACACCTTCGAGAGTAAGGACGGCGCGACGGAATTGGATCTCTGCGGTAGCATTTGAAACGATGGTTGAGAAGGTTGTTGAAAGCATGGAGACGAGGATGGTAAGGAAGAGGGTGTTGCCTAGGAATGCGAAAGTGACCATGAGGATTGGACCGAGGAGCCAATGGAATTGAGCAGATGTTGTGATGCCTGTACCGTCGAGTCCAAACCATATCCAGAGCATCCATTTAGAAACGGTTATTGGCTCATGGATACCATTTCCAAGCCAAATCATAGAGAGCAGAAATCCAGCAAAGCACCACACAGCAAGAACCGTGAGTACAGTGAAATCGCGCATCATAGCCCGAAGAGAAATGAAAAGCATGTTTTCGGACATAAGATTGAACGCTAGACGTGGAACAAGGACAGGAGCTCCCAAGGCGAGGACATCTAATGCTTGTTGGCCAGTGCCAACGTTATCAGTGTGCCAGCCTTTGAAGCGAAGCGCGAGATAAATTCCAAAGATCGCGGCGAAAGTAACATCGAGGAAGGACCACAGATTCTGGGTGTATACGTGCCATCCGTGTTCAAGTATAGAGCAACTGCGATTGGCGTTAATAAGGACTACCAGATTCCACTGGGATGTACTAAAGAACTTACAACTGATCTAAAGACCAACCTGATGTATAAACAATGAATAATAATTCAATCCCACCAAATGTAGATGGATCACGATCTGCCATGACATACAGATAGAAAACCAACAGTAGCAGAAAGTGGCAAACTTCCAAATAATTCCTTGTACGAGGAACTATAAGTCTATATTGGTTAAACAATGGCGCCTCTCTTGGATTGTACAACGAAATTGGCTTATTCTTGTAGTGATCAGGTAGAATATCCATGAACGCCGTGGGGGTATATATGATCCGACCCTCGTATATTGCGCTGATTACTTTTTGGCAAGCCGACGAACTGAGGAAGGCTTTACTTTGAGAAATAATGGCAATTTCTAAGGCTGGTAATCTTCGATTGGCGCCTGTACGGGACTTCGCAGCCCAACCAAAGTTGCTGCTTTCTTGGATGACATTGTTTGGAGCACCTTGAAATGGATCGAAACCTCCTACGAGAATGCGAGACAGAAGAAGTAACCCTTCCGAGCCGGTATGATCCTCGTGGAAACGACGCAGAACTCGATTGGCGACTATTTCACATAGATGGGCACGTGTGGTGCAAATGCTCTGTTGATGAGGTAGAGCCAATTGTTCACGTTGGAACTGTGTTTTGTTGACGAGAAGACAATAGACTTGGAGTTTGTTAGTATCTGAAAGTGGGATTTAATCTCGAAAAAATAAAAAAGACTTTATGGAGTGCTCATGGTACAAACAAATTTGATTTTTGAGAACTACTCAAAATACCGTCCATATCTACCATCACCTCATCAAACAATTTCCAAATGTCCTTCTATTGGCTGTTGTTTTAGTCACTTGAGAAAAGTAGTAATAATCATTCCCTCAACCTTCAAAGTAATCTAACAAGAATAAGAATAAGTATAAGAAAACACTAACATACCAACCGACAAATCATCCAAATCATACAGCTTATCTACCAATGGCCTCACAACCGATACATTCAATCTCGGATCCCTCAATTGTTCCAGACTATATGGATCATCTATCTTTCCCGTCAGTCTAAGTCTCACTTCCCTATCTCACCGTTTGTTAAAACCCACCAATCGCCGAGATGATATCTCTCCTTATCCTAACATTCTATCAGTATCATTCTCCGGCTCAGTAATATACGAAGCAGGAAACAAACCGATGAATCGTCTTATAAACCGGCAAATCCCCAAATTCATCTTGGGGATAACATATATCTCCAATGGCATGAGGGTGATAACACGCATGGCCATCATGTCTCCCTATAACCATACTCCTATGTCCATCTCCACTCCTCACATCCGCATCTCCCTCGATATCCTCCTCCGGGTCCGGTGTCAACAACTGTGTCGTCTCCGTACTGATAAATCTCTCATGCTCATTCTCACGTGAATTTCCACGATAATCTCTAGGAAGCGTCGTAGTTCCAGGGGAAATAGGAGAGGCAGAAGAAGAGGAAGATGCTTGACCCATTATCCCTTCATCAGACCATGCCCAGACTTTGGGACGAGGAATATGCTAAGGTGTTTAGGTAGCGGGTGGTATTTATTGATAATACAAATTCTTGGAATTCCAGGATCCAGCGCTGTTTAATTGATTTTATAACATGACGCAAGGTGCATGAGGTAAAGATAAGGAGGTGGCTCAGGGTAAATTGACTCGATTGACTAGATTTTGAATGGTAAGAGGTGCGATAAGGATTGCAGGCTTTAAGCGGCGAGGATAAGATGAGCAAATTAAATGAATGAATTGAAAGTTTCCTTTTTCTTGGATGCATCGATACCGACGTGGTGGTATTTACCGTATTTTACTCGTGCTATATAAACCACTTTGTGGGGTGCATTAGAGATAGCGCAGAATAGATTTATTATGTGTAATAGATTTGAAGAAATATTCATGAATCGCCGTTAAAACGTTTATTGTTCGGTGATAGTTGAATTGATGATAATAAAATGATAAGTTTACTGCAGAGAGTATGTAGATAAATCTATTCCTCTGTTGCATTCATTCCCAAATCGTATCAATTTCACTGTGTCATATCCTATCTCAGCTCAGCACTCAAATCAAAATTGAAGATGTCCACCTCCTCGAACTCTCAAACACGCTACAAGCTTGTCTATCGTGTCCTCCCATCTCACCTCTCCGCAACAAAAGATGCCATATTCGCTGTGGGTGGTGGAGTGTACGCCGGTGGAAAATACATAAAAGTTTGTTTTGAAATTCCCGGATTCGGACAGTTTTTACCAGTAGCAGAGAAGGGAGCTGTGCCTCACACAGGGCAAGTAGGCGTCTTGGAACGAACAGAGGAGGTCTTGGTGCATATTTTGTGCACCGGGGAGGAAGTTACAAGGAAAGCAGTTGAGGCATTGAAGAGGTGAATTTCATGTTGAGTTGTTTATTAAAGGGAAGCATGGAATTAAAGGAGAAGCGAAGAAGGGAATAGCGAGAGTTTTGCCAGTAGATGGGGCTAATCCTAGAGAATAGGACACACCCGTACGAAGAAGTGAGTTATGAGGTTTATAAACTAGAGGACTTTTGAAGTTTTCGAATCATATCACGGAATATACAGCAATCAATCTCTTACCCAATCCAAATCTGAAGTCGATTTGTAGGGCGTCTTGTAAGGTAGCTACCAGCCAGCATAAATAAACATCATAACTATAACAGCATATGTCGAGCCTTCTTATGATACATCTTCATAATTGAATGTTTGACTGAAATGTTCAATTAAATGGTCGTCATCACGTCGCCAAAATGTAGTGTCTAATTCTCGACCGCAAAGTATCAGACCACTATCCCATTCAGCACCCGAAATTCCTGCACCTCCTCCAATTCGGCTCCTTTCTTCGCCTCAACGTCAGCTTCCGCATTCAACTCCCTCAGTATCTTCCAAAATGCGACCGCAACTCCACGCCCGTTTTCTGAAAAGTTCATCGGCGTATTCACTTTTTTGATACAATAGACTAGTCTCCTCCACAAATCCAGATTCTTGACTTCCGTTCCAGCACTAGTCCGCCAGCCCCTTTGAGCCCAACCGTTGATTCTTTCGGTAGCACCGAGAAAAACATACTCAGAGTCAGTAGCGATGACAATGCGCGTCCAGGATCCAAAGTTATCTCCTTGCCAGGCACGGTATTCGAGAGCGGCTACCACAGCACGCAATTCGGCACGGTTACTAGTTTGGCGATGAGCTTCTCCAGTTGGGCCAGTATTTTCGAGTCTGAAATTGATTTTGTGGTGAGGTGAGATGACGAAACCGCAGCCGGCGCGAGGGCTGACAAGACCATTGGAGAGACAGGAGCCATCAGTGTAAAGGAGGATTTCACTGGGATTAGTACGACTAATAAAGCGATGGGCTGGACGGAAAAGCGTGCTGGGAGTATCACTGGAAAAAGGGGGGCAGAATTTTGTGATGGTAGGCATCGGACCGGAGTCGAGGTTGGATTCAAGGGCATCATTAAAGCCGTTCATTCCCGGTCTAGTGAACATCGTGAATGCGTCTTGTCGGTCAAATACTTGATATTCAGGGTGTTCAAGTGTCTCCGGGTCTTCATCGTCTGAACGAGCATCAGAGAGAGAAGCAGAGTCATTGTTTTCTTCTTCCTCCTGGAGATCCTGCATGAAGCTGTAGTCACAACAGCAGATGATGCAAATTATTTGATGATGAGCTCCGCAAACCAAAGTCCCATCAGAAAGCTCGGTGGGATTCATGTCGGGAATCCAACCAGATGCCATAACGAAATCAGCGACTTGATTAGAATGAGAACAATACGATGACACGGGATGCTCTTCAAGCAAAAGACTGATGAATAGTAAAATGACCAGACGATGGAACTGATGGATTCTGAAGAAAATTGAAGACTACCAACATTTAAAATGAATTGAACGAATGAATTCCACCTCAGATCAGAGCCAAAAACCTGTGGAGTGAATTCACTGATTAAATACAAAGGAAAGTGCCGCCGCTTGTGTTTGAAGTATATCCACTAGCGCTTCTGTCGGTAAAAATTTCATCCCACGAATGCCTTCTTCCAAGGTTGTTACCGGTAGTTTATACTCTATCGGTATTTCGTTTATTTGAGATGTGAAATCAATAGTGACACTGCTGCCGTTCTAATATATAGATACCGCTAAAGAATAAAATACTCGTCTCGCTAAGGTGTACTAATTCATACAAAAATCTTGTACTCTCAATCTCAACCTACGATTTAGTACAATTTTCTCCACCAGAACCGTAGTTTTCATGGTTCCGTAGGGAGATTTGGGAACAGGGCTTACTCTACTCTCTCAATGAGCCCTTTAAATGTATCTCAGATAATGAATATTGGTATAAAATCATAAGCTGTTATGAATCAGGACAATCAATAGCCTACTCACTATTGCTCAGCCGCGTTGGTGAAGACTATTAATTCTAAGAAATAACTAAATCCTTCCAGTCGACTCTCATACGGATTTTGCATCACATAAGGTGTAGAGATACCTGCAAAAATATATATGTAGGAAGCGTGGAAAAAGATAGAATCCCTGTGTGTAGCAATGCACAGGTAGGTCTGTGGAGGAAACAAATGCTTCGAGTTTTAGCAAAATCATCTTGCATTTCGTTTTCAACGACAAAAATTACTCCATCAGATTGTACCCAACGCAATACATAGGGTGCGTGCTCTTAAATAGAAAACACGTAACAGTGTCCCACTCGAACACCTCATACCTTCATCGGTACATACCCAAGCCAGTAATTAAAATCCATCAATCCAAGAGATACATCAATCAACAACCTCTCCAACTCTCCCTACAAAGCCTTCCAGCCCAGCAACTCCCTTCTCTCCCCTCTCGCTTCCAGAATACAGTCCATGACCACCCCCGGGCATTACCAGAACCTGACTACCCAACTCTATCCATTCCCTAGATGTCAACAATTCAAAACTGACATCTGTAATGCCATCAGTGCCAAATACAAATGGCTCATCTTTTGATTTCCCGTTGGAATCAGTTATATCACAACCGTCCAGTGATCCAAATCCAAAAACATCATCTGCGTCTTCTGCCCCCATATCTCTGGCAGGGAGATTTGGGGTTAATTTGAGAACCCGTGCTGAAGCGCGAACACTAGCTATGTATATTACTACTACTGTGCCCGGCGTGACGGAATTAATGTCGCCATCATCAAAGGATGCGGTGAAACCACTGGCAGCTTGAAGAGAATGATGAGTCTGAATCATATGTTTACTGGGTATCGCCATCACCATTCCTTTGCGAATTCGAGGAGCAATCTGAGAGGAACGTTCCATAGGACTATTTGAGTATTCTCGAGTCGGTAAGTCGAGAACAATGCCGATGGTTCCAACTTGACCAGCTTCGATTGTGTGTACCGGGAGGCGAAGATTGCGAATGCTGACTATATGAGCATTATGCCATTCGCCTTTAGTAACTGAGGCAGATGGCGTGTTTCGAAGAGCTATCCTGGAAAGTTCGGTTGCTGAGGGATGCGTGTGTGAGGTACCTAGACTGGTGGGCGAAGAACGGGGGCCAGTCTGAGGAGAGTCATCATCGTCAGAATTTGCTGGGAAAGGGCCCACGACGATTTTATCTCCAATTGATAGCCTGCCAAACCTAAGATGACCGGCAACTACAGTTCCCGCATCAACACCATTACTATTACAGATCAAAGCATCATAAGAAGCTGGCACCCCAAATACATCTTCAATGTGGAATAGAGACGAGGGTTGCTCTGGATTGAGTGCCATGCCAATATAATCGTGAGGAGTGGGTGGTGTAGGTATCGGCAAAGCTTGGAAAAGAGCATGAAGCTGGCGAATACCAGTTCCCTTGACCGCACTTGTAAGGATGATTGGAACAATGGACCTGAGATCTGACATTGCCATTGTATTGATGACTTTTCTAACAGTATTAGTATCTTCAGACAGTATACTAGTTAGATCGGCATCGACGATGTTTTTAGAATTATCTGGCGGAAGGATTGAAGGAGTTCTCCCTGTTGCTTTGATAGCAGATAGAAGTTTCGACAGTGTCTCGCTTAGACGAGGTCTTGAAGCCAGATCAAGCTTGGTGATCACGATAGCCAACGGTTTATCCAATTTCAAACAAAGCTCAAGATGTGCTTTTGCAAGATCAGTTCCTGCCCCAACAGTGCCAAGAAGCTCCGTTGTTGAAGTACTTCCGGCACCGCTTGAACCCGTGTCATCTGCTGCGACACATAGAACAGTCCAATGGGGAGCCCAACCAACCAAGCCTCGAACTGTTGTCCTGCGATACCTTGGATGACCAGCAGAGTCGGAAACAAATAGAAGCCGGCCATCTTCTGCTGTAGCATGAATATCTGTCCAGGACGTTACATTGCCAGAAGCATAATTGATGACTTGTGAGTCTTTATAACCAACTAACTCCTGTGCCACAGAACTTGTAATCCCCGTAGCAATTTCATGACGATGTTTCAATAGACTGAGTCTGCTTTTACCTCTACCATTATCAAGCGTTGTGGTAGACAAAGTACCTAGAAGACTTGATTTTCCAGATGTAGTGGGACCAGTAAGGGTGATACGCAGCTGTTCAGTTGTATCCTCATGCTGAAGAGCGGGGGGCTCGGTAACCTCACTAATTGTAGGCTGTGGAGTATGTTGACGAATGACAGGAGCTTCGTCGTAGCTTATTGACTGTGCTCGTTTCGAACTGAGATCTGGAGTTATAAGGGCTTCAGCGACCCACAATTTCTCTCGGTGCCGGAAATTTGCTGATATCGCTTGATCTTCAGGGACCAACCATGGTTTTTGTTTCTTGAGTCGCTGCGAAATTTGAGACTTTGGGAGTTCATCTGTCTCTTGCCATTCACATTCCCCAACAACTACCTTTCGAACAATCTCAACATTACATCCAAGACTAGCTGCCATAGCCCGTAGGTTTGTCAAACTCTCGTCTAATTCATCGCTCGTCAGACCGACAAATGTACCATCATCGGAAACGCCTATTTCATACAGTGCTCCACGGCTTTCCTCAAGCCCAGCTAACAGCTTCCCGGGTCTTGAAGGGGCATCTAAGCTTGTTGCGCTTCCAGGCAATCTGTTGGACATCAAAATCAGCGCAAGCTCATAATTAGGTATATTTCATTGCATGTCTCAAATTTGATTATTTTAATCTGGGATTGGGCCACGTCGGCCTAACACACAATCACCGCTATGGGGTAATGCACTCACTTCGGTAATACAAGATCACTTGTAGATGATGCATGATACGGAGACGACTGTTGTAGACGCCACAGCAATTGAGTTGTGAGCTGCTCTAAACGTTTCTGTTTACTCTGGTTGGATGGTGCCAATATGGGGCTTGCTTTCTCCTGATTAAGGGGTTGCTGTTTGTGCTGTTGGGAACCAGATATTATTGAGCCGGTGCTTGACGTACTATACGTCCTCCTCGGTCGTAACAAAAGGTGTAGTTTGTATTCTGTGGGACCTTCTTGTGGTTCTGCCTCCAATTTTGTGACTCCATAGTCCGAGATGTGAGTTGAGCCAGGGGAGCTGTCGAGAGATTTCGGATATGGCTGAGGTGAAGGTGGTTTAGGAGAATTGGTAGGAGTCAACAGCCACGGTGATTCTACCCTTGGGGGTTCGGGTTCATATGTAAAAATCGATGCCATTTTCCGATATCAGTTCTAGTCGTTGCCACTGCTCAGTTGTCCAGCACTCGGTTCAATATCCAAATGTCAATGTTAGAGGAATTATTGCCACCACTCTGAGTTGTCCAATTCTCACTCAGCAATCCGTAACTTCTCCAAAGACTGCCGTCGCCGTATTAATATTTTCCCAATCACCAAGGAAGACTGTATAGTTATGTGGTGTTTGTGTATTCGAAAAGGGTGTAGTAATCGTAAAACCATTTTGATGTTTGTATGAATAGATAACTGGTTTGATGAATAGCTTCAGGAACTAGGGATTAACTGAAAATTGGTCGAAAAAAGGTCTTGAACTGAAAGAACAGTTATGCAGATGGGTTAGAAGTCATCTTGATATAACTTCTCTTTGTATGGTAAAGTAAATTGTTTGTGTCAACGTAGGATAATGTAGGGTAGAGGGAGAGAACGTGGATATTAAATAATTGTACCTACAAGTACATAGGTAGGTATTATCAGATAACAGTCATAATCTATCAGTCACACACCGTTTGGTTCACATCCAATTATTGGCTCTTTCATCATTCCAATCATCTTCACTTGTTATAGATCTTAATTATAGCTTCCAAGGTTGGGTTAGCAAACTGTGCTTACCAGGTTTATCACCTTAATTATGTGGCTAATGGGGCTCGGAGGTTCCACATAGGCTAAGCCCCACCAATCTTCAGGTATGGTGTTCATGGATTAACACCCTGAAACTCATTTGCATCTTCGACCCATATTCTCAAGACAACCCTTTGTTACAACTTCACAAACATTTAAGAATAAACTCAGATCCAGTTTTATTAAGTATTTCAGCTCCTTTCTTTTTGTTTGTCAAATACAACAGACTTCATCTCCCAATTCTCATTGTTCTCTATCTATATTCTTGTTACATCTACATTTCCATCAAATAATTGTCATCTCATTTGAATCCTCACCATGGGTCTATTTTCACGAAAAGACAAGAACGCCTCTCCTGCTCCGGCAGCAAACCCTTATGCCACTCCACAACCTCAAGCCGACCCTTACGCACAAGACAATAACAAGTTTGCGAACATGCCCGCTCAACCCACTCAATCTCCATATCAATCAGCCAGACAGCAATACACTGCTCCAGGGGCTGCAGGTGCCCCTAATGGTGCTTTGCCAGGTGGCCCTCGAGGGGGAATGGGTGGTCCTAGTCCTCGAGCTCCAGCTCCAAATGGTGGTGGATACGGATCTGAGAAATACGGAAATGGTGGTGGATATGGCGCAAACAGATACGATGGCCCTGTCGCTAACTCGGGATCAAAATATGGTCCATCTGGTTATGGTGGTTTAGGACGAACCAACAGTAACGATACAACTACGACAGAAGACAATAAGAATGAATTGTTTGGTGGCGCAAAGGATAGATATGTACAAAAGGCAGCTACTGGCTCTGAACGCCCACCTCCGCCATATGGCGCTCAGTCAGATGCTGGCCCATCAACTGGAGGTGGGTATGGAGCATATGGAGAAGAAAGACAACTTACTGCCGAAGAAGAGGAAGAGGAAGACGTTCAAGCGACAAAGGCTCAAATTAGAGCCATGAAGCAAGAGGATGTTTCATCTACTCGAAACGCATTGAGAATCGCGGCCCAAGCTGAAGAAACTGGCCGTGCTACCTTGGCTCGTCTAGGTGCACAAGGAGAACGTATCCACAATACCGAGAAGAACTTGGATCTTGCTGCCAATCATAACCGAATTGCTGAGGAGAAAGCTAAAGAATTGAAGACTCTCAACAAGAGTATGTTCGCTGTCCATGTTTCCAACCCTTTCACAGCAAAGTCGAGAAAGGCTCAACGAGATGATGATATTATCAACAAACATAGATCAGAACGTGATCAGCGCGAGGAAACCAGAAATGCAGCCTTCGCGTCTTCTCAGAGAATGGAGGCAAACTTCAGAGATCTTCAGCCAGGAGATGTAGGATACCGAGCAACAGCAACCAAGGCCAGTCTTGCTGAGAGGTCCAAATATCAATTCGAGGCCGACTCTGAGGATGACGAAATGGAGAATGAAATCGACTCCAACTTGGATGCTCTTGGTCATGCTGCCGGAAGATTGAACTTACTAGCGAAGGCTACTGGTCGCGAAGTTGATGACCAGAACAAACATATTGAAAGAATTATCGGCAAGGTATGTCATTGTATATTCCTATTTGTCTGACATGATTGCTAACTGTGTCTCAGAGCGACCGTGTCGACGATCAAATCGCTATGAACAGAGCCAGATTGGACCGCATTCATTAAAGTCCCTTCTCGTCCACATAGACTTGTTGATAGCGCAATTGTTCAAATCCACAATCTTTCCTTATCTTGGTACATGCGTCATATTGCTAGTAGTTTCCGTCACACGATACTACCCGTAATAATATATCTATCGAGAAAAAAAAACCATTTGAATACCCCAAATATATCTCGCATCATGGACGAACACTCCGCCAAATGTTCAACCATGCATACTTTTAGCTAGTGATATTTCCGGGTGGAAGCATATCATATCATATCATATCATATTACAATACAGGAGTTTCGGTTGCAAACACGGGTCTCGCTAGATCTTGAGGGGTGGGATACCTAGTTTTTGGTTTGCTTGTTTGCTTGCTACGTTGTTGATATGTATAGACGTCGAATTTTCAGATTAAAAACTTTTTATGCTATACTTACGTACATGATTCTTTGTGTGTTTTTGCGTTGTGTGAGAGAATGGAGTGTATTTTTTTCAAATGTGATTGATGTAACATATGATATTACTATACTAATATTGATACTGGTAAACATTAAGAGAATATGCTTAGAGACTTGAGTGATGTTAGATGAAGTAGGGAAAAAGATGGATGGTAGAGAAGAGAGAAGAGAGAAGAGAGCGAAACTCGCTTGTTGATTTGGATTCGGATGGTGTTTAGCTACCTAGTAGGTATCTGGGTATTCTTTCGATAGCAGGCTTAGGATTTTGTTTCTGTTATGAGAGTATTGACTTGTCTGTCTGTCTTTCTTTATTTTAATAGAGAGAGAGAGAGATTTGTGTGTGTGTGTGTATGTGTGTGTGTATGCATTTAGAGGTAATCAATAGATAGATATAAAGCATACAATACACACTCTACATAAAATTGAAACCCCTATCTGGGATTCTGTGGTTTAGACGTGACTAGATTTCTATCTGCGTGTATATATGGGGTATGGAGTGTGGAGTGTGAATTCAATGCTAAACATTTGATAGAGAAATGTGAAGGAAGTGTGTGGTTTTGGGGATCGAGATATATATATATATATAAATATATAGTTCTGGTGTATAAATATATGAATATATGAATATATGGATAGATGGATAGATGGATATGTGAATATACGAATACATATAAAGCTATATACATCATCTATCTACATTCCCCCACAACGACAAATACAACCCTAAACAACGTCATCTTCTTATCAGAATTCCTCCAAATCGAATATCCAAACATGTTTATCGAGTAGAGAGCAGAGGGGTCTACCTCATTGAGAACCATAGATGTTATGCTGTACAGAGGATGAGTGCGTATGTATCTCATCAACATTGGTAGCTAGATACTCATGCAATGCAGAGGTGAATAAAGTATGAGCCTCGGAGTATACAGATAGATAGACAGATAGATATAGGGGGTGTACTTATTTGTATATTCTATACCCCAATCTTCCTCTTCCTCTGTATCTACTCGAGTATATCTCGCCTCTCCTGTTGCCTGCCTACCTAGTACCGTATCTGCAAAAAACGGAGAGATAATAATAATCAAACAGAAATGTTCCAAACCACGAACAAACGAAATAAAAATGAAAAGAAGAAGATCTCGAAAACGAAATGCTCTCAGAGGGAGCAAGCAGTAAGTGACGAAAGAGCAAAAATCTGCAAAAGAATAAAAACATACAACAGTGGGGATTCGCTGGTGGTCACCCACCCAACTACTAATCCACCGATCTGAAGCTTGTGTATGGCAGAGCGGACGGGATGCCCAATTCTCTTCAGTCTATGGTCGTATGTGACAGAAATACGGTTGTGAAAGCTTATATACTCTTCTAAAGCATACCTCGATCAATAGTTGGAGATTCGCTGATAGTAGGTACCCTACTGCTCAACTCTTGTGTTCCCTAGGTGAAGCTTGTCTCCTGGTAGTCTCAACTAATTGTCTTTAAATTATTGAGCCTATGTTTGTATGTGAGAGGAAGTAGCTGATTTGAAGATATGAATTGTAGATTTTGGCGACGGTTTGTATGTTGGATTTCTGTGTAACAACCCCAACACTTAAGCAGATGAGTATATCTGATTGGCATCGAAGAGATAAGGAACACATGGCTATCTAAGTATCGACTTCATCGCTGTATTTGTAAAATGCAAACGATACCGAGGTAGATAATGGAGCGAAGAAAGTATATCCTGGTTGAGCATTGCGGATGAGAGATATTGACTCGAAGTTCTAATCCACTCGCTTATGGAACATACCGATTCACCATGCCAGGACAAATATATCGTCTTCTTGCAATGAACATAGAGTACCTATCTCAAGGGGATTGACAAGTCCCGTGAGGCTAGCACTTCGCTAAATACTTATCATATAATTGGTTGTATCGAATGAAGGAAATTACTAATTCTGTTGGTCGTCGCCAGGAAAGACAATGTCCACGGGTGCTCTAGATATTCGCCCAAAGGAGGGGCATCCACATGAATCGGGGGTGATCACGAGGGTCTTTGAAATCCTTCCGAAAGATATAAACGGGTAATCGTCCGGTGGAGTCGGCGAAGATGATGTATATAGGTAATATTCGTATTGTAAGAATCCTTATTGTTGAACCATGGTTTGTTTTCAGACCATAATCATGTGAGCCAAGAAGGAGGGGTCGTGGTGGAGTTGCTTGAAATGTGGATGACCAGATATCGCTCTACACTCAATAGTGTGAGTACCTCGAGTACCTACTGTCCATTCGCAAATACCGGGGACCTTGAGTATTATTGAACCTTAAAATGGATCATGTATGATGGGTGCAAGCGAAATAATGCAATGCAATGTGCCCGATGGATTTGTTGCAGTTGTTGTTTGCTTGTACGCCATTGTCGGTAGGAGCTGAATGGGAAAAAAGCTGCCTTACTTACTGTACTCGTACATAGTAACCTTGGACTGTTATACGAACTTGATTGGCAGACATATGGGGAAGTCTTATAGGTGCTATATGCATTATGCGGCGGTGGAATTCACGAAATGGGATGTTGCATTTTGCATCTCGCATTTAGGTGTTGATACTGGTGGCGATATTACCTAGTATACAAAACCAACAGTTGTTATCGAGGGGAATTGACATGAACCTGAGTTCTAGTGTATGCTAATAATGAATACATCGGTTGATTCCATCTTGATGACCGGCAAGCTCGAAATTTGAAGGCTTACCAAATTGTATCAGAGGATGCATATTTTCGCAACGACCCGATTGTGGAGTACAAGAGTTCTGATAGTCCAGGTTTCTCATGGGATTGTTGATAATTGTGGATGTACGGAGTAAATAGATAGTCATGTATGCAATATCCATGTTCCCCACCAGGACAAAGGATTGCAGCAGCGAGCTTGGACTGCTGTTCGTACAGTTGTTAAGTAGATGCAATCATTTAGATTATACCTACCTACTTATCGAACGAACAAGTGTAAAAATTGGCGCAGTGCGCGCTGCTGTCGCCCAGACACCTTGAGCGGAGTATGAAAAAGGAAAAGAAACGGTGGATATAATAAACCTTGGAAGCTATGTGAGACCTTTCCCTTTATTAACTCGGACCTGAGGGGAACGAGAGTTTACCACTGTTTTGTTTTGGGTATTATTTGGCGAAAGCGGTTGAAAGGAAAAAGTAGGTAGGTTTGGCCATAAACTCGATGTCACTTTACACATCTGAAAAGTTGTACCCTCGCCCGATTACTTTGTGTACCTACCTAGACAAATCAACTTCAATACCGGAAGAATGAGCGGTGGATTGGATGAAGTATAATGAGGATGAAATGCCAGGGTCGATTTTGATGATCTCACGAAATTTGATATCGTCACCTTCCTTCATAGACATAAATGGCACGGCTATAGTGCCCTTTCCACCACTTCACCGCTGTTCTCTCTCGTGTTTTCCGTTTTGAGGGAATGTTGCATGCATTTGTCGGGAGGATTAAAAGGAACAGAAACCTCCCTGTTCCTCGATAGTCAGAACACATATGATCAGTTTTTTCCCGGATAGATGATGAGAGACGAGAGATGACTTTGAAAAGAGGCTCTGCTTGGGCAAAGAAATAAGTATTGCGGTGCTTCAATGTATACACCTACTAGTCTTAGGGTACAATCATAGGTACCCAGTAGATATCTAGACGACGGCGATAATATGAGAAGACATCAAAAGGTTAATTAATGGTTTTTGTAATTCGAAAACTTGGCTTCCTGAGACCATTTGATTTGCAGTGCTAGTGGTTTGCTTTACGTTGGGCAGTTATTCGGATCACCGAGCACCTGCAAGTGGATGAGCGAGTGACGTTGCTGTACTGACATTTGGCTTGACCGAGTTCGTTGAAAGATCTAGCTTTTATTAGTGAGCAATGAATGGTAAGATCTTGACTGAAAACAAATGCTTTTGCTTCACTCCCACCAAACTGGCAGCATCTTTTCAAATTGTTCACTATCAGCATCTGCATACTACCTACCGATTGAATATCAATCTCAAGATAGTGGTGGGGTGGGGTCTGTTATCAACAAATGATCTTAGCGCAAATCACCCTTAAGGGTCGGAGAGATGCCGGACGGAGAAAATAGACAATAGATGGATAATCGATATGTAGAGACCCAGGTATTATTATCATGGAATAAGACGTTCCAGTAGATAAGTAGGTAGGATAGCTATATAGATATATAGTAGGTAGATAATATCTAGATAATGCAGTGATAAACATATAATACATATTGATACTACCTCGCAACCTACAAGAGACAAGACAGAGAGATTATATATATTGACTCCGATGTCTACTAGGTGCTTATCGTTATCGATAAAGCTACCTAGGTGTTCAAGTATCTAGTAGCTTGAGTAGATTGCTAGTCTCCTAGTCTCCTAGTGTAGATCAATCAGCGATACCGTGTGGGGATATCCAGACTTATCTACAGCGTCCCTAGTACTCTCACTCCATATACATGTGTCTAGATAGATTTCGTGGTACTATCTATCACACCATTTTTGATCTTGAATAATAACCTTACTTAAGGCACGTAATATAACAAACATGGCTGTGAAAGACTACAAGGATATTTGCCTACATTTAAATCAGATGTGAGACATTCTTCTATGTATTTGAAAATCCATGAGTCGTGAAGTATTTGCGAGGTATCTGAAGTATCTGAAGTATCTGAAGTATCCAGGATCTAGCTTCTAACTTATGCATAGCAGGTCTCTCATATCCCCCAGGCCTACTCAGGATTCAATGAATTGTGTCAATCACTTGAGGTATCTAATAAATCCATCCATTTACCTACCTACCTACCTACCTACCTACACCCATACTATTCTACATCATTCATAAAGGTTTCATACAACGATCAGTGGCAAGCTCATGTACCGGTACCTAGGTATTCATTCATTCTTCCTCCTTTCATACTCCGAATTCCAGATCCATCTGCAAATGTGTCGTTTCATTGACCTTCATTCAAGTCCTACACAATAACGACTGTATAACAGCAGTCATCTTTATTCCGCTCTCGAAGGTTCGATCATTACTTGTTCATTTTGGAGAAACCCTCGCTCTCATTGTTTCCTTGACCCTTTCAACTGCCTTTGCCTTGCATTAAGAACCTTGAAAAGAAAGTCGTCTTGATGACAATGATTGATTAGCCAAGGCAAGACATATATCGTACATAATCTAAGGCCACTCCTCCCTCCCAGCTACATATTTGTACTAACTCCAATTCTCGGCTTCAAAAAGTCAATTACTAGATTACTAGATAATTACAACCAACACCCGAGTTAGTTGCGACCAGACTCGGTCAGCTCCGCATCAAACCCCAATCCCAAAAGCCCCGCCTGATTCCTACTTGCACTGCAGTCCCTCTTTCATCTGATATTGTTGTTCATCTTTCCATCATATTTCACAATTAATATTAACTGAGTGAATCCATCTCGGAACCTTTCGACCTTTCACCGAGCATCAACCTCTCAATCCTCCATTGTGCAAGTCATTTTCCAACTGTCAACAACAGCACTCTTTACAGCCTTACTTTTCACGTGTTGTTTGTGCTGCTTCGAAACTACAGCGTAATACGATAATCTCAAGTCAAATGAAAATCTAAGAAATATTTACGACACCTGAAAAAGAACACTCGGGGTCAGATCTCATACCTACCTAGTCAACTGTCTTCTACAAAGCGTCATCATAGATTTGGAGGTTGTCCTTCGAATTCCGATCCCAGGTCAGTGCGGGATCGATAAGATAAATGGATAATACTATGGAGGATGACGATGTTGACATGCCATATGCGCCGCCTCTGCAAAATGCGAATACCTCTCGCTGTCCAAATAACGAAGCTTCGCGGAATGGTATGCAACCGCCTGGTACCCGGTATCCACCGCTCATGAATCCTTGGGCAGGCTACCAAGCAGGCTACAGTATGAACTCTACCATGTACGGCACTTCAAACTATCCCTCAAGCCCGTATGGTGATGGAAGTCCAAGTTATGCCAGTCCAAGTTATGCCGCCCATTGGTCTCAAAATACGCGTGCTCAGGGAATTCCATATCACGATTTGACAGACTTTCAACATCATAATTCAGAGCCACCTCTTAGCAGATCCTACCCTACATTACCTCCTATGTCAGGCCCTCCCGAGTACAACTCTTGGACGGGACCTTGGCCTCATAACTCTCGAGCTATGCCAATGTTCGCCAATGAAAATTCTATGGCGGACAACAATAATACCTCTCAAAGATTGGGGAACGATGGCGTTGTAGGCGCTTCACAGGAACAAGGTGATCCCCAACTTTAACTACCCCATATCTCTATTGAGAGATCTTTTTGTCTGTCAACGTGGAATCAATGCTTCCTCGAAAGTTGTAAGACCACTAAGAAGCTGACAGCCGTCAAATAGTCCAACAACGAAGACGGGAGCGGGAACGAGAACGAGAGTTACGACATCGACATGTCCCCCAAAGTACTAATTCGGAAGCCTGTGAGTACACTCACTTTTATGTTGGAGGAGCCTGTGAATCATGTTCAATACCCTTCCAGTTAACTCCTAGCATACTCTCTTTACGTTTACACTTATCTGCTTTGATGGTTATACAAACCACCATAAAATAGAAAGACAATCATCCACTAACAAAGCTTTCTAGTTGGGTCTGCGTCTCCACACGTTCCTAATCCTACCGTTAGCTCTGAATGGAATCGATCAAGTGCTAGATCGGGACGTCGTTTGGCTGATGCTCAACGTAGAGCAGTGTTGGGCCGTGCTAGTCGTCCCGGTAGAGATTCGGATACAGACGAAGAAGAATGGGGAGAAAGTGACGAAGATGATGATGTCATGGGAGGTTTAGCAACTGCTCAAATGCAATTGTTAGGCAACGCCGCCTTTGCTTCTGCTTTACGCAGTCGTGGCGTTAGTTTGAGTCGTGCCCTTGATCTGGGGGTTGATGGCAAAGGAACGCCGTCCAAAAAGTTTTTGTCTTCACTCCAGAAAATGAATGTTGATGCTCTGACGCAAGAAGAACGCAGTAAGTCTTGAACAGCAATTTATTGCAGCTCTTCTGACCATGCCCAGATTGCTCGATTTGCTACGAAGAAATCGGCGTGGCGAATCCCGAAGGCGTGATTGAACAGCCGTTACGTATGCCCAAGTGTAAACATATATTTGGAGATGTCTGTCTCAAGACATGGTTTAAGGAAAACGACAGCTGTCCGTACTGCAGGGATAAAGTTCCCACACAATCCACAAGAAAGGTGATTGAGCAGTTAGTACGGCAGCAAATGCGATATCGCCATAATATAACTGCTCGTTCCGCTGAAGCCGACCTTCTCAATTCAGGGTATGTCCCGAACTATCACTCTATGAAAAATAGCTGACATTTAGGAAGCGCACTTGATCCACAGGAATATCACACACCAGTCTGGTCAGCGACCGACACTGTGGAAAGCCGACGTCGCGCTGCCCGGGGAAGACTGGCCGGATTTGGGACAGCACCAGCACCTCCAGGAAGGCGTCCCAGTTTGATGAGTTACAACAGGCTCTACACTCCCACTTCACAATTGCAAAATGAAGTCAATCCCTTTCAAGCACATTCACGGCATAATTCAAACTCGGAAGGAGTCTCACCCGGAACAATGGGCGCATCGATCACGAATAATGGTCACCGACAGCCCGCACCCCTCACAACTAACTCGTTGGGACACTCGGCAAATTCGACGGGCTACATGTTTCCAACAAACTTGTCCTCGGGATCTTCTGCAGTGCCAAATACTTTTATGCCTCCACCCGCACCTTCTTATTCCCAACACAGACCAAGCGGGTTCGGATCTATGGGAACTCCAACATTTGACTCAACTGAAAGCGTGAACCCCGGCCAACATCACAATTATCAATCTCCAGGATACCAACAAGAAGATTCTGTTGCCTTTCAAAGCCAGCAGCTAGCTCGCGGTTTTGGATTTCAAACCCAACTACAAGCTCAGCAGTATCACCAAGCTGAGCAACAACTTCAACAGCATCAGCAAACTCGGCAACGGGAACATGAGCAGCAGAGACAGAGAGGAGGTAGAGACACTGAACTTTATCCCCCTCCGAATGGGGACATGGGAGACTTTTGAAGAACACATCGGCCAGAATCAAAAATCTATGGATAAATCTCAAAATTGCAAGTATCACTCATTCTCTCTTGAATTCTTTCCGTCGACTTCGCTTTTCCATCTTTAAAAACACTCGTGCACACATAAGACTCATTTGGGCTATTTGGACCTGGGAGGCAAGGCGTACTGGCGTGGACAGGAGTTTCAGGTTCGGATACCAATTTTGAATGGGGAAACTACTTGTGTATTAGCGGCTCTAAGAATCCTCCTTCCAGTCTCCTGAAGGATTGATTGAGATGGTAGCGACGGTGATGATGGTGGTGGGTGTTGGCATTGATCATCATCTTCCTGGTTAGCCCAGCGTTAAACAAACATACATACATAATTAGCGAATAGAAAAACCTTTGGATAAAACATTTGGATAAAACATTTGGATACAACATTTGGATAGAACATTTGTGGTTGTGCTTTGCATGTCAATCAAGGAAATGTGTGAATGGCCGCTTTGACTTTCAAATTTTCCAATAGGCGCACCAGAACTCCAGCTATTAAGAGAGACATAGGAAAATTATCAAGGACTCTTTGATTTATTCACATAACTTGACATCGGTTAGTTTGAGTGATTAAAGTAAATATTGTTTCTAGAGCATTTCTCGATGAGTCTAGTTGAATATGATTTCACTGCCTAGGTAGGTATTCAGATTTATCTCTATCTTTCGGGATGATGTCGTCCTATCATGCAATGCAAGGCTGATGATTGTGCAGTCCCGACAAGGCTGATTAGCTTCGTCGATCATAACTTTTGAAGAAAAGCGGTATAATCTGGCAGAAAAAAGTTCCCGTTGCTCTCGCTGGAACATTGTAAAATAATCTTTTCCTGTATTGATACAAAAGAGAGCTTCTCAATTCCTCACTATTATTTTTTACTCTATAATCTTAGCTCCTCTTCTAGTAACAAGCATATTGATTTCTCGTCCTATCATACTTACGATAATAGAAAATCCAAATTATTTCTACCGAAAGGTGTTTTTTTAAGACGTTAGGTTTAGAGAGCTGGAAAAGTCCTATCAATCGCCGTCATGCCCGAGAAAGTTCTTCTCAAATTCGGCGACGATGCTGATGAGACTCCTCAGATTGTGAAAAGGGAGGGGGCTCCTGGTACGAAATCTATGAATCAGAAACAGGCGCAATCAAAATTGAAATCAAAATCGCAATCGCAATCACATTCCGCGAAATCTACAGGCACGAAACGTTTAAGAGATGGAAGCCCAAAATCAGATCCGAAGAGGAAGAAATTGGCGGTGGTGCAGGGCAAGGCGACAAATGCAAACGGTGCGAAGTTGACAAAATTAGAGCATGCGGATGACTTGAAAGCCGGCGGGAAAGAGCAGGAAGAAGAAGCTGAAGTTCTTAAGGAAGCAAAAAAACCAACCAACGGCACCAGTAAAGACAAATCTTTTGGGGAGGAGAAAAATCGACAGAGAGGACAAAACCCGAGGTCTGGCAGTGAGAATGTCAAAAATGCGGCCCCGGACAGGCATCTACAAAAGACTGCTAGGGAACTCGAGCCATTTCGAAAATCACTTCCGGTTTATAAGAAACTGGTTGATCTTAAAACTGCTTTGCGCACCAATGATGTCCTTCTCTTAACTGCAGAGACTGGTTCCGGAAAAAGTACTCAACTGCCTCAATTTATGCATGATGAGCCTTGGTGCAAGAAACAGAAGGTAAAAATCAAGAATGCGACGGGACAAGAAGAGGATATTTCAGTTGGCGGAGTCATTGCTATTACTCAACCTCGTCGTGTTGCTGCTATTACTTTAGCCCGTCGTGTTGCTGCCGAGATGGGATCTGCCCTTGGATACCAACGTACAAATACTCCTGGAAAGGTCGGTTATTCCGTCCGTTTCGATACCAATACACCCATTGGAATGAAGATTAAATTTGTTACCGAAGGTACCTTGCTTCAAGAAATGGTCCACGATCCAAATCTCAGAAAATATAGTGCTGTCATTATTGATGAAATTCACGAGAGAGGGGTTGATGTTGATCTTATTGCTGGATTTCTCCGACAAATAGTTCATGGAGATAAGCAAGGCCGTGGTGGTATTCCATTGAAAGTTGTCATCATGAGTGCAACTCTTGACTTGGGTGGATACGAAGCTTTCTTTGCAAATCCTGACTCAAATCCTAGTTATCGACCAGGAAACAACTATGGCTCAATATTTGCACCCCATCTTGTGAATAATGAGAAGGTCATTGAGGCTGCCAAACCAATGCTAGCTGTAAAGTCTGGAAAAGCAGAGGACGTGGAATTAAAAGAAACAGAAAGCTCCGAAAAAGTAGACACCGGCGTTGCTATTGAGGAAGTCAAAGGTAGGAAATTCAAAGTTGACCTATACTATGACAAACCGGCCGATCCCAGTAATTACCAGGAGACTATGTTCAAGAGGATTGCGAGTATACATGTTACGGAACCCCTTCCCGGAGACATACTGGTCTTTCTAGTCGGTCAAGAAGAGATTGAACATATGCAAACCAGACTTGAGGCTCTTGGTGAGTCTCTAAGCAAAGAAGTGCCAAGAATCAAGATTATACCGCTGTATGGTGCTCTTCCACCAGATGCTCAACAGTTAGCTTTCGATCCAGTCAAGGAGCCCAGGACGAGGAAAATCGTCCTAGCTACTAACATCGCGGAAACGTCAGTAACAGTTCCCGGTGTGCGATATGTAGTTGATAGTGGTAAAGCCAAGGTTAAGAAGTACCGTACAAAGTTGGGTATGGAATCTTTGCTTGTCGTGCCGATCTCTAAACAATCCGCCCTCCAAAGAATGGGTCGTGCTGGTCGTGAAGCACCTGGTAAATGTTGGAGAGCATATGGTAAAGACGAATATGAATCTTGGCTTCAAGACGAAATTCCTGAAATCCTTCGTTGCGATGTGCTCGAGGCAGTTCTTAAGATGAAAGCTCGTGGGGTCCAAGATGTTATCAACTTTCCTCTCATGGATGCCCCTGACGTGGAAGCTATGAAGCATGCTATCTTCCAACTTAACGCCATGGGAGCTCTCGATGATGAAGGTAACTTAACCACAGATGGTAAAAAGATGGCCAGTTTCCCTCTTCCTGCCGCCTATGGCCGTGCTCTCATCGCCTCCTCATCTCCAGAGTTCAACTGCGTTCTCGACGCTATTGACGTTATCTCCCTCCTCACTGCCGATTCTGAAGTATTCATCCAACCCAAATCGCAAGAACAAGAAGAAGAAGTCGACGCCAATCGCGCCGACATCATTCGTCGTGAAGGCGATCTTCTCACGTATCTCACAACCATGCAACGCTACGCCTCCGAAAACACAAATCGATTCCAGTGGTGCAAATCTCGCAATATCAGCGCGCGAGCAATGAAATCCGCAATGCTGAATCGCAAACAATTGCGTCAGTTAAGCGTCACTCATGGTCTCATTGATGCCCTTCCCCCTCCTGATCCTCAGCCCTTCGAACCCTCTACTCCCGAAAGAGCAGAGTCTTTGATTAAAGCATTCCTGAGGTCGTTTGGGGATAGAACGGCAACGTTGGCCCCAGACGGAAGTTATGTGACGACAAAGGGAAAAAACGCCGTGGTTATTCATCCGCAGAGTGTGCTTTGGGGAAGGAAAATCGAGGCCATCATGTTCTTGGAAAATGTGTTCAGTACGAGGAATTGGGCGAAGAAAGTTAGTGCGGTGCAGGCGGATTGGGTGTTGGAGGCTTTAGGGGGCTGGATGTGAGGGGGATTGGGCATAGGCTTATGGTCTTTGGAAAAGAAGTACTGGACGCAGCGGAAGAGAGAGATGGGGATGGATATAAGATAGATACATAAATAGATACCCAGGTGATGTAAGATGTGGAACGTAGAAGAGATAGATATGGTTTATAGATTAATCATAGGATTTTAATACTGTAGGATACTTGCCAAAACGTCTCGCAATCACATGCAAGCATTGATACAAGATTCCACTATGTTCTCTAGATGTGGGAAACTGGAGTTGCACTAATTTTTCGACGTGAAATTGATTGCAGTGGGTATATATGATATATCACTCAGCTAGACATAATCCTCAACGCGCACGATACTATACATTGCATTGCATACCGCATTTCCATTTCTACGCCCCCTACTTCTTCAAGCGATACCTGCCCCCGATGCACTCCAACACGCCCTCCTCTACCTTTTCACCCAGCCACTCCAACAACTCTTCATTACTATATGGAAATCCCTCTGCAATCAACATCTTCAACATCATTGCAATCTGCGGGGCGCCCATCTGGCTCGAGCTATTCGTCAACATGCTCTGCACAAACTGCCAATACACCTTTGCATTTTCACCCACGATACCTTTGTCCTCCTTTCCACCCTCTCCATCCTCATCAGCAAGATCCGCACCGACGGGGGCCGAAGCAAGGGCATCCGAACGCGCACGATCCGACGCATTGAGCGTTTCGAGCACGGAGTACACTTGGGATTTCGGCGGAGATTCCTGGAGCACGAATTTTGCGACCCAGAATTTGAGGGCCGAGGAGATGAGCGCGGGGTCCATGTCCAGCGCGGCGGTGAGTTCTTCGATGCTTTTTTGCGCGGAGACTTCTTCCTCCTCGGGATGGAGATGCGTGGTTGCGCTGTGGAAACAGGAGATTACGGTGGCTTGCCAGGTCGTGCATTCTTCGACCACGGTGCGGTCGGCTAGTTCGAGCTCCACGGTCGTGTGGCCGAGTGCGGGGAGCCAGGTGAGTTTTCTGGAAGGTTTGAGGGAGGAAAAGGCGGTGGAGTAGTCTGATTGGAGGTTGGCAATTTGAGGAGGGAGAGTAAAGGTGGATTCTTGGAGGGGAGGCCAGAAGAGACGGGAGAGAATTTTGGTATGGAGAGTTGGGTGAGTTGATGGGGGAGGCATGACTTTCTTTTCTGCGATGCTAAGATTTTGGGTTTTGTGGATGGCTTGGTCAAGGCGAACGGAATCGAGAATATCTTTTAGCATTACTTCACAGCTTTGGAGTGGCGCTTCCCCGAAGCGGGATTTAAGCAGTTCGAGAACTTTGATCTGAGAAATTATTAGAATTGTATATATGAGAAGGCGAATAGAACAAACACATACCTCTTTTTCGAAAGCTCCGTCGTTCCTCAGAAGGTTTTCACTAATGATATTTTGGAACTCTTTGATAAAAACATCTTGAGATCCGAAAACCCCGATTAATGTTCCAATGATATCAGCATTTTTAGACCTCTTGTATCCTGGTCCTGCATCTACAGGATCAGGTACCCACTCCATGTCATGCCAATCTAATTCTTCGTCGTCAATTTTCTGTCCAGACTGCTCCGAATCATTGTTGAGTAAATGAGCTAGCTCAACGAGTCTATCTCCGCTAGATTCTATAGGGTTTCCTTGCGCGTCTTCAGTGTCCGAAAGTAATCCTGCGATTATTATTCGGACCGTATCTTCTCGTGAGCAAAGATATACCTGTAACGGATATGCTACACGATCCAAGAGCACTTTTGAGTGATCAAGCGAATGAAATGACCAAATCATTGAGATGTAGGTCTGTAGAATTAAAAGTGTAGAAGCCCCTGGATGAAGCAGCCTCTCTTTCAAAGTGGCTGCAAAAGCTTCTGTCAAATGTAATCGTCTTTGAGGTGTGGTAATTGTTGTTCGAAGGTCGTGCAATGCTCCATTACTATTTGGCCAATTCACAACAATATCAAATAACTCATTCGTCCTAAGTGCTGCGAGACGGCCAATGCTCATTTCCTTCCACTTTTCCATATCGCTCCAAGCTACTTCAACATTGTCGATGACCTTAAAGACCAGGACGGCGAGTTTAGAATACCGATCTTCAATCCATCCGCAAAGATCAGTAACACAATTGGAAGGTGATACGTGATGTGCCGTTCGTGGAAGTACGGAATTTCTTCTTTCGCCGTCTTGGGGGGTCACACTTATTTCATTTGCAGACCACAGTCCTTTGCAACCTCGATTGACATAATCAGTCATAGATTGGTTCATGATTTCGGCAAAAATCACCTCGAACTTTTCTCCGGCCAGACCAACTTTGTTTAGAGACTCCACAAGGTTGAGCATTTCGTTGCAAACTTTATCCGTCCTCGCATCAATAGGTGCAATACCAGATCCCTTTCCGCCCTGCAATCCAAGGATAGAAGAAACATAATTATCGAGAACAGTCCTTAATGCTGCAATGAATTGATCCGTGAGAGAATTTGTTATGATGGCATGTAGATCCCGTCGGAATTTCTCCAAAACCACACGTGAGAGCCCCGGAGTAAAAAGCTCAACTTGTTTGAGGATGACTGACAAGCCATGCAAATACATACGATGAGCAAATTCCAATATATTTACACTGCCATAAATCAAAGGTTGAGGACCCTCTTCATCAGTGCAGAGTCCCAATACCGGCAAGATTTGATGCAGAAGATGCCTACGGACTTGTTGGGTATGCCAAACAAGGAGATCATCCGTATGCAATGCAAATGGGAGGCGGTTGATGGGATTCAGGACATCCTTTAAGGCTTCGTCAAAGGATGGATCAGATGGTATCGACAGAGGTCTCAGAGTCTCGATAGAACCCGGGTCTAACGGTACATCCGGAAGTTGGAGACGATAAGTAACAGTATGCCAAGATCTATCCCATTGGATTTGATCCCGAACTTGGGCTACAGACGAATCCCGATTATGCCCTCTGAGCTGCTGCGAGCTCCTCGTATTTGAAGCAGGTGTTTTCGGTCCATTACTAAAGCCTTGTGATTCTCCAAATGGTTGGCTTGGTGTTGTAAAGCTACCGGTTGGCGTTGCGACTGGGGTAGGTTCTGAAATCTCGGGCTTTTTGAATACTGAATCCAAAACGCGTTTTCTTTTCGTGGCAAAAGTGGCCATCACGATCGGGAGTTTATTAGACAAGGAAAGATTTTTGCATCACTTTATATACTCTGTGATTCGTTTTGTATTAATCGCTGAAGTCGAAGCAGTATAACAACAATAATACTGTTCATGGAAAGAGCATCCAAATAGTGAAACCACGAACTCACGTGATCTTGCGTTTCTTGTGTTAAATTCGGGCATGCAATGAAGACGAAAATAAAAGTCGAATAAGTATGTTTCAAGTCTACTGTGCGACACAATTCTTATTACAGGCGCCTAGGTTCACTTACAATTTTCGTGTTTTTGAACTACTTCCGAGTACATATTATATAATAAGCATTAGATTTGCGCCTTGCCACCTCCTTTTTCGCCTAGGGTAGTACCTTCCAAGTAAATCAAGTAACAAATGAAAGCTGGTTCAAGCATTTTTTGGGTAGCCTGCCTCCCAGAACTCCCTTGCCTTCCGAATCAACCCAACGATGTCTATCTAAATTTGTAAAGAAAAACGTTAAACATTATTTCATATCGACGTGATTCTCCCTGCTGGAGTAGTTCTTGGTCTTGGCCGTAGATTAATTACAGACTCGAGTTCTCGGAGCATTTTAGTATTGGCATCCGCTCGGTCTCTCATGGACTCTCTTTTCACACGATCCTCCTTCATCTTCACAATACGTTCTTCCCTTGTCAATTTGCTGCGTTGGTGTGGTATCGCGATTGCTTCAAACACCTCTTCTGCTTCGGAACCACTCAATTCAAGGCTATACCGAGATCTTCCCTCACCATTTAGAGCCCTCAAAGCGTCAGCGGCTGTTCCCTCTTCAACGGCTGTTAGACCTCCTAGAGATGATGCTGGCGATGTCGTTCCACACATAGAAGATAGACGTTTCTCATTCCTGTCAATGTTCACTGCCAAGGCAGCTTTCCCATCTTCCCACTCTTGCATCAATGCTTTCAAGTCAATGCCTATTGAATCGTATTGCATCATCAGATTTGAACCGAGTTCCGATACATCTTCTGTGTCGTTCAATGATTTGTCAGACTCCTCGCGCAAAACATGCAATTTCGCTTGTAGTCCACGGATTCCAGATGACAGCGTATTCAGTTTGCGTAATTGTGCCCGCGCACGTTCTCGACCCGGAGTAAGGGGTAGCTTTGGAGTGGTTGGAACCGGGAAATCTATAGGAAATTAGATTTGAACAATGTCGACAAATGCTTTCGAACTTACTCTCTTCTTCACCTAATATGCGACGAATTTTATTCTCGGCCTCAGAAGTGACGGAGCAAAGTGTGTGTAATTCATCAACAGCAAGGCCCCATCTGTGAAAATCCGGTTTACCGCCATGCGCATCAAATGCAAGAAGGCAACAAAGAAAAATCTTTCGGATAGTGTGGAATCTAGCAGCGAATATCTTCAATACCCTGACAGAATCCTCATCCTCGAATTCGCCTTCTGTATAGCCTAGCATAGCCTCCGTATAGTCCAAGTCGCTTATGTCGTATACATCATAGTATTTATCCAGATCCATCTCTTCCGCTAAGGGCTTCAATAAGTTGCATGCTTGTGTATACCGAGGAATAATGTTCGCAAAGGAAATTCGGAGGATCTTTCTGAGTCGTAGACATCTTCGTGTCTGACTTCGATCTTCGAGACGACTGACGGGGGGCAAGGGTGTGCTTCTACTAAGAGGTTAATTTTGCCAGTAGGTTGAATGGTGAAAGTTCTTACAGTCTATATCCACGAGATACCAGTTCAACTTCTTGAACGAGTGTTAGAGCTCCTGCCGCAACAGCATCAAACTCCTGTGCTTTGTGGACAAATTGCGATGCTTCCACGATAGATTGCTGTCGAAGGTATTGGAGCCACTGCTTCCGCACATATGTATACAATACTATAGCAGAAACCACTACGGTAAATGATAGTATTACTACACGGATCTTCCCACGTATAAAAGTTCCATTTCCGCGTGTCCAGTGTATTAACCATGTAAAAGAAAAAGCAAGTGTTGCCGTCGCTGCGGCGCCCGAGAGAGTGAAGGTTCCAATTTGCGGGGCGTCAAGTGTAGGCCCTGTGATATCTCGAGATTGGCCATGACCTGTCTGCGCAAGAAAGGAATGTGTGTTGAGAAGTTGTGAAGCTACTATGACATAACGGAATCGTTCGAGAAACTTTGCGTTGTCGGCTCGACCAAGTCGTGAATTGACAGCTTCCTGCGATTGATTATCAGACGATAAGACTTAGACTTGGATAAGGCCCAGATGACGACTTACGGAACAGGTATTATGTATCGCTGCGACAGTGGTGTTGCGCGGAGGGATAAGCTGCAGAGGCGGAGGAAGTTTATGTCGAAATTTAAGAGATACTGTTGGCTTCCCTCGTGGAGCAAACGATGGACTCGACAAATCAGAATCCGCATCCCCATCATGGCTTGATGCCCATCGTGTATCCTCTCCACCTTCTCCTATGGCAACATGTCAGTAAGTCCCCACTCATGCAGTGCAAGATATCCCCCTCCTCTTCATGCATACCTTCGAGATAGGCGGCGAGCGGAGAGTCTTCGTGTATTATAGTCTCCATGGAATGCAAGTCGTTAGTGATAATTGCCGTCACAGTCCATTCCGGTAGGTATCATCAAAATAAGAGTGAGCGAACGAGTGAGTGTATGAATAAATGGGTGAGCGAATGGGGTCTGAATGAAAGGAGCTCCGATGTAATTAGTGGTTATAAGACAATGTAATGAATGAATGAATGAATGAACGAATGAACGAATAAACAGTGGCAGAATTGACCAATTGATATTAGTTGTAGTTTGCTGGTTTATTAATAAGAAATGCTTTGTTTACTCAATATTGGACCAAGCAGAAACAATTGCTCGAGAAGAATACTCTGCGAAGATGCGGATAACTACATTGACTATACGAGTCGGTCAATTGCATACATACCTACCTACCTGCTCTCTCCCTTGTTTAAACTCTACACCAGTTCCGCGAGTCCACGACAGGAAACTGGCAAGTCCACCAATCTCTCGGGTCAAGGAATAGATGGAGTACCTTGCAACGGGAAATCTTAATATGGATCAATCACCGATTTACCGACATTCATGATCTCTCTAAGCCACTCAAACCCATTCCAAGCCACTGCTCCAACCCCTTGATATAGAGTTTTCCCCACTACTCCCCCGTCTTCCTCATCTCAAAACAATTCAAAACATTCCTACTTTCGTCCGAATAGTCCACAAGCTATGGTCTTTCCAGGGCTTTTCGCCCAATCTTGCTCAATTTTGAGTTGAACCATATATAAAATGGTTTCATGTTATCGCGATATTATCAAAGCGGGAATCAATATGGTGAACTCCACTAGTATCACTATATTCGGGGTACTAACGGTTTTCCAGGGAACAAATATAGGTTTCAAGTTCAACCTACGTATGGGTAATAGACCCAGTCCTCATTTCCACTCCATGAACCAACGTTGCTCGGCTCAAATTGGCCCTATATCTGTCTATTTCTGCTCTGGCTTTACAGATAGATGGAGGTATGCACATACGAGATAGCGATGTGCTATTATGCAAACCTTCGCCTCACATATACATGTACACATAACATAGATTTGGCTGCTCCTGTGTCGTCTTTTGTGCTTGAATTACGAATAGAGAGTCAGCCTTAGATGAACTCTAAGTTTGGTATCTGACTCAAGAGTGTAAGTATAGAGGAAAGCTTATGAAATGAACACTAATGTCCGGAGAATTCGGCATGCTACTCGAGGCATGTGATATGAGAGGAGCACCGAGCATAAGTTTATTCCATCTTTTGGGTTAACGTTCACAAGTTCTTAATAAGGATAAGATTTGGATCTCATTGGCTTCGGAATTTCGGAAGTGGATGGAAATCCAGGAGACGATGTATCGTCTTAACTCTTAGCTTTCCGGCCTTTGACGAATTGACAAAAATACAAGTCAAGGTGCCAATTCGTTCACGGGAAATCTCGTAGAAACCATCTTTTACAAGAAAGAAACTTGACCGGAGAAGATATTCCGTTCACACCACGTATGTCCGGTTTGTGGTCCGATTCGCGACGATGCCAACGCGGGCCAATACATTGATTGTTGGTGATGTATTGAATGGATCTCACTGGCATGTGCGGCACCAAGTCAACGTAGAAGCGAAGTTATGGTTTGAAGACATACTGAAATTCTCTGGATATTTGAGGTTGGAACATCACCTCGTTTTAGCGTCGACACATTCAAAGCTTTTTCAGTTGAGGGTCTCAAAGTTATGGAAAACGCTTTCTTCATCACTCTATCGTGTTGTAGCAGACTGGCACTCTGACAATCTGGCACGCATACATATTCAGTTGTGGAGATTGGCATTTGCAACTAATACACGCGCATTTCCAGGTATTGGAGGTTGTTCGTTTGTTCCTTTACAGGTATGCTGGATCTTCAGTGAGATCAAGTAATGCCCTGCCTTAGTCAGACATATCGCAGGTGTAGTTCTTGGGACTATGACTTACATATACATCAGCTACTCCGGGACTTCCTATTGATCAAGGCCACAGCAACTCTCTGGTCACGAGTTCATCTCATGCTTATGTCCAATCAACGATCCCACTATTTTTACACCTGTAATCTATTGTTTACTTCATTCAACACGACTCAAATCCATTCGGTCTGATGTATCCGCAGCCAAACAAGTGTTGTGAGTGTTATGAGCAAGATCAATCGAGTCGTAATAGGGATAAGCTCGACTTTAAATGGAGAATTGTCTTCGTGGTAGCTTTCACAACGGGCCCTGCAGCCCTTCCACGAAGCCCAGTTGGAGGAGGTAGAGCTTCTGAGAACCCTCAACAGACTGGCATTTTGCTTTCGCAATTTTAATGCACAGTTTTCCACAGTTACGTTCTCTTGAATGCGAGTCCTTCATATACAAGTCCATCACACTATTTCGATCCAAATTGTACAACTACTGCCCTCAGATATACGAGCCGAGACAGGTCACCTCTCCCCCTGGTTCCATGGCACTTGGCTATGATCAGAGGTTACAAATGTCCTTTAACCACTTGCATGAGGATTGAAAATTTTACACCGCATTAACTAGAGGGGCATCAAGACATTGCTTATACGAGAAAGGATCGTTTCTGCATCACAGCAAAGCCGGCTGATCATTTGCTCATGTTACTAGCAGTTCTTCGACATCATTACAACGTGGATGAAGACAATTCTGGCACACTGTGGTGTTCTGCAGTGCTTCTGTCACGAGAGTAAGTGTATATTTTTCCAGACTCGATCAAAGTAAGCAATATGACATTGGACCTGGAGTCAGAAAACTGAAACATGCACGAATGGAGTTTCAAAGACCTGTAGTCTTACAGAGAGCAAGAATTCCGATATGAAATGTATCGGAGAAATCCTTTGCGTGCAGGGGAGTTCGCAAACTGCGACAAAAGGAGTTAGTTCAGTCAATCTGGACCACTATTTTGGACATTCTCAGGGTCACGTGCCTTTATTTCCATCATGTTTGCTTTTGAAATGCGGAGACTCCATTTCGAAAATTACGAATTATCTTAAGCCCCCCCTTGTTCGTTATTGTGGTCGAAAGATTGTGGCGACACAAAACCGTGCCCTGCACGTAGAGCCATCACACCATTGACACTTACTCTTCTTGGGGTAGGTTGCGCGAGTTTCCTCCTCCAGAAAGTGCTCTTTTCCGTTCTCCTTGATCATAAAGTGAACGTGCTTTATGGCTAGATAGATAAGAAATATGCCGTGCCGCCACTCGCGGGTCGTAAAAGCAAACTTTGTTTAAAGTAGCACCAAGGCTATGAAAGTCTGCAGGAATCTATAAGCATCCAGATCTTCCGTCGAACTCTGGAGTGAGCTTTAAATTGTTAAGTATCTACAATGTCTTTCACAACACCAATTTATCCAGGTATTAACCTCGAAGCCAACGAAGGACCTCTATTGAGAGCGGTATCAATTGCTTTCATCGCCTTGACTGTGTGTACTATTGCCATCCGCTTTTTTTCCCGCTGGTACACCAAAATCCCCCTGGGCTTAGACGAATTGTTTATTCTCATTGCAGCAGTAATTCTCACTCTCTAGAATCTTCTCGAAACTCTTCCCACAGTACAATACGTGCCCCAAACTAACACCAGATCCAGATCCTCTCAATTGTCTATACAGCAGTCATAATCGTTGAAGTTAACAGTAACTTCTACGGACAACACGTTCACAAATCAGATCCGGAACATCTTGAGGCTTATCTGAAAGGCCTATATGCTTTGGCACTTCTCTATTCCATCGCTCTTAGCACGAGCAAATTGTCTCTATTAGCGCTTTACTGGAGAGTATTCGCTGTCACTGGCGGGAAGGTACCTATTATTTTCGCCACTGCAATCAATGGGGCGTGGGGTATTGCTGCTGTGAGTTGATTCCTTACTGTCATCTCATAATATTGGTTGAAAGTTCAAATTCATGGTTTTTGAAAGATTCATTCGCCCCACATAACTTCATGTCATATTATGCCGATTCAAGTGCCAGTCAGAGAATCTTGAGAGAGAAAATACTAATGCTATATCTCTACTAGCTCGTTGTGGGAATTCTCTCATGTCGTCCCATAGAAGCTTTTTGGAACATTACGATTACCGCAAAATGCATCGATTACCCTGTCTTCTTTACTTCCAATGAAGCGTTTACGATTGCATTTAATGTTGTGGTTCTATCAATCCCAGTTTGGTTCATTGCGCAAATCAAGAGAAGTATAGGGGAGCGGATTACTATTAGCAGCACTTTTTTGTTGGGGCTTGTGTGAGTGCTTCATCGAACAATGGTTACCCTTTCAAACACCTTAATACAAAATTTAGGGTAACGGTAGTATCGGCAATTCGACTATGGCGGTTGGTTGTTGCGCAAAGATTGCCGGGCTTTGATCCTACTTGTAAGCTAAACTTCCAAGCCATTTTCTACCCCTTCATATGAAGTTTGATATCTTAAAAGCGCTCTCCTCAACCCATCAACTAAGAAAGTAATAGTCCACGAAGTAGACGCCGGTCTATGGGCAATAGTCGAACTCAACCTCTGGATTCTCGTCGCCTCGATTCCGACTTTCCGCCCCTTGCTCGGCCAAATGTGGCGCGATTACTCTGAGAAGACAAATCGAAGCGGTAGTGAAGAATCCCCTGAATACCCTCTCAGCAGAACAAGAAGTACTGGTACTTTATTTCCCAGACAACATCGAGACATGGACTTAGATACCGAGCCCGTATTTGGATTCGACGAGGCGAAGAGAAACTCGGGAAACCCATCGGAGATCGAGCGGCATGGAAGAAATGGTAGTTTGGGGACGGGGCTTAGTGGGGAGACCGGATTTGGAGAGAGCCTGGGCGTGTGAGTCGTAGATGCGGATTTGGAATCGCAGATAGAGACGGACATTGAGGGGTGGAGAAATGCTTATGGATATGCTTCTCAGAAGGGTGGGGGTAGGGTGGGAGAAAAACAGAGGTGGAGTAATGGGATGAAGGATTTGGCGGGGATAAAGGTGCAGAAGGAAAGAGATGTTAGGAGAGATGCAGGGGATTGACCGGGTTAGCCTGGGTGGTTGGGTGGTTGGGTAATGTGTGATGGATGGGGTAATGGATTGGATTGGATTGAATGGAAGGAGTTTGAGGGGAAATACCTAATGGCGTTCGGGTGCGGGCTCTTGATAGCGATTATTTTTTGATTTAGCAGGCTGTCTTTGAGGGACGGGAAAACGGCAAGTATGGCTCATAGTCTAATTATTTGGGACATTTAGACGACGTTTATTTTCGAGAAAGGTCTCAGTACTCTAATGCTAGATTTATCTTTCAATCTTTGGTCCTATTCAAATTCAAATGATCAAGAAGTCTAGGGAAAGTCCGAAGCCAAAACACTTTTCGTGTTCCCCTACGGTCCGAAAATAGTGTAGAGAGTAGCTGAACCATTCTTTTTCCTTCTTTTGCGAGAAGAGAATTGAACTATGATGTTTCCTCTCTCTGTTCATTTCTACATTGTTTCATCATAATCTTCCCTCAAACGCCTCTACCACCCAACCCGCCTGAATTGCATCTAATTAGACTGTAATTTTTCTAAACCAGAGATTTTATGAAGAAAGAAATGCCCATCATGCTTTGACTCGGTACAATCCAACTAGTAAACAAATTATCGACGGTTGAGAAAGTGGCAGTGACAGTAGTAGCATACTAGATAAAATGAACGGGTCTGAATTCTCAGAATCCTCGTATTCATCTTCCTTGGATGACTTTTCCATGCTTGTCTACAATTGTAATTGCTTCGCTAAAAGTTACGGATTTGCACATTTTTGACGTTATTTCCATCAACCAAGCGTATATCCGACTCTACTCGTCCCCTTCGATCTCGCAATCTTCTTCACAGTCGTCTTTCCACAATTTTTCGTACTATCCACATGTGTCCCACCACAAGGGTAAGTCTCCGCGCCCACAATCTTCACAACTCTAAACTTCTCTTCCTTTGTCATTCCCATGGCGGCTCGATCAGGTATCAATCTCTCCATTCCATTTGCGATAAAATCTGCCTCATCCCACCAGTGGATCTCAACGGGCATATCTGCCTCAATATACTCATCGAGCTTTTGCTGGATGGGTGTTTTCCAGGTACTTTCTATGAGGCCGGCAAACTCACACGCCGCGGAAGAGGGGAAATGCGAAGCTTTCGTTTCGTCGAAATTGGGAACAGAAGAGGAAACGAGATGACGAACTGCAGCGCCGAGAACATGGCCCGCGGTATGGTAACGAGAGTACAAGAGACGTTTTTCCTGGTCGATTTTCTGGGTGATTTCTTGACCCGCAAGAAATTGAGTGGGGGTGGAAAATGAACCAAAGTGGAGAACTTCTCCGTCGGTGCTGGCGCTCATGCGTACCATCTGGACCGTGAATTTGCTTCCTTCTTCACTCTCCACAATGCCTTCATCCGATGGTTGACCACCACCCTGGGGGTGGAAAACGGTAGATTTGGTTATCATGACGTATGTGTCGTCCTTGCCATCTTTGAATAACAATTTATCTTCCTCGGAAAGCGTTAGAAAAGGGCTTATGGATGTGATGGTGGTTTGGAGGGTAGACAGATGTGAGTCATGATGAAAAGCTAGATGGGTGCGTTCGGTCATGGTTTTTTCGATATGAGAGACTTGAGGGATTATATGAGAATTCTGGCTGACTTCTAATTCTGGAATCGACTCAAGCGTTTGGTTTGAGTAGTGAAATGAAGTCCGGGAGTTTCATACGATTCGAAATCCTTTTGAGAGTCTGTGGTAGCCTTGGTGAATTGACGCTCATCCAAGGGAAAGAATAATCAGAATACAAATTTCCTGACTTTCGTATCAAGGTTTCTGATATAATATCTTAGAGATCTGTGGATGAAGTCTGACATATAAGGTGAACTTCAGAATCAGAAGCTTCTGGATTTACGGTAAAAATAAGCTAGCCCAAGAGGGAAGGAGTCCAGAGCACATGATTACCAAAAAGATAACGACCACGCCCTTCCTGGTACATTTTGTTAACCTCCCAGAATTAGTCACGTCACGTTAATAACCGAACTTCAGTGTCGCCCCCTATTAACTCCTTACGGATTTGGGACAAAACGATCAATTTTCTCGGCGAAAGGACATTCGAGAAAAGTGTCCCAAGCATACTACAATAAGAACCGTCCGGCATATTGAAAATATAGAGGTACAGTCACTCGAGATTTTTGCTCGATCAATAATGCTTGGCCTTGAGTAGCTAGGATTTCATATCATACCTAGTACCTAGCCATAGAGAATCTTATGTCATTATAAACATCATTTTCAAGCAGCTTTCAGTAGTCAGCCACATCTACAATCCATCTCCAGCCTCATCACCTACCAAACAACATAAGCCGCCATCGAAAGAAAGATTAGCACGCAAAAAGTATAAGACAATTGGCGAATGATATTTCTTTGCATTTTGAGTTAAGATTACAGTGTCGCTGCAGGCCATGTAAGCAAATTCCAAACTTGCAGTAACGTCATATGTGTTCTTCTTTCTTCCAGAATGTAATCATTTTCGATTGTTTCGTGAATGATGAGCGCAGAGAGGTGATGACCGAAATGGCAATAATCATAATCCGAGTGCGATGGGTATTTCACAATGATCATTTGCCTCTTCTGCCAGGAGCTTCAATGCCTGTGAAAAAGGATATGAGTGGTAGAATTGATATTATAATGAATTACTCTTTGAATCCTTCGGTGAGCATTAGAAGTTGTCGTGATGGTGGATCTGATCGTATTGTATACGATTCTTGTTGCATGCAAATACGATGGTAACCATCATCAAAGGGTGTTCGTACTTACATTTCCAAATATACTCCTTTTCCAAGTTGTCTTGCATATTGTAACGTTTCTGGTAAATATTCGTTTAGATCCCAAGGAGGTTCATAAATCCAATGATCTGTAAGGCTGAGCAATGTGTACCTAAGTCGACGTACCAGGGAAATGAAAGCTTACTACACATGTTGAAAGCATCAACATGCATGCATACAACCATACAGTTCAGAGCTTACAAATCCATTTAGATCTGATCGTTGGTGGATACGTCAACATGAATGGGGGAAGGAAAATGACATGGCGCTCAGAGACCCAGATTTGCCTTAGTCAAATCGATGGATGAGAAGGAGGGAGCGAAAGCGAAAGAAACCAGACGAATAGATCCTTGGACTTAGTACAGAATAAAATGCTGATGAAATGAAACTAATTGATGACAAATATGGTAAACATGATGCTTTTGATACTTCTGATATCCATTTGTAGTATGTTTGTTATCCTTTTAAAGCATTTTGGAGTTCAAACTAATTGGGATGAATAAAAATCGAAAAAGAATTTCTAAGACACTTCGAAATGGTTTACCCCTGTACGGTGACCACTAAAACTCATCACGGTGTGGTTCGCTAGTGATCAATTTTCCGATGCACGTTCTCATCATGACAAAATCATGACAAAATCATGACAATTTCATCATAGTTCATCACCCATTTCTAAAGATATACACATCAATGCTCAGGTATAGGTGACTTGCATTAGTTTTCCAAATTATCAGTAATTGAGCTACGGCCTCCCCGTCCTGGGGATGGCCTTTTATGGGATAGTACAAATGACCGTTTGTTCTGTATCCCCATCCGCGTCACCAATGATATATCGTTAGCAGTCATGGATACCAGACAATTCTTGTAGCAGGCATCGCGAATAGGCTCTTCATAGTAGTTGCGTCTCCAGTTCGCCGAACTTCTCATGAAATGCTCCGTGTTCATCGTGGGTTATGTAACATATGAATCATATAATAAGGTTCATTGCATCTCAACCGAGATGCAGAATCCCAAGTTCGGGTATGGAAACCGCTCGATGTAACTAGTGCTGGTAGTCAGCTCAGATTCACTATCTCGGTACCTCCTTGTTGGCATGAGTGCCGTAGGATTCCTCGATTCCTGTCTAATCCGTTTTGGGATCTTGCCCAAGCTGAGCTTTTTATATGCCATGATGGAGTAAATGTTATTATCAAATATCTATCTTTGTGCATTTCATTTCAGAGCATCTATATAGATGAGGATATATCCTCATCCATTTCATTATTCAATACATCAGTATTAACCAGATCTTTGCAACATCACAACTAATACTCTTAACATTCATCAACGTCCACCGTCATTATCCATCCTTACCTCTTCATACTTATCCGTCTCATACTATAACTTCACCACTCAATCATGTCTCGCAACTCAAAATCTTCTCGTCATCAATCAAGAAGCACCGAGGGCAATCCCGAGGATATGGTTGAGCAAGTCAAGGGCATTATCACTTTACTGAACGAAGTTGTCTCCTCTAGACCCCATGAATGTGAAACATATATTCCCTCTGCTCGCTCAGCTGTCACTGCTCTTGAACATATTCGCTTTTTTCGCGACCCAGCACGCTTTGCTGAGCAGGTCTGGATCATCCAGGGACTTCAAGGCTTTGCTTTCTACGACGCAGATAATGGAAGTGTTGTAGATATTGCAGACTTCTGCCAGAATGCATGGCTGAGAGTTTTGAGAAACTATCCGGATAATGTCGACGTTTTGACAGGTAAGTCAACCAAATACCTTACTAACTCCAGACAGATATCTTGCTAACACAACTATCATATTAGGGCTGGGTAAGAATTGGCTCCAGAGATCTCAAGTGACTCTAGCCCGCATTCATTACGAAGAAGGAAATGATACCACAGGTACTTCTGGCTCAGAAACTTACTTTTCTGAATACGGTTCTGACAATTCATCTTCTCTAGCACCGCCCAATGACCCCCGTAGACAAAGTCCCCTCTATGTCGAAGCTCGAGGTTATCTACAACCAGCTGTGGATTTCTTCACTCGGGCCATTAGAGCCGCTGATGGTCTTGGATATACTACTGGTGACCTATTGGCTTCAGTAAGTCGCAGCCCTCACGCATGTCCAGAAAGTCTAATCTAACAATTAAACAGGCTGCAGAATCAAATATGAGTCTAGGCAACGTATCTGCATCTCCAGCAGATGAACATGCTTTCACGCAAGCAATTCGATATTTGCGTCGTGCAGAAACAACACAGGGGTATCAGTTATCGGAGCACATGCAACAATATCTTGATGATTATGGAAGATATGTTTCTTAGCTTCTTCATCCTTTCATACCTTTCTCTCCAGCATCTTTTACACCCTTTACGACATTGAGAATTTCGGCGTACACTTAGTTTCGGAGTCATTATCAGCATTTTCAGGAACAGCGTGAAATTTCATAGCGGCGGTGATTGGATATTGGGCAGTCAGTTTTGCATTCTAGAGCAGATCATTTCTGATTTGGAATTTTATGTATTAACACTCCTGACGAATAGCGTCGATTAGATTTCTTTTTGGGCAATGTCTTTCTTTTCTTTGGCATCGCACTGTTTCTGTTTTTGCTTTTCTCATCATATTTTTTTACAACTTCTTTCACATCCCTCTACCTAAATCTATCTTATAAATTGCAACAGCGGGCCTGTACTATTAAGAGTTTAGCATAGTTATAACAGCAAACAAATTTCTTGCACGCTTTTTATTTTCTTTCATTGTTCGCCCATATAGTTTATGCCATTGATGTCAGAGAAGGTGTGAATTCACGTGATATAAAAACCAACTAGATGGGTGAATCCCGAAGCTCCCTTCTTGTTTAAATCCTTCCGGAATGAAAAATCCTCCCGATAACATAAATAGGGCTGGGAGGATTGCGCTTAAGCATGAGGGGTAAGCGCGGTGAATGAACAGTTATGATCCTCGGCATGATAGCTCGCGGCTGCGATATGTGTATGAGTGATGGGCTTCCAATCGTAGGTACAGAGTAGACATCAGACTAAACAGAAAGAAAGATTTGGTGATTTGTCCTAGAATCTCGGTTAGAATAAGAGTATTTGAAAAGTATGAATATGTATTCTCGTAAATAGATATCTAAGACTTGAATATTTCATTACGTAGCTATAAACATTGTGACCTCGTAAGCATGGAAATCTGCAATTCAGTCCCCAAGAGGAGGGAGCAAGAGACACGCGGAGATAGCTGGAAACTGAAGATGTTGTTGGCGGGTATATAGTACGGGCCGAGCTTGGAAATTACTGTACAAGAACTTTATAGCTGCTGGAGATGAGGTGAGCAGTTTCCGCTATACAAGCCCGAAGGATTTGCTTGATGTGATCATGAACAGTCGCTGACAACAGGCGAGGTAGGGGTTGATCTTACTGCAATCAACCTAGTGCATACATTATTGTGCTTGACACCCCAAGTGGAAGTGGTGATACTTTAGGACCTGGCTTAGACTTCAAGAAATGGGACTAGAAATTTGGCTTCTGGAATAGCTTTCTGCAATTGTATATTTCGTATCAAAATAACATCTTGCTTGGTATCTACCGGTGGACTACCTAATAACCTTGGAAGTGCCTATGTGTCCCCTCCCCAACTGTGGCTAAATGTGGCTGTTAACCCCAGAACCTGTGATGTGATCTACAAGCCTTAGGATTAAGGCATCTCTAGGTAAGCTCCAGAACACCTGGAAAGCTCCATTGCTCACGCATTTTGATAATCACTCCACGGCACCTCTAATCTATGAATACATCCCCAGAAACATAACACAACACAACTTTCAATTCCCTTATTGAAGCTTCGCATATCTCCCGATAGTCTTCATCACCTTACCACCGCAGTAAGCAAAAGTAAATCCGGCATCATGCTTACAGAACGAGAAATGCAAATAAGTCCGATTGTGCAAGAGTCCGTGATACACAATACAAAGGTTCGTTATTCAATTTGTCAACCTCAAGTTGGAGGCAACGTTTGGATGTACTGCGCCGAGCGAGCCTGCAATAGTCTCGATATTGATCAAGCTACTACAATTGCAGCTTCGCAAACCTCCTCTCTCTTACACACAAATCAGCTAACCGTTGTCTGCTATAGACTCTCGCAACTCTACACAATCTCACAGCCTCCCTCTTTGGTGTCGCCGCTGGTATCCTCGGTCTGGAATCTTACCCTGGATTCCTGTTCTACATCTTCTTTACGCTCCTCACTAGTGCACTCGTATATGTGTTTCGGATAGCTCCGCATATGAGTAAAGATACCAAGGGAGATCGATATTTTAGAGGCGCGTGGGAGTTTTGGTCGGGAGGGCTAGTAGAGGGTCTGAGTGGATTTGTGTTGACCTGGACTTTATTCTATGGATTGGTTAGGGCGTAATAGTAGAGAGTGGCTCAATGTGGCAGGGGCAGTTTGGGAATAGGTACAGTGAGATCTCTATGGGATAGGTTAAAGTTCTGGATGGACATGAGAAACATTTATATCTGACAAGATTCAATCTCGGAAAATAAATCGACTAACCTACATTCAAGAATCTTCGAACACGAATGTCGAATAGAGGATGTAGGGGAAGGAAATGATCAATAAATCGCAAGCGCAAGCGAGAGGGATCGGTGCAATAATAGGAATGGAAAGATAGGTGTGATGATGACTGGAAGGAATACTGAAGATTGCGCCTGTTGAATTTAGGCGCGGATGGATTTTCCTCTTCTCGACAATCATCAACTAGTATGGCGCTTGGAGTTGGACTGATTGAAATTCGACATGCTTGATGTTTATATCCTCAAATGGCGGTTACGTCTATGTGTCCATATACAGTATTGCGGTATCAAATGGAGTTGAGGAATACCAGATTTCGTTTCGCGGATATAGATTTGAGTTGTTCCCTTTGCATGTGATAATGAGAATAAGTGTTCGCTGTATGGTAGGACATGAATTACTTTGCTATTTTTTTTTTCTTTTGCCGCTGTTAGCAATGCTATTCAGTATACTAGTACAGTCAGAGTCTCTGTTAAATTTTCTAGACCTGCTCCAGAAAAGTACTGGATCGCATCGAATTCCATTACTGGAAATGTGGAAGAAAGATAGTGATACCTGCCAAATCTTTCAAAGCATAAAGCACGCTTCTATACCAATCCTTTCTTGTAAAACTTTTTGCAACTAAACTATTGAAAATTCGCTTTCTAGAACCTGAAAGTTTTTTTTACGTATCGTAAGTTTACTACTTGTGGGGGTTTCTTGGGTTCTAAGAGTCCTACGAGTTGGAATATCAATTCTTAAAGGTGGACGCTGGATTTGAGCTTACTATCAACGTTAAAACATATATTCGAAGATTCTTCATTGCTGTTATAATTGTACAGTTACTACCACTATTTGGTTATCATTACCACCGTATGCACAACTCGTATAATTCTCAACGTGCATGGCTTTCGGGTAACTGTATGATTGGATGTTCCTGTACCATTGTGATAAAGTTGATGCAATTTGTTAGTACTGTTAGGCATCAATGGATAGGTTCCTGCTCCCTTGAGTTTTCTTGGATACTTTTTGGGTTTTGTGTAAAAGGAAGCGTATTGAGTAGAAGAGACAGTGCTTTTATAGTAAGTCTGTGGGAAAACTATGACTTCCATAGACCCCTCCTCCTGAAAGGTTCACCCAGTCTTACAGAGCTTATGCCTACCACTTCTTCAACCTGCTATCTTTTCTCTTCTTGACTATGAATTCCCTGCCCCTTTTTAAATCCGTTCTTTACCCTTTAACCGTAAAATGAAACGAGCTGGTACTTGTCCGTAAGCTAGCGGCGATTCTGACATAGATCTCTTTCAACAAAGTTAATTACTGTTATGAAATAAGTGGCCGATGATTGGTTCATAATGTCAAAAGAAGTATCAATATCGAGTTCAAGTCAAGTATCTGGTAACGTCGTTTTGGAGAGTTTTGGCCAATCAGGATTTCTTCATTAAGGCGGGTTTGAGAATAATAAGAACATGCACTGTACGTCAATCGATATATATTTGCCATGCGGTGGGACGAATTTCGCTATGGTGTGTTTGGTGGTGAATGAAATGGCGGGTTTGAAGCAATGAGTTGATGATATATCAGTATGATAACGGTAAAATGCAAATAATAACGAAAATGCTGTTGTCCATAGATCAGTCCCAATGGGATGGTGTCGTTTCGGCATATAATGGAGATGTTTTCCGAGATGATGATCTGGCTAATTTACTGTTGAGAGGGAGCAGCGTGGGTTTTTCTGTGAAGTGTGAATAGTGTAATGATGGGGTTCATCAGCATGAACGAAGAGGATTGACATAGTGCCAGAAGATTTTTTTTGTTTCAGAAAGCTTAATGCTTAGCCTGGAGATGAGAGGGGAGTGACTATCAATGCTTCGGGTAGGTAGGGGGGGTGAGGAAGAGTGACAGCGATATCGTTAGCAAAAGAAGAAGAGCAGGGGCACAATTTTGTCAGGGGATGGAATTCAGTGTCCGCGTATGATCTCAATTGAATTGACTAATGAATAAACTACCTAACACATGATGAAGACTAATACATGACCAAGTAGCCAATTGCAAGAAAGACATAAACGCAAATGTTAACTGCCGTATTTCCGAAAGCTTGCCCTTTCGCTCCTTCCTCTGCTCAAAATCATCATCTTCATCGCCGCTATATCTTTCTTTAGTGCAGCGAAAAGGCCACATCGACACAAAAAAAAGTCAAACACATTTCTAATCGCCACTCCGAAGACCAATGAAAGGCACATTCCCACGAAGGATAATTGGATAAAGTATTGTGGTCAATCTTGGGATGAACGAAGAAAGTGATTCATCTTGGACCGATTAAAAGAAGTTTCCTCTTGGGAGTATGAACCAAAAATAATAAGAGCAGTCCGTAGACTACCGGGCCGGCGAACTAGCTCGTCCCATCTAACATTCCTGATCGAAAGATGGACTCTCTACACCTCATCTCTCACAAAGATGAGTCGCACTTTGATGAAGGCCTACACCTTCTGCGGTGAGCGGCATGCTGGGGAGGAGGGTGCCACTTTGTGAAAGAGGCTCAACACTTCGGTGAGGGCATGCAGCGCTTCCCGAAGGTAGGTGATAGCCACTCTGTGAAGGTTATTCTGCGCTTCGTAAAGGACGTTCACCACTCTGTAGTATGACACCCACCACAAAAGGGTATGGACGCTCATCAAAATGTGACTTATCTTTATAACAGACGAGGCGGTATGAAGAAGAAAGAAAAGAAAATGGAAGTCGTGAGCGGAATCCGAGTTTTTATAGTCATTTTGAGGACGCTAATTTAGAAGATTTTCAGAAGAAGCCACGGGATTGGATTGCATTCACTCTAGTACATCAGACTCTTAGAACATATTGCTCAACTCATTATTGGCTAAGAAAGACTCGGAGAAGTACCTCTACTGGTACTGTTGTTCTCTATTGAAGCCTCGTCATTCTTTTATGACACATCATTTACTTTCAGCAAAGGAACAATTCTGTGGGTTGTTTGGCATAACAAGAGCGTAATTTCAAAGAATCACTTCATGAAATGGACCAGTGAAACAGAGGTTATCGCATATATTCTACTCGCTACGATCTATACAGAGCATGTAAATTGGTGGAGTGGGATAGGACTGTGATAACCTAAGGTCTGATTCAAACACAAAATTTATGGATTTTCATCATAGACTTATCTGATGCATAGCAATATTGAATGATGGCAGATCCATTCGGATATAACGACACACTCTGAAACTCAATATGAGAGTTTGTTATCACATTACAAAGAGTTCTTTTGCGTCAAAGCCCAAGAGCTTATGTTAGTTTACAGGCTAAAGAATCTTCACAGGATAGCATTGAATCCAAGCATAATCAGGGTAAGCTCAGAATCCTTGAACTGGCTATTGGGCTTCTGAGATAGCCCATAGCATTGCCGTTCAGAGTGTGAAAGTTGACTTCAAAAGTCCTGGATCATGATTACTCATGTAGCCAAAATCAATAAATATACTGCGTTTTTCCTCCTGCAATTCGCCATCTGTCTGTCTGTTTGCTTTAAATTTTAGGGTTCGATGTATCTTAATTACATGCATGCTATCTAAGGGGTCAGGCTAAGGAGTAACGACTTTTCCTTGTATATCATGCTCCCGCTGTCCTACTGTAGAAATGTCTCCTTTCAATAAAGATCAACGTCATTCAATCGAACAAAATTTTCTCCCCAAAAACCTACAGAAAGAGTCATAGAAATAACATAAGAATTTGAAAACAGTTGATGCGGCGATGGAGATTATGATTGCCGAGGACACTCAGGGGGTCTAGAACACAATATGTTAACAATATCAATTGGAAATAATCGGGAATTGTTCGCCTGGCTTGTGATTCAATTAATCAATCCTATTGGTCGTCTAGTGTTCCATATTGGTTCACCTGAAAGTAGGTACGTCATCCACATACACCGCGCACGGCCCCGTCCATGCAGTATTCCATTTGCACATGTCAAAAAAGCAAAAGCAAAGCTCTTTTCTAAGTACAATAAATAATTCTTCTCTTCCTCTTTCTTCATCGATTAATACAACTTCCACTCCTTCTCTTTCGAAAAACGTCGAATTCAGAAGATGGAGTTAACATATCCCATATTTCATCCCTTCCTCTTTCTTTACCGAGTATGGCAATTCTTTCTCGCCAAACTCCTTTCTCCTTCACCACCGGTTGAGGGTCAAAAACTTGGAAGACCCAAGATTGCAATTATTGGTGCCGGATTGACGGGTGTTTCTGCTGCTTCTCACTGTGTTGGTCATGGATTTGATGTGCAGATTTTTGAGGCTGGTCCCAGAAGTCAATTGGGTGGTATATGGAGTGTAAGTCTGCCATTTCTTCCTTGCATATTGGGCACATGAAACCCCAGAAGCGAAGGGAATCAATGCTAATACGATACATTAGAGAGTTAACAGCACATCTGGTCTACAAATCCATTCGTTAATGTATCGATTTCATCCCTCCATTCAATGGAAAGGTGGTTATCCAAATCAGCAGCAAATTGTATCGCAAATTACCGAACTCTGGAAACGTTATGGTCTAGAGGAGAAAACAAAATTCGATACTAAAGTCGAGAAAGTATACCAAGACGACAAAGGAAGATGGATAATCAACAATACATCAGAAGGACGATTCGAAGGTATCATTGCAGCTGTTGGTACTTGCGGAGAGGCAAAGATTCCACATATCCCTGGGATGGATAAATTCAAGGGAGAGATATATCATTCAAGTGATCTCACGGGTAAAGATGCAAAGGGAAAGAAAATTATCGTCATTGGAGGTGGTGCAAGTGCAGTCGAGGCACTAGAATTCGCAACCCACGAAGAAGCGGCTGAGACGACAATTTTGGCCAGGAGTGATAAATGGATCATCCCTCGAAACGCTGTCGTAGACATGCTACTCGCTTTGAATATTTTTGGGCAGGAAACTTTCTTGAGCTGGATTCCAGAGATGCTACTGAAGAAGTTCTTTTACAGAGACTTGGAAGATCTTGCTCCAGCCGATAAAGGAATTTTTACAGGTACTCCTATGGTCAATTCGGACGTGATGGATAAAATCCGCGAAGGAAAAGCAGAATGGCTACGGGGCGATATCAAGGGGTTCACTGAAGATGGAATCAATTTCAATCTCCGAGCAAAAGGTGTTCCTCCTGGTGGCCCTGGAAAGACAAAGCTCGTGAAAGGCGATATTGTTGTAATGGCAACTGGATTCGAGCGACCATCTCTTGATTTCCTCCCACCCGACACATTCCAAGATCCTTACACACCACCAAATTGGTATCTTCAAACCTTCCCTCCCACACACCCTTCCGTCTGTTGCAACAACTGCACTTATGTCAATGCCATCGGTGCAGTAGGCAACTGGCACATAGGTATTTACACACGTATCCTCCTTATGTTCCTATCGGATCCCCTTACAAG